CTGATGCAGGCCCACGCCGCTAGCTTGTCGCGACCAAACTCGTCGTCTTGGATCTTGAATCTTCACCATCCGTATCGTCAGTCTAGCAGTCCACAAACAGGAGAAGGAAATGACGGGTTTTAACTTTGAAGAGGTGTGTATATGCAGTAATGCCGTGCATGCAACCGGTCTATTTCCAGCCCGACGATCTGGTACAGACATCCTATCGGACGGAGATAGAATACCAAGATAGAAGGTCCGTTCCGGGCCTGCTCCAGACCGGTGGATTGCCTGGCGCTATTTCTTCGACTCCGTCCGTCGAGAAATGGAACGGTGGCCGATAGCGTAAAGCTTCTAGCCGCCAACTCACCACCCGCCAAGCGGGACGGAAATCATTCACGGCAGATGACTCGGGAAGAGAAGAGAAATGGTAGGTTAAAAAAAAAAGAAACCAGGAAAAAAAAACAGATCCAGTCACCAACCTCACGAATGATAATTCTTGCACAATATTCGTCGCAGGCGAAAAGCTCAGCTTCTCACCCCCAAAATCAGGATCGATACCGCTGCACGTCTTGGTCCGCAGCTTCATCTTCGCATTCTTGCTCACCGCATCCGCATTCGTATTTCGGTCTGTTGTCGATTCCTCCACCTTGGCGAGATGCAGCTGGCACTTGACGTACGGATGGAAGGCCTTCTTCTCCTTTTCCGTCCCGGACTCTCCAAGCGGAAGCGGCAGCTGCTGGCCAGCGAATATCTCGATGGAGAGATCGACGGTCTGGACGACCGGTTTTGACGCATCGTCGGCAGAGCAGTCGGCGCTGCCCCGATATCCCTCCGGCTTCAGCACCCAACCCGGTCCGTCGGCGAACATGGCATCGTTCAGCATCATGCCCTTGTCGCAGCTCTGCCAGTTCAGTGCTACCATCTGGGCTCCCTGTTGCCAGAAAAATGACGGGTCGAGATTCGACGAGGTGACGCGCAACCCGGATGGATACACGCGCATCAGATACCGGCGATTGTGATTCAACAACGCTTCGCGCTGAGTCTCATGGGCTTCCCTCGCAGCGGCCTCCGACAGGGAAAAGACATGAGTAGGTATCGTTGCCTCTGCGTCCGAACAATAAGTAATCCCGTGGTGGGTGAGTGGATGGGGAGGAGTAGGGCCATTACATACCTGGCTGAGTAAAATGGCTGAAATGATATGCCCTCGTGTATACAGCAAGCTCGCCGAGAGCCTGCAGGATCTTACCTGCCTTTTCCTTCTTCGTCTGCGATGCTGTTTTGACCAGTGCGTCGTCTTTGGCATCTGGGCCGTTTTCCAGACTCTTTCCCTGTTCCGGGGTTTCATGTGTATTATTCTCACTATTATTACCTTCGGCACCGTTCGACGGAGGCGCCCACTTCACTTTGATCAGGATCTTTCGTCTCACGTCCTCGAGGCGGGGGAGCGCGCAGTTGGCTGGGTCGAGGTCCGGGGTGATATCAACCAGCAAGCCCTTCCACACTTCGCGCATAATTTCTACCATGATCTGCTGCTGCTCGAGACTGGCGTGCACTTCCAGACTGACAATTACCGGTAAATCACTGGCGACAAATGCGCTGTCCCGGATGGCATGGCAGACGTCCCGGAAAGGGACTTCTTTGGTGAGGGTGTGCCCGTGCAAAACTCGAGGCTCAGGACGGTGAAGGACTGCTTCAGTAGCGGTGGCAGCTGCGACAGATCCCTCCGCTTCTTTCGATGCCTTTCGAGATCGACTCGATGGCGAACGTCTCATCAGTTTACTGAAACCCCGTGAGAGAGACGTGATGCGCGAGTGGTCGTCGCTGACTTCGGTCCGTTCCTTCTGATTGCGTTCGTCGCTATCTGCGATCTCGCCCTCATCTTCACTGCTGCTGCTGCTACTGCTGCTACTGCTGCTAGTGCCACTGTTGCTGTGCGTGCTTGAGTTGTCTGCTGCGACGCCATCCCAGACGTCGATTTCCAGACATCTGCAGCCACGAAGGAGAACCTGCAAGTCGTTAGCCTAGTAACTGGATTGAGAGATTTAATCCTCATTTTTTTTACGCGAGAAAAGCATCGTCAACAGTCTCTCAAATCGATAAAGCACCACCTCGCGCCAACATGATCACGTGCTTAGCAGGAATAAGGAGGAGGAACACCGACATTTGTATACGCATCTGCACTAGCCTCACTGTACAGCTGATTGCCAGTCAGGTAGGTGTTGTGACTGGAAGAGATGAAGTAATTCGAGATTGGCGCAGACAGGTCCTGTAGCTCAGCTGGCTGGTTCGCCCTCGCTGCAGGGCTCTCCATATAAGTGAGAAAGGCCGTGAGGGACGCGAGGGGATCTGAGTCAGCAATAGTAACCTGGTTCTGAACATCCTTGAGAAAGTCTGGTTTGGGAGTTGTGCCCGACAGAGACTCGTAGATGCGCTTGAGATGGGCGAGAACGGGGGCGGAGAAGGACGGTATAGACGCGTCCACAGCGGCAGAAGCGGCCATCTTTATTTCCAGAGTTGGTTGTATGTAGTGCGTAAGGAACGTGTGTATTGGAATTTGTTTGAGCAAAGTCGAAGATTGATTGGACTTCAATTTTTCTTTCTGGACTATGCAGAGAAAAGTGTGTCAGACGCACAGGCGGTGTGCTTTGGTTTGGTCGCGTGTTCGTATTAAATGAAGAGTGAGTTCTAAGCAAGCCTTCTATAACTCGATCTGCTCGTGTTTGTCATGGAAGAAGAAACGCATAAATTCAATCCTAAGATACTGAGTAATATCCTTTTATTGAAAAAAAAAGCAATCAATGTTTTTCATATAGGGGATCGTTATCAGCCATTCTGCTCTCTTGTGGGGTTTATTTTTTATTACGATAGTCCTTACTATATATATCCCCTAATCTTAATTAGATTAATTTAATTGCTATCCCCAAACAAAACGATGGTCTATATCAGCATAGGCGCCAAGACGCTAATTTGACGTCCACGGTACACAGCGTTTACCCCGCGCTGCTTAATTTCGACTGATGATGCCTCTGGCCTTGAGCTGTGATGTTACACTGGACTTGCTTGAAAGATGGTATTGACCAATCAATCTGATTGTTTGAGGAGATTTACGGGGATGAGACTACAAGAATAATCGAAAATGATGGGAACAGAAGGAAACGAAAGATAACGCTCGTTCTCTGACTAGAATATGCAGGAAGAAAAACAAAGTCAGCCTACCTACATGTACAGTACCTATACAGCGGTAGCATACCTCAGGCTGGAGACATGCCTTGTATGGGTGGCTCCTGGACACTTAAAGTAAATCAGTCCAGTAAGGCATTTCTTGAGTTTAGAAGTTAACCAAGGAATCTATTGATCTTCCAAGCTACCAACCTGTCCAACCCAGAAAACGGCGTGACTGTCATCAAGACGCATGAAGACTAGGAAAAGCTAGAAAAAGACCACATCGTCAAGCAGCACAAGCAGATGGGCCCATTATCTGTGAGATTCCCTTTTTGTACCGTTCGCCTTTCAGGCTCATCATGGCTCACAATCCAATAATGGCAAGCAATGCCAGAATGTTGGCAGTCAGAAACCACTCCAAAGGAGCACAAGGGATCCAAGAAAGGTGTTATTCTATCTTGTTACCATCCGGAAAGAGATCGAGCAGGAGAGCAGCATGAGCTATTAGGTCCATCCAAAGAGAGAAAGGCCAGCGACGACGAGACCCCAGCTGACCATTTTGAGCGCGCATTGAATGCCCCATATGGAAGACAATGAAAATGTGCCAGCAGGGACTCATGCAAGAAGCTTGTCACGACGAAGCTACCAGTCCCAAAAATTCCACCTTCACAGATAGTTGATTCAGATAGTGATCAAGAAAAACGAAGCAATAGTCATTTATCTCGCCGTTGCTCATCCCATCTCATTCGCAGAGATCTTGGTTTCTATTCGGAGACACTGAGCTCTGTCACTGTTAAAAAAAATGCTGGACCAACTGTATACCGATTCTGCATCCTCAACTCTGTTGCATTCAGACAGAACAGCTTCCAAAGCTCCAACTTTCAGTCCAAGCGTTGCCAAAGCCTCCTCTCTTACTTCATGGGAACCACATTGGATTCGATGCTTTTCCTATTGTTCGTGAGAGAGGTCAAGTGCGGTGCATCTCAAATGAGCGGGCGGATTGGAAGGAAGCATCTGCAGGACGTACTGTCCATGGTGATGAACAAGGAGCAAATGAAGATATGTCTTGGTAAACAATTCAGGCTAGCTACATCCTGCTCTTAGACGGTGATCGACCTGAACTCCATGATGGTGGCTCTACCTTTGAATCAACCTTCCAGTCTGAGGCATTTCCGTTAGTCCGATTCGATCGTCTTGCCTTGAGAAGAGAACAATGTTCACACTGTGCACAGGAGGCTGACCCTCTGCGGCGATATCTCCATTCTGCTAAATCAATCCAATGCAAAACCTATGCCACGTGCGTACGTAACTCGACAGCAAGATGAATATTCCCTAAGAGCAGTATGAAGAAAGCCAAGATGAGGGGTTGATTTGTAAGCTTCCCCACGGGCTTCCCCACCTCCAGGTGTATTTATATCATGTCAGTGTTGACTCAAGTCTTGTCATTGCAATCGCAAGCACATTTCCAGAAATTAAGAATCCCATTATTGGCGCGATAGACAGACACAATGGTGACCAGTGAGCCGGTGCATTTCTTCGATATTACTTCCAAACTGCCAGGTACGGTGACATCACGCCTCCGCTCGGAGATACTTTCCCCGCACTGACTGAAGAATGATCCTGACTGAATATGATCCTGCCAGGCCCATCAAAATCATGGTCACCAAACACCCTCAAAACCCGCCTGGTGCTCAACTACAAGGGCATCCCGTACACGCAGTCGTTCATCTCCTACCCGGACATCGCGCCGCTGCTGAAGAGCCTCGCGGTGCCGCCGCTGCCCGATGCGGAGAAAATGCCCTACACGCTGCCGGCGATCGTGCACAAGCCCTCTGTCAAGAACAACCCGCATGGCGCCATGAACGACTCGTTGCCCATCGCGCTGCATCTGGATGAGGCGTTCCCCGCGCCGCAGTACCCGCCGCTCTTCCCCTCCGGTGACGCGAGCTATGCCCTGGCCCTGGCGGTGGCGAAGATCCTCGGCAACGCGGCCGTCAAGGGCTTCCCGCTCGTTCTGGCCAATATTGCCGATATCCTCGATGACAGGGGCAGCAAATACTTCCACGAGACGCGCGAGAAGATCTTTGGCAAGCCGCTGGCGGAGCTGCGGCCGCAGACCGACGAAGGCGTGCAGGCCCTCTGGGACGACATGCAGAAGGAACTGAGCGTGCTGGCAGGGATGCTGACGGGGAAGAAGGGCAAGGAGGGCCCGTTCCTGGAGGGCGCGAGGCCAGGGTATGCGGATCTCGAGATCGCGGCCTGGCTGGCCTGGTGGGAGCGGGTCGACAAGGGGACGTGGGAGAAGATGATGGGTCTGGGCGATGGCGCGTTCAGAAGGCTGTGGGACGCGTCTTTGCCTTGGGTGAATGGCCAGGGTGAGGAGAAGGAGTGGCCGGTGCCGCAGTAATCTACAGACATGTAAAATTGTCTATCATACAGCATTTATGGCAAATTCTTATGTATCAATAGAAAGAGCTAGCATAAGAATAATATGTATTTCAGGCATACTTATACGACAGAAGAAAATCGAAGATACAATTTTCCCACAGCAACATTATATACATACGTAGAGTACAGTACTGTACAGACAAGAAACAATTTCCCATCATGCGCAAGCGCAAGCGCATTTCATCCATGTCCCACTGAGGGCACAATTCAGGTATCGAATCCAAAAAAAAAATCCAGAAACTTAGACCATCCGACGGAGGAGAAAATTCATTCAATCCGCCTGGAAAGAACTCCCCACAAACCCACCCCAACCAGCAAACTCAGCCGCGAATCGAACAGCCGCCTTTTCATAGAACCGGTCCGGATCCCCCCACGTGTGCGCCGCCTCCTTCAGCGCGCGAATGGCCTTGACATAATGCGGATCGGTCGAGTGTTTGCCCTCGATCGCTTGGCGGGTCGCCCAGTTCCAGTCTCGCCCGGCGCCCGGGTTGTACCCCAGGATCCGGTCGAGTTTGATCTCTGGGCGCAGCTGCGCGATGTAGATGGCCAGCGTGACCAGCCACCATTGCCGCACCAGCGCGATGTGGAAGGCCTCCGGGATCAGCGGCAGGAGGATCCGCACTGCGTGGCTGGTGGTCAGCACGTGCACGAGGAAGAAGTCGTACTGCTCCGTGTCGGTGCCCACGAGCAGCGCGGCCGCCGCCTCCTGGCTGTCGCGGAACTGCTTGACGGGGTCTTCGATCTTCCACGCGTTCCAGTGGTTGAGGAGCGCGGCTTCGCGCTCCCGGAAGATGGTCTCGAGGTTGTGGCTGCCTGGCGTGGCGAACAGCCCGTTGAACCGGTTGTCGGTGCGGACGCGATCCAAGATCTCGAAGGGCGACAGGCTCCGGTACGACGGTTCCGCCTGGAAGTATGACGGGTCGTCCAGGTATTTGTGCAGGTCGCTGTAGCAGGTAGCCGCCAGGGCCAGTCCTTCCATGCCCACCTCGCGGCTGGACATTTCCAAAGCATAGCCGATATGGATCAGGGGATGGCCCACTGGGCATCGTCAGCAATTGACCGGACGACAGTTTGAGCAAGGGAGATCATACGATCGGCAAGAACAGAGTTGATCAGGGGCTCCTTTCCCTCGAACAGGAACTTGTTCAGCACCGTCTTCCAGTCATAGCCTTGCCGCACCACCTCGTCCTCGAAGAAATCCACGAACGCACGCTGATATCTGCTGTCGTCAGAAGACCTTTAGAACAAGACAGGGTGGTTGATGAGAGGCCTACTCTCTCTTCCCCAGATAATCCCTCCAGTCAAAAGTGCTGATTTCACTGGGCGCATCCGTCCATGGCTCGAGGAACTTGGAATCGACATCATAAAGGCGATTCAGATGGTTGGCATCAGCACCAAGCAGATACGCAGAGCTCAGGAGCTGTATGTATCGTAAGAAACAGCAATTTCTCTAGAAAGCTCAGCTCAGCAGAAACATACATGCGGCATATGGTTATGAAACCGCCTCTCATTGTACAAGACGGCGAAGTTGACATGGTTCAGCTTGAGGAGGTGTTTGAGAGCGCGCGCCGACTTCTCGACGGCGGTCTCGATCTCGTGGATCTTGACGGACGGGATGCGGATGGCGTGGTCGGACCGGGAGGAGAAGAATCGGGAGAGGTAGGAAGCGACGGAGAACATTCTGCAATTAATATGTATGTACTGGATGCGTTGGGCGGTACTTTTTAAATTTTATTTAAATTAAATAAAATCAGATGATAGAATAAAAGGTGGGGAAGCCAAACTTAAAGCTAGGTGATGGATGGGTATGATGCTAAAAGAACTGCCCAGGCAGATGAAGTTCGATGCACGACACATGTCACGATGAATCAGCCATATCTTAGCAGCCAGACTGGACAGCCCAGTGAAATATATACACTGCCAGCGCAGTCTTGCTGGAAGTATTGCAGTTTGCAACAAGTGATGAGCTGAGAGATTAAGTTATGTTGGGGTGCGGAGATGCGGCAAGCTATGACATATGCCTGCAAACGTGACAAACACGCCATCTTCTGCGAAATCATGCAATACTCGACTAGTGTTTTATTAGGCTGTATATACTGCAAGGTTGCCATATGACTGTCTGAGCCAATGTCCTCTCATTTCGCCACTTTCTCCTCCGATGAAAACTCCAGCGGTGCTTCTCCCACAGGCACGCCCTGCGCAAGCCCGTCCAGGTTGACCCTGGGGCCCGTAAAGTTCTTGCGCCCGTCGACAATCCACTGGAAGACGGATATCACCAGCACGATCCCGAATGCAGCCACGCAGTAGTCTGCCAGTAATTTAGCATCTCTGTCGTAATTGGCGTAATTAGGCTACTTACTCATGTTGCTCCCCGTAACGGGTAGTTCGGGAGGGAAGAGGAAGAGCACGGTCGTGAGGATAATATACACCAAGGAGATCTGTCAAGCCGTTAGTGCACAACCGGCCACTACACTGCGGAGATGCTTACGATATTTGCCGTCCAGGCAAGCCCAGACGGCAGGCTCCACGGCCGCTCCGGAAGCATCTTCCGTCCTCGTAGGCAGTTGACCACGATTGGCATTCCGTATGACAGGTCAAGCGCGACCACGGACGAGGAGATAATGGCGTTAAATGCGCTTGAATACAGTCAGTCCAACAAGCTACCAGAAAATCTGAGCTGCTGCTGAACGCACCTTGACGACCCCAAGAAAATGCAGCCGAAAATAATCACGAGTATGGTGCTCAGGCAGAGAGCGTTGAGAGGCAGACCAAGCTTTTTGTGCACCTTGGCAAAGAACCGAGAGGCGGGTAGGCCACCGTCTCTGAAGGAGGTCAGCTCAGATCAAAACTGTCCTTAGCAGGGTTCAAGTTCACCTGGCAAAGGCATAGATCATGCGGCTGCTAGTAGTCATGATCGAGGTCGTGGCGAAGAGTAGGCAGACTAGTGGAATGCTGTTCCACGTCAGCTAGACGTCTCGAATCGACCGCGCCAGACTTACATGAGAAGGCAAATGGCGCCCGCGTGATTTTTGGTCGCGTTATCCAGAATCTGGAGCAGAGGCCCAGCAGACGAGTTGATGATGTCGTCAATATCTCCTGGGACGAAGAGCAGGACGATCAGGAAAACGGCGCCAGTAAAGGTGCCGATGCCCACACAGGTAACCATGATTTTGGGGCCCTCGATCGAAGCGTTGGGGATTTCTGGAAGGTCATCAGTATCGGTCGCTCTGCGCGTAGCGAGTCTATTCACCTTCGATCATGTGGGCGACGGCATCCTAGAGTTGTTAGCTGCAGGCAGTATATATAAATGCGCTTGATACATACAAAGCCAGTAACACCAAGTCCGCCTTGGAGCAACTGACATCCACATTAGTATTTAGACTTGCTACCAGGCTACAACGACATACTCCAAGCAGCCACGCAATCCCATCCGGCCCTAGTAAAGAAATTAGTATGGTCTTGACAGATCTCGAACCTAACACTTACAGCCGGTTTGGTTGATAAATTCGCGAAAGACAAAGCTGCATACAGAAAGAGGTCAATATCCCCCGACCAAAGTCAATGGTGCGACGTACTCGCCAGAATTGAAGTGCGGTGACGAGCACGCCAACACCGTGATAGAGATGATCGCAAAGCCAGTAATCGACCAGATGACTGCGACATCAGTACTCGTCCTGAATGTCTTTACTAAGGAAACATACATGCAGCTCGTGTAACCCATGGCAAGGCAGAGTTCATGAACGCATTGATGACAAACGCCACAACATTGTAGGCGATGTAGATCAGGAACTGGTGCCATCGCTGGGCCTCATAGGTCTAGGACTGTGTTAGAGAGATCCGGCAACAATCAAGGCGGAGGTCATACCGGGTGCATCAGGGAGATGACCCCGAGGATCAGCTGGCTTCCAAGAAGACCACCAGTGGCAACGAGAGCGACCTAGCCGGTCAGCGATGCTTCCTTGTATTTCGATATAGCGTCTTACCCATCCAGCGACATTGATCCAGCCGGTAATCCAGGAGAGAATGGGCACCCACTTCTCCCAGGAGACTGGCGATGGTTAGGTCGGTCCGACGGTTTAGAGGCAGGTCCACTTACTGACTGGAAGATGACATTAGCTTCTGCAGGACTTTGAAATACACAAATGGGAAATACTTACCAGCAACCCAATGGTACTGTCCACCCGCACTGTTGATGCGTCAGACTCGTCTGCGAGGACGAGGGGAGGTGCAAGACGGACTCACGTGGGATAGGCCGACAGGAACTCCGCCAGCGAAGCGGCCATGCACAAGTTGCAGATACCAGCAGTGATCAGCCCTGCTCCTCGTCAACAACGCCATTCGCGTCAACAAGTCCACCAGACAAGCTTACCCCAGACCACACTCGTACTTCCACCGGACGGGAGACTCAGATTGAGACTGGCGGACAAGGCAGTCCACGACTACACAAGATCGCGTCGCGTCAGTTCGCATCCATGCAATAGACAACCTCATTCGGTACGTACGTTCAGAATGGCAAACGCAAGACCCAACATTGACCTGCGATGCAGAATATCCATCAGCTTGGAATCCCTCTCACGAAGCTGCTTCTTTCAATTGAAGGCGAAGAGTCCTAGCATGACTGCACTGCGACTCACAATGTCGAGAAATTGCGCTTCAATTCGGCCTTGTGGCCCATGGCCGCCAGCTGGGCATCATCGTCGATCTGAATTTTCTTCTTCATGGTGGGGACTTGCGCAAACGAGCGCGACGAGAGACGCAATAAATTCAGCAGTCAGTCAATTGCGAAAAGAGAAAAAGCGCAGAGAAAAACGAAGTCGAAGACGAAGACAAAGGAGGCGGGATTATTCTCGAGATAAGAAGAAATAAATAAACTCGTCTGACACACTTGACAGACAGCGCGCGCGGGTTGCCCGTGGGGTCTTACGCCATAGCTCCTGGAATTACCTTCTACGGCGTGTTCTGTTCTGGAACTCCACTCCACCCCCGATAAATCCCTCTTCTCCTCGCGGGGGATGGGGATTGGGGGACCCGCCCGATGAACTGGTCAGTCAGGAACCAGACGAAGATAAGAAAATGTCAGACGATTTTTATTCGAGACATCTTCCTTGTCAAGCACTCCGTCCCTCGGTACAACATTGTACTGTACCTGGATGAAGTTTGAACACGCGATGCGGAGTACCGAGTACAGAATTTCGGCAGCCATTTCCATTCGACACCAGCGCCGAAAGTAAGACGACCGCGCTGATGCCATGCCTTGGTCGGAGGGCGCAACCAGTCAAACTGGCCAGAACAAGCTTCGCGTCGGCATCTCCGTCGATAAGCTGGGCGACCGTTGTGGGGGCGGACTGCCGGCGCCTGCGGGAATTACGAAGTACGGAGTAGGAGTAATCCGGTAGCTTTTGGTTCTAAAACCGTGGCCTTTCCAGTGTAATGGTTGGTCATTTATACAAAGCACAGGCTTCTCTCAGCGCGTACTGTGCTGTACATCATGAGTGATAAATTGAATAGCCTTTCTAGAAATATTTCCTAAGTGTTTTTTTTTAAAAAAAATAATTTTTATTTCTTCATCTTTCAAAGCTTTACGCGCGTGTTGACCAAACTAAAGAGATAACTTTATTTTTTTTATCTAATGGCTTGAAAAACTAAAACTAAAGAAAGGCGAATTGATATCAGGTTGACTGGACCAATCAATCAATCAATCTGAGAAGAAAATTAGTACTAATTTTGCCGATTCAACAAAACTAGGCTTAAAACATGCGGAACGCAATTTTCACCAGTATATATAAACTTAATGCTTTCTTTGACCCCCTTGCTCATGAAGTTATTTTTATAGGTAGATTTGTTAAGGAGCTTAAACTAGCAAATTTACAAGTATTGTATTGGCTTAAAAATACCATATATAATCAACCTCATAAACGTCCATCAGGATCACTAATAAAATAATACAATGGACAATGTGAAACCATTATCCCCTTGGCTGCTAACAAAATGTTCAAATTAGTGCGCACCTTTTGTAGTGGGTCTTATTGGCGACACAGCCTTTACTACTTTAAAAGATGCTGTCTATGGTATTATTGGTTAATCGGGGCCACTCCAAGATAAAGTACTCTCTGTACGTAAGCCTTATTAGCCTATACTATTGGCATTTAATTATTCCACATCTACCAATTGGCAATAAACAATAAACATACATTACTTATCTGATTAATGTATTCCTTCGTTTACTAGGGAAGGAAGGTATGCCATATTGAGGTGATTGAATAGTTCATTATATGTACAGTACTGTGCATATGATCATACAGAGTTAGATGAGATGATCGCTCAATGAGGCTTCCTGCTTGCCTGCTTGCTTGCCTGCTTCCCTTCGTGCGTCATGCCTTGTTGTGTATGTATGTACAGTACATGATAGAGTAAAATCGTGCGACTTTTGACAATGACATGCCGAGAAAAGAGTACCAAAAAAAAAGGCCAACAAACAAAAAAGAGTATGCATATGGATATGAATGCCATCAACATAAACATGCAGACATGCAGAGGTATAGTATATCAATCCACATCGTCATAGTCCGTCGCACTCGACTTCAGATGGTCGGTGCGAACCACATACTCGTCGTCATCTCCATCCTCCACGCCATCGCCATCATCATCCCCCTCCTCGCCCAAATCCTCGTAGCCACCACGTTGCGTGCTCCCGTTTCGAGAACCCGGCTGGTAGCCATCGAACGACGAGTCCGAGTCCCCCCCGCTCGGGACAACCGTCTTGCTCTTCCCCTTGCCTCCTGCTACGTGCATCGCTGAGATAATTCGGCCTTTGCCTCGTCCTATGGACGGCACTCCGCCGCTCAAGCTTCGCACGCTGCTCATTCCTGTTTTGCCCTTCCCTTTGCTGTCGTGCTCGTGCAAGTTGCCGTTCACGACCGCGCTGCCGTTCTCCGTGATCTCGCTCCCAGGGCTGAGACCATCGAGCGCCTCTCCTATCGTGCGAGGCGCGGACCCTTGCTTTTCCTGCGCAGTGGCCGATTCGAATGTCCGGCGTATCCGTTCGAAATGCTCCAATTCCTGGGCACTGTCCACAGTTAGAATTGTAATGAAACGCTACAAACACGCAGATGCAAGTGACCTACCTGACACTAGGAACGAGCTCATTCTGGGCGTCGATAAAGTCCTGCTCCGTCACCATCACAGCCACGTCCTCCGGCGTCGCGAGGTGGTCAAAAAAGTATGCCGTGCTGACTGGACCACCTGGCAGTGTCTTGATCTTCTCGTCCACCGCCGCTGCCTGCCGGGTAATGGCCTTGAGCATGGCGTCCGAGCAGAGCGCATACAGGTCGGCACCCGTGTAGGTGAAGGGCAGTCGCTCCGCAATCCGTGGAAGGGAGACGTCTGGGTGGAGCGTGAATTTCCGGGTCAGCGCCTCCAGGATCCGAGTCTGCTTCTCATGCGTATCGGACACGCCCAGGTAGAGCATTTTGTCGAAGCGCCCAGGACGCAGCAAGGCCGGATCCAGAAGATCCGGCCGGTTGGTCGCCCCAATGACGAAGACACCGCCGCCGTTCTCATCGCCATTGCTCATTCCATCCAACTCCGCAAGCAACTGGCTGACAATGCGGTCCATCACGCCGCCACTGTCGCCTTGGTTGCCTCGCTTGGGCGCAACCGAGTCCAATTCGTCAAAGAACACCACGCACGGCCGTGCGTCTCTAGCGCGCTGGAACACGCGACGGACGTTCGCCTCCGACTCACCAATATACATGTTGAGCAGTTCCGGACCCTTGACGGAGAAGAAGTTGAGAGAGAACTCGGTGGCGATGGCTTTCGCGAGGAGAGTCTTTCCCGTTCCCGGCGGACCATAGAACAGGATGCCGCTACGCTTCTTCATGCCCTTGGCAAAGAGCTCGGGCCGTTCGAGAGGCAGCTGGATGGTTTCCATAACGGCGTCCTTCACGTTCGTTAATCCACCGACGTCGTCCCAGGTAACGTTCGGGATCTTCGGTGCCCCAATCGCGTCGGAAAAGTTCTTTCTCGCCGCGTCGACGGCAAGATCGAAGTCGGCCTTAGTCACGCAGCGCGCAGCATCCCCGCCTGCCAGCTGCACGTCCCTGACACTGACTGTGGAGTCTGCGTGATGAGCGCTGGCGGTTTCGGCTAGTTTCTCAAGACGAGCCGATTTCGCCGCAGACGCTCTCTCCACCACATCGACAAGATCCCCAGCCACGAGAGCGGCGGTTTTCATTGCCACGGCTGCCAGGTCCACGTCGGGGGAGAGCCGGATGCTCCGATCAAGAACTGCGTTTTGGAGGATGCCTTCTCGCTCCTTCTCCTCGGGCGCGGTCATTTCAAACTCATGCGTAAAAAGACTCCGGATGCCTTCGGGTATCTTGTCGACGTCGGTGGTCGTTGCGACGATGACCCGGGAATCCGCAACAATCTCCTTCATGGCGGTGATCATCCTGTCGGCGGTCAGGACTTCAATATGTCTGATGAGAAGCGCTGTGCAGTTCGCACCGCAAGCAAAGGCCCTCTCAGCCCTTGCTTTCAGGTACGCCTCTGTCTTGACGTCGCCTCCATTGGCTCCACCTTCCGTAAGAATGTCGTAGGCATCCACGGTGAAGGTGTGAAGCCCGATGTCGGCACACGCGCGCGTTGCGAGCGTCGACTTCCCGATGTTCCTCTGAGTTGACCTCAGGAGGATCACGACCGGAGGCATCCCCAGCTGGATGGCTCGAGGACTGGTTGCGGCCGTCATCAGCTCCCGCAGGCGTTTCTGGAGTGGAGGCACGAATATCTTCGGCAACTCCGTGACGAGACCGTGAGACGGAGGAATATCAGTGCTTGGCTTGGGCAGAGTCTTCACCCCAAGCCAATACTCCCAGCCATTGCCCAAGGTGCCAGGAACTCGGCTGATCTCGCTTCCTGCCTGTACCATGCGAGTGCTCGAGGAATCGATGACGGCCATACCACCCCATTGATCTTCAGCGCCGTCTTCCTGGTCCCCAGCAACCGCAGGGACAACCTGTCCAACACGAAACCACGCCACACCCACTTTTCGAGCTCCAGCGGCGTCGTCCTGAGGCGACTCTGGGACGAAGCCGAGCTTGGCTGTCAAATCGTCCTCCTGGTTGCCACCATCTGTAGCCTTGCTGGCCGAGAACACAGCTCTTCCGAGTCCTTCATCGACGCTGATTCCAACAAGGTCGCCACTCTTCAGGAGCCTGTGCTTCGACTCGAAGTAGCGTCGTAGTCCGGCAAACAATGCTGGCTGAAGCGTCCGGTCCATCGACAATGGTGTGGCAATCTTGAGAAGAGTGACTTCTTTGGCGACTGGCGGAGACTTGGGCGACGTCGACTTGTGCTGCTGTGATAGGCCAGATCTTGATCCATGCGCAGCCGTGAAGGGCAATGGCGACAGCTTCACGTATTTGGGGCTATCCAGATTGCTGAGCAGCAGCGGAGGCACGAAGACTGTGGGCGTAAGACGCTGAGCGGGTAGCTGAGAGATGCTCGACCGTCGGTCAGCCGGCTGGCCCACGACGTATCGTGGTTTCGGAGACGGAAGCCCAGGTAATCCGTAGACTTTGACGGCACGCCAGTTGCCAGAATCCTCGTCACCCAGGTTCAGGCTGCCGAGCGACGCCAACATGTTCGCCTGCGGCTCTTCTGTGGGTTCGATTCTCACCCAGTCCCCTGAGAAACAGCCAATCTTGACGAGGGTGTTGATGTCGACGAAGACAAAGGAGTCGGTGTCGTCGTCTTCTTTGGGCTTTGGATGTAACAGCTCCGTTGGCACGCGATTGAGAAGGCCCTCTGCTTTGAAAGTCTTCCCATATCCGCGGTTCGGACGAGCCGTCCCCGAGGTAAAATTCGACACTACCGACCCAGGAGTATGAACGCCATCCACGCGTCGGCCACCAGGGCGAGGCGTCATGGAGGACATGGCGGACATTGTCCCGGAGGGCTGCTGCGGCAATTCTGGGGCAGTGAGAGAGATCATATCTTCGAGAGAATCATCTGAAGAGTCGTTTGCAGACTCCACCGACCCTTCCGTCTCAGATTCGTCCGGCGGCGAGGTGCTTTCCACCTCCGTGCCACTGTCCATTGGCCGCTCCTCTGCGGCCGAGTAAAACTGCTCATTGGAAGTGTCGTCGGCGTCATCTTCGGTAACGCCTTTCAGGAGACCCGATCCCGGTGAAGCCAAACTCGGGGAAGCCAAACTCTTGTGAGCACGAGATCCCCGTGGACGAGCCTGGATGAGAACGATTTTGGTGGTTGGCAGAAGCAGACCCTGCGCGACCGGTTCACAGAAGGATATCTTGGCTGGGGGAGGCGGGACATGGGTGATAGGATGCGATGGAAGTGGGAGCGGCAGGAGGTCGCCGGTGTGGACGACCCTCTGCTTCGACAAGGCCTCGCGCACCGCGGCGGTCAATCTCTCCTCATCTTCCGCAGCCGCCTTCTTCGTATACCTTTTTGCTTCGGTGGCCTTGCCTCCCTTGGCCCAGAGCCCGTTGACCCCTTGCGCGTTGGTACTGAATCCTCCACCGAATTTATTCTGTACGTCGTCATGGTTCCGTAGAAGATGCCGCTCCACCGTCACATACACGGTATCGAGATGCAGGGGGGCGACGTCGAGAATTCGGATCTCGATCGGTTTCTGCGGCTGAACCGCATGACGCGTAGGATCCAGCTTTCCCAGGGTGTAGAAGAAGGATTGCAGGTAGTTCGCCGAGGCCGGGAATAGGACGGTCGAGTGAGAGATGGGCGCGACCTGCGACCGCTCCGTGGGCTGAATCCGCGCTGGGATGATGGTCCAGGGAATATCGTCGACAGCATGGTAGTGAGGAGTGTAGGGAGAGATGGCGACGTAGAGGACTTCCTGGGTGTTGCTGTTCAGTCCGGCCTCTGCACGCCGGGTTAGCAGAGGTCGCATGCACGAATACGCAGGTGGATGCTCACCAGTCAGATTGATTCCTGGGAACAGATCCGTCACCAGGTCATCAGACAGCACAGCGACGTCGCCCCGCAGGTGGCTATCCAGGACGAGACGGGCAGAAATCGGAGGCTTGGAGCGGCGGCGTCCTCTGAGTCCTTTCCGGCGCCTGCGCTTGGGCTGGTCGGGGGCGAGCCCGTGGTGGTCGGCGGCCATGATGTCGCCCTCCGGACCTTTGATCGGTGCAGACAGACAGCGGAGAGCAGGCGAATGCCCAGAGGTGAGAATCAGAGATCATACTTGAGATGTTGGATGGTTGTCCGAATGGGAAACGAACTCGCCGACAGCCGAGGCAACGCACGGACCCGGCGGTCGGGTAACGCCGCTGCGGGGAAACAGTCATTTCGTCGATATATTTATTTCTTCATCACTATGTGTATAGCTACGATTTTGCTGTTATTAGAAATTAGAATATATCATTTCCTACCTCTTGATGAAGATAATCTACATTTTACTAGGTATTAATTATTTTGATGATACAATGGGTATTTATAATTTTATATCCAGGGTTACTATAGAATATTGAAGTCGATATTATCGCAAAAAAAAAAAGTAGTGGTATTTTTTGCCTTTTGTACTGTTCAGTAACTACCCATGACACTGTAAATTCATACAGCATGTAGTAAGCAATAACAAGTACAAGCAAGAAATATGAAGACGATTACACAGGTAGACTTTTCTAGCTTCCACATAAGATGTTATATATGTTACCTTCAAGAGTCAGACTTTAGAGTTGTTTTTTTTCTCTTTAAAATCCAGACATCTTGATTTTCGCTTTTATATCAAAATTGATATTACTTTCCTCTTCAGCAAAGACCATCATGTGATATGCCTTCGACGGTATTTGGAGTATATATATACGCTCACCTCGCCCAGCTGAACCTGCTGCACAACGGCTTCAGCAGACGCAGCTGGATCCGCATGGGCGCCGACTGGTACAAGGGGTCTGGCCGAGTGAAGCACGAGGCTCATGAGGTGCGCAGTGGTCCGTTCCAGACCATCGTTATCGACTCGCGACAGGCGTGTCCCGGGCGGTTTTTCGCCGCAGCCACGATAAAAGTCATCGTGATGCGTTTGTTAGAGGAGTTTGATCTGAAGCTGGTGGATGAGAAGGCGGGGAGACCCAAGAATAGGATTAAAGGCGCGATGAGCTTCCCTAGCGAGACGGCTGAAATTATGTTTAGAAGGAGGCAGTAGAGAAATTAGGCCATATGACGGTAAAACGACAGAAAAATCACACATTGAAACAACAGAGGCTTTATAGATGCTGCTGCGCATGCTGGATCATGTATGTGGCCACAAGACAGCGTCATGGGAGGCGATTGCTCCATTGTAGGGGCCTTCCTGGGATAAGAAAGTGTCAAGATCTAAGAGAGCTTATAACAAACTTTGCTTGAAATGTTAGGACTTATGACTCTTGTTATTGTCTTTATTAATAAAGTAGTCAAAGTATTATAATTAGGTTTCTTTATTTGTATATTTAATCTTGTCCTCGTGCGTCACCTCTATTGCTCCATTAATGCCAGCTCATGCATAATACTGTCCCATTAACTATGGCCATTTCTATTCTATGGACTTGTCAACTACTCAACTTGATTGGATTTTAGTCTGAGGAAACACACGAAATAGGCATAGTTTGGAAAAGAAAAAAAATATCCTTTATCCTGGCCATCGATATGCTACTCAACACTTCCATCCGCATTCACTAGGTATGTACTGTGTGTACATACAGTACCTACATGCCAGCGAGCTAGAACTGGCTTATTTATTGTCGAGAATTTGAAGGAATCGGTTTCTGTTGCACCAATGAGCGAGACGCAACTGTGGAGATTAATCAAGTACTGCGGAGTGGATTGTGTCAGTATAGTGGACTTGATGTGATTGGTACTGTAATTATTCAGCAGGCGGAGAAGTAATCCATTTCAGGGAAAGAAAATAGATGTAGTTGCTGTTTGTATAGGGATGCGCTTCGACATTAATTAATTGTGTAGCTAAGCAATCCACTCTTTCAAGGATCAATAGTTAGATCTAGGACTTTTTTTTTTCGAAGGTCCTATGAAATCCCTTGAGCCATGACAACAAAGAAAATGGGTGGACTTCACCGTCCCACAAACAGATTGGAGGGGGTAGACAACAAGCATAGCAAATACTCCGTAGAATCCTCTAACCTTCATGGATGGGTATGTTGTAGAGCATCCGGGTTCCGTTCCGGTTATTGCCAGTGAATCTTATGCTGAGGGAAGAGCATCTCCAGTCTGCCACATGAAGAACTGGCGAGAGTTTGAATTTGTCGAATACTGGCTCCATCTGGTGGTAGAGTTGTCTTATTGTGGGTCGTGCTTTATTTATAAACTTTTTATGGTTCCGTGGTGGAGTGTCCAACCCTGAAGGTATAAAATAAGATGTTGACCAAACCTTGTTTGGCTTGATTGGGGACCTCATAAACTAATGATAATAAGAGAGGAAGCGGGGTTTGGTTTCCTTCTTTGTAATTACTATGGATAATAGCTCACTGGGGCCGGTGATCCGTTGTAGGATTCACTCATATGAGGTAGTTGAACTCGATCCGATCCGTGCAGATATAGCAAGCAGATTTCAGGTGCAAGTGAGTAAGTAGTAGTATTCCCATGCGACTTGTTTGATATGAGATTATGAGCATAGTACTTTTTTTTTCTTTGAGGCCACTAGGTTTCTTTTTTTTTTTGGTCAGATCAATTCGACTGCAGAAATCGAGTTTGAATCATGAGAGACCTTTTTTTAGCTCTGTGAATGCCACGGATCCTCAACTCATCGCTTATCCAGCGTTTTAAAATATGTCCATGTCGAAACTTTCCACTCTCAAGATCAATATATCTCATCTCCCGGGCATATTCAATTGCCTCAAGATTTGCTCTTTTTCAGTTACCAACACAGCTGAGAATTTGCAGCTGATCTTCACTGCGAGGCTGAGGCAGTAGAACCTTTTTTTTCTTTGTCTCAAGAGTAGATATATCTCTTCATGCCAGATCCTCCAGCAGAAGTACTGTACCTATTGAATTGTTCGACAGTCCCATTGAGATTCAACTTCATTCAGGCCACTGACTGTGAAATTTCTGTTAGCTGTACAGTACAGTACGCCGAAACATTCTTGTTCGGCTTCTCCATCCACTCACTGATTTCCTATGGTCACCGTTCTGGAGCTTTCCATTCATTGACTGGTTCCATTTCGAGCGATCGCCCCTTTTGTTGTGCCAACAACGTCTTAATAATAGTGGAACTGAGAATTAATGCCTGAGGCTTTGTCGACGCCATACCTGACGTGGTCGACAGATAGCTCAGGGAGGGGGAAAAAATATGGACTTGTATAATATGGATCTCTGAACAAGTTTTTTTTTCCAAAATGACCACCCACCTTGTCTGGTGTGTGAATGATCTCATCAGACCAGGTAGGTATAATAAAGAACGTACAGTACATGGACATACAAAAAGAGTGACTACCTAAAAGAGTTGTGGAGTGTTGCAATTCAATTTTCAATAATACAAAACACATTTTCAATGACAATAAAAGATAAACCAACCCTAGATCCGCCTTATCCTCCTCAATTACCATCAGATAATTTCCAACTTTTTTTTTTGGTTCTGTCTTTATGACCTTGTTGTATCTGCAGCTTATCATGCCATCTTTACTACCAGTTTCTTTTTTTTTTTCGAGTTTCGGAAACCTGTCCCTTTGCTTCCATGAATCGCTAGCGGCGATAAATGATGTGGAGTGATAGTCGAAGATTTGAAGATTTGACAACAGATAGATCGAGAAGCTTAACGCGATCTTGAACTTTAAATCCCTTTTAGCATCCTTAGCATCCTATCATCACCATCGCTTCATCAAGTCTTTTCCGTGTAACAGCCGGCTGGTAAATATCATGGCACCGCCGGCAATGAGTGTACAGCCCTAAAAGCAAAGCACATATTAAAAAAACAAAAATCTCCCAGATCTGCAGAATACTAGATCACATACTGAAAAGATGATCAGAGGCTGATATCCAGCCCGCGTCTCCTCTCGAATCAAAGCTCCACCGATCGGAGTACCAATCAAGGTTGCGACGGCAGTACAAGTCGAGAAAGCACTGAGTCTGGCGCCGATTTTCGCTTCGAGCGTGATTTGTGCCACGGCAGATGGTGTGACGGAGATGAAGATCCCAGAGCAGAAGCCATAGAGGCATGTAAATGCGATGAGAACGTCGGTGCTGACCGCGGGTAGCCACATTGCTAGGCAGAAGACTCCCGACAAGGCAGTCATGGGGTACAGGATGTTGAGGCGCCCTATTCTATCTGCTATGTGTCCTCCGCTTCATGATACGTCAGTCGTCAGCAATTCAGCAACTTCAGACACATTTGTAAGGCTTTTGAATTGTACGCACAGTATACGACCAAAGAAGCTAGCCGCATTAATCAAGGGCAGCAAATAACTCGTAATATTTGTTCTTGGATTCAGGAGCGTAGTATATGGTTCTTTGATCCAGTAAGCGGATGTCAACTCTTACCAGCTGGTATATATAAAACTCACCAACATAGTAGTACGGCAAATAGAGTCCCAGGCTGGCAACGAAAGTTCCAATAGAAAGAACTGAATAGCGGATATCTAAAAAAGCCTCTGAATTCCAAAAGCTCAGCCGGAGATTTGAGCGGCCTCCGCGGGAGCTTCGGGCGAGATATGTAGAATGCGATCGCATAGCAACACAGCAAGATCAAGGCCGCAATGCGCGTTGACCAGGCGAACCCAATGGTGGGGATGAGTCTCGAAAACATGATCGGGAGACAGACACCACCGGCACTGCTGCCGCTGGCAACAATCCCCATTGCCAAGGCCTTTCGACGCTTGAAGTATTGGCCTACCACCGTGATGGCCGGTTTGATTCCGAAGCCAACTGTCAAGCCAAAGAGCAGGCCCTGGGTTAGAAATTGCTGCCATATCTTGTTTGGCTGGCTGAAAGAAAAGGCCAAAAGCGATCCAGAACAACCCAAAGCTGCGACTGGATACAAGAACTGTAAAAAAAAAAGGTAAGCAATTGCCTTCCAGAATCCAACGATCGGAACCGACCTTGGGGCCGTATGAGTCCGACAGAGTCCCCGTAACTGGTCCAACCAGGTACATGAGGGAGATCTGCAGCGTGCCGATGAGCGCGATCACTGACGGCGAATAGGCCGAAAGATAGTTCAGCTGGTAGTAGGTCTGAAAAAAACCCAAAGCTGTTCATGACGCCGAACGATGCGAAGTAGACCAGGAATGAGCCGGCCACTGCCAGCAATGCCCACAGACCTCTTTCATGGTCTGTTGTCTGCGCGCTCTCGACCGATCGAGCTTCGACATCTGTCCGTGTGTTATTTGCCATGGCCTCCAAGCAAATAAACTGCTCTCAGTCGTGGTTATACTTACAGCGCTGATAAATGTACTGTTAGCCAGAGTCGTAGATATTTTGGTCGACGACAGGGAGATGAGTTAGTTGCGTTTGGAATCGGGGGAACGTTCGATATTTATGCTAGTCTCAGCCGCAGCTTCGGTTTAATAGCACTCCAGACTCCGGGTCAGGCCAGGGTTAAAACGAACAGGCCCTTCCATTCGCCAGAGAAAACAAAGAAATATTTAGTCTAGTTTCACAGTGTCAGCGCGTGCTTGCAGGATGCGCCCACCGGAGACCAGCTGAATTGATAAAATGTAAGCATCTTTGCCTGGTTTTTAGGCTTCCACCATACAGAGTACCCTGCGCTATCCTTTCAGTTATCCTCTCGGACAACCTCTTGAAGGACCTACCAGAAAAGGAAATGAGTATACGGAGTACTGTCCACAACCTTGGGAATCTCTACCAAAATAAACCAGGGTACATACATTTAATTTAACTTAATACAGGCAATTACAGTTACTAGATATAGACTTTCAAGTGTCTCTCGACGGGTTGGATCCGAAGTCCGCATTCCTAGCAGACGTCAAAGAGGTGCCTGCCTGCACTCTGCACTCATACACTTTTAGAATTCCATATCGCCGGCGACATCTGTTCCATGGGGATCTCAGTATTGAAAAAAAAAACAAGTTTGTCCTTCGACTGAGAGGCTACGTGGGCTCGTGGGCTCGTGGGCCACAGAATCCATGCTTATGACATGCTCCTCTTCTTCTTCTGTATCCTCGTACGTAAAGGTCCATAGCTAATGTGTTGTATACAGACCACTCTATAATAATATATATACCCTATTGATCTTATCAGCCTTTTGTCACAGGATTATCTTATCTTATTAATAAATAAACATCGATTTTCGACTGTTGACTTTATTTAGTAGATAGATATATACAGTCATGACACAATCACCATCACTATCATCATTACCATCGTCATTATCAATGTCGTCGTCGTCATTTTATTAAAACAAAAGATTCCTTAGCATCTCCTCTACACATGTATGTATATGTGCCCGCTACGCCGGGAGTTCACACATCTCCGGCACAGTGTAAATCGACGAGATGGACTCGCCCGAGTCGGATGAGTGGGAGGCACTTCTGTTGCGGTGTCTATAATTACGATCATGATCATTTCCTGCTCTATCAGGTGCGTGATGATGGCTCTCGTTCTGGACCGTTTCATGAGGGAGAGGATCGATGAGACTGAGTCTGCGCGATGGACTTCTTCGTTACCGCTGGAGCTGGAGGCTGGCTGAGAAATGGAAGAGAGGAGAAATTGGTGGAGGTGATGAGACCGAAGGTGGAGCTGCTGCTGTTGTCGTCGCCGTTCTGATTGGGATGGATCGAGGTGCTTCAGAAACAGGAGTGGAAGAAGAACCAAGACTAGGAGAAGGGGTATTGTCAGACACTATAGAACTGTATCGCTGCGGTGATGCATCGGCATCATTATGACCGTGCTCCGGCTGCGATTCCCTTGACCCTGCTTGAGGTTGGATGAATGTAGCTGGCGTAGCCTGCGGTGGCTGCTGTTGTGGAAACAACTGCTGCTGGACTACATTAGAGTCCGCCACGCTCGTATTCTGGTCCACATTCGTGACTGACGTGGATTGCGATTGCACATGATTCTGCTGACCTCGATTGAGCCGATTCGGACTCGTCGATGTACTACTCGGAAGACCTTGTTCGAGACTACTGGGCAGTTCCTGCGGCAGAGAGGCGAATGACGACGACACAGGCAACGACGTGGACGTTGACGCCGATTGATAATGAGACAACGGCTGGCTAAATCCATCATGAGGGTTGACTTCAGGCTGGAATGATGTTTGATGCTGCCTCTGTGCCTGTCTCAAAAAGATCGAGCACGCGTCTCTTGCGCTCCTCGTAGATGTCCGCGTCCGGGGCGAACCCAATCCTCTCAGGAGAGAGCCCAAAGGAGTCGGGTGAATAATCATCACCTACACCTCCGAGCAAAGGGGCGCAGGACAGAAGAACCTCTAGCACTTCTGGATGTCCGTAATACGCAGCGTACCGCATCGGCAGCCATCCCATCTCATCCTTGCTCAGCACCGACGCTCCCCGACTGATCAGAAGTGACACCACAGGCAGATGGCCTCCCATCGCTGCCAGGCACAATGGAGAATCTTCATGAAACCGAGCCCCGAAGCGTAAATGTAAAGGAGAACCGTAGTCAAGGAGCTTCTGCACAGCGGCAACGTAGCCATGCCGGCAGGCCACACACAGAGCGCGGTCCCCGTTTGCATCTCGGGCCTCCAAAGACGCTCCCCTCTCGCAAAGCAGACTGAGTAACTGTACCGACCGCCCAGCCGCTGCGAGATGAATTGGCCTCTGCTGCGTGCCTTCTATCTGAGCCTCGATATCGGCCCCCGACGTCAGTTGCAGCTGGACTACTTCAGGGCTATCCGCTATACAAGCGTAATGAAGCGGGTTGAGGCCAGACTGGCACCGCAGATCCAACGGCGGGTTCTTCCGCACGAGAAACTCCACCACAGCAAATTGCCCGCTCATTGCTGCCAAATGCAGGGCCGTCCTCCCTTGGCTATCGACCATCGACAGGGCGCCTCGTTTCTGACTGAGGAGTTCCACGATCTCAACGTGGCCGTTGAAGGCGGCCCAATGGAGAGCCGTCATGCCGTCTTCGTCCGGGCACCGGAAGGTAGCCTTTCGCTTCAAGAGCATCTGGACCGCCAACAGCTGCCCAGCCGCCGCAGCACAGATGAGCGGCGTTCGCCCACTGCCAGGTGAATCGACGTTGGCCTTATTGTTCAGCAGCAGCTCGATCACGGTCAGATGCCATCCCTCGCAGGCGTAATGAAGCGCCGTCATCATCGCAGCATCTCTTGCGTCCATATCGGCTCCTTGAGAAATGAGCAAGCTGACCATTTCAACATCGCCCTGCTTTGCCGCGACATGGAGCGCCGTCATCTTGATTGTCTGCTCGGGAATTGACTTTGGCATGGCTGGCCAGAAGCAACCGCGCTGCTTCAAGTTGGCCGTTGTTGACTGCAACCCAGAGAGCAGTCCTGCTGCGCGAGGTTTTCGCCTCGAGGTCCACCGCCTCCATCAGCAGCAGTTCCAACACGGCGAGATGGCCCCGGGAGGCAGCCAAGTGGAGGGCAGTGGACCCCGACGCGTCTTTTTCGTTGAGCCGGGCATTGTTCTGAACGAGCAGATCGACAATGTCCTCTTCCCACAGTGGGCAGCGACCATGAGAGCATTCCTACCTGAACAGATGTGACGCGCCTCGATGTCGTGGCCGCTCTCGATTAATTTCGACGTCGAAGCGAGATCCAGACTGAGCGGCCTTGACAATCGCCGGGGCAGTGGCTCCATCTGACGAGGTCAGGTCGATGCTGGTGTTGAAATCGCTTTGGCGGCCTCGACGGCCTCTGGTCGACCCTGTGGTGGGACTAACCACGAGGTTGCGCGACGACGATGTTTTCAAGTTCGCCAGACTCGAAGTGTTCAGTCGGCGAAAGGCCGAACGCAACTTTTCTCTCCTGGATCCTGACGACAGTGTTCCCACGGATGGGGGTGTTGACAGACTGCCATCTCCGGACATTTTGATCGGAGGGACGAACTGGGTTGGCGCCAAGAGACACGCTCTTGCTACGGCTGTTTGCCAGCAGGACGGGATCACTGGGTCGCAGAACGTGGCTTTTTCCGCCAGATGAGGCTGTCGATAGAGATCGAGCTGGAGTGGTCGTTCCTGCATCCTGACTGGCGTAGCCTTCGTCGCTCGAAGTGATGGCCGTCCTTCTGGATGGACCTCGAATGATCGCCGGATTCGCATCGGGCCTTGATTGTGAGTGCTGGAGGACCCGCCGATAGGCATCGGTAGAGGCGAGCGTATCGTCGAAATCGAAGGTGGTTTCCCCAACTGATGACAGACGATTGCTGATCGAACGACTGTCAGCTTGGGATCCCACTGCGCTGCTGGTGCGGCTTCGAAGAGTCACCGTGTCGTCGGCGACTTTCTGGGTAATCCTGCGGCTTTCCACCTTCCGCAGAAGCTCGATCTGTTCGGAGGACGATCGACTGCAGAGCAGTCAGCATGGAAAAAAAAAGGACGACCAGACCTGATGATGACACTACCATTGGCATGCTTGGAGGAGCAGGTTTAGAGCACGCACTTGAGCGTGCAGCCTATCCTCCAGGTCTTTCATCATCTCATCATTCCAGACCACTTTAACCCGAGTCCTGAAACCCAGGACGGTGTTCTCTTCTTGAGTCAGAGCCGCGACCTCTTCGGACAGCACCTCCATAACGGCCTGGCAACCATCGAGGGCGACATCCGGTCCTTCCACATACTCCTCGTTGCGGGATGAGCTCTGGCTATTGTACGTGGCCCAGTCATGGAGTTGCGTGATGGCCGATTTGATCGTGGTCAGCTCTCCGATAAGGGAGCGGATTGTGAGATCGGCATTCTTGTATTTTCCTCGCAGCGACGCCAGTCCTGCGATCGTCTGACCGATGATCTGGACGACCTGAAGACCGCCACTCAAAAGTCCAAAGGCAGACAGGATCCATTATCTTGTCGATGTTATCTTATCCGACGGGGCCACTGTAGGAAGCGGAAATGGGGCCGTCCAGTAACACAGTATCGTGACATGGGCCTATCTTACTACAGAGCTCTCTCCTCATCGACACAGACGGTCAATGGAATGTCATTGAGAGCTTCTCTGAGGAGAGTTGTCCGAAGCGTGAATTTGTCTCCAGAACTTGTAGGTCAAGAAAGAGGGGTGATGGAGGTTTGTTGCACGCGCGGCTGAACGCCCGACAATGGTCGCAGTCACGAGAACTGCAGTCCGCCATGACGACGGCTGTGCTGGGAAAATACCAACAGGGGCCATGAAGAGCATGCTGATCTCGTTGGCTGCTGCCCCTGCAGAGCTAAAGTCAGTGTCGGGACAACCGATCCGATCCATTGTTGGCTGGAATCCGGAAGCACGGACCTTGGCCGTCTGCACCGCCTTCCTGCATGCGAAGTATTTTACCTGCGGATGGGATGAGGCTGTGCCTTGTACAGTTGTATGCAAGCGATCCGATTAGTTGACCAGGAAGAGAAGCTGAATGAGAAGCTGAATGTGTATGGCAGCAGACGGACGGAGAGGGCAAGTGCGGCTACGCGAGACAGATCACGGGACTGACGAGTGTTCGTAGTGGATTCAATTCATCATCATTCATGCAAGCTTCAAGCCTTGGACAAACTGTAGAAACCCGAAAGAAAGAGGGGAAAATCCCACCATTACCATTAACAATACCTCTGTAAAAGCAAGTCTACTTCTGCTGCTCTATGCATGCAATCCATAATCCATCCCATGTTCCCAAGTGGAAGCCCCATTAACCATATAAGAAAACAAAACGAGGAATCTTTTGTGATAGTCTGGAAAGGGCCGACTAGTCGGCCAGAACCTGCCGGAGCATCGCCCGGAACGAGTCTTGCAACTTGAGAACTTCGCGGACCTCCGGCTTTACAGGCTCTCCAGCACTGCGGCGGAGATGGTCCTGTTTGCGGGCCCGTCGTTTGCGCTCGGCCGCAATCGGATCGAGGTCGTCATCCTCCGTGTCCTCGTCCGATTCGTCCGACTCCTCATCTGCGATGGCCAGATCTTCGAGATCGGCCTCATCCAAGCCAAAGTCACTGCCCCGGAACGTCGCGCTGCCGGGGATCGAGTCGCTGCCCGTCCCGTCCGCCGCCATCTTTTGCCGGGTTTTGCGGTGATGCCACTTCTTCCGGTCCTCTTGCCACTTGACGAGGGCATTGATTTCCCGGAGAGCAATATCCTTGTCGATCTGCTTGGCCTCCACAGCCCCTTGGAAGAGGGCATTGATGTCGAGTTTGCCGCCCCGAGGCCCCTTCCGTAAGAACTCGAGAATGTCCTCGAGCCAGGACATCAGCGACCCAAAAAGGCCATTGTCATGGATATGCACCTCGTGCACAAACTTGTAAAAGTTGTGTTCGTGTCGGGCGCAGAGATCGATAAAGGCCTGTACCGTCTGGTTCGGATCGGCCGAGACATCTTGTCGCTGCGCCTTTTCAATCACCGAAATGGCATCATCAGCGAACTGGGCAAAGTCGGTAATACTGTTGTATACGTTGGCAGATTTGTATACCCGGACCAGGGGCTCATAGAAGATCGTGAACAAATCCCGGAACAGTTGGAGCGTCACGGGCTGAGACGAACGTTAGCCAAAATGAAAACCGTCGGCAGGGACACACCATACCTCTTCGATCATGCTCAGCATCATCGCCTTGTCCCGTTGACGGGTATAGAGCTTGAGCAGCTGCTTCAGGTATGCGAACCATTGCGCGCCTTGTTTCATTTCGAGATCAACCTGGCAGGGGTCAATGTACTCATCCAGTAGCGACGGAAATGGGGACTTACATTCTCGACGGCATTGTTCCACGCCACGTAGCCGTTGAATATCTTGCCGACCTGCTCTGAGGTAATCTCGGGGGAGATGAGGTCCGATCGAAGAATGGCGACGAGGAGATCTACGTCCTCCGCTTTGGCTTCCTCGCGAATCATAACTTTAACGGACTCATCGGCATCGACGAAATTTTTCAACTTCTGAGTCAAGACTGGGTCCTCGATCTTCGCAACCAATGCGTCAATCGGCTTCTGGAACGATCGGATCCCGTCATTCAAGGTCATGGAGAAGATGCGTTGGAGCAGAGAACGAGAACCGAACGGCTGGGCGAGAAACAGATCAAGAACGCCGGACATGACTGCGGCCGGGTTGGCGATGCGAATGACATTCTTCAGTAGTGTATAGGGAATTAGGGAATGGATCCTCTTGGCCTGGGCGAACAGCTCTGGGGAATTATCTTCGGCCAGGAAAAGATGGTAGATCGTCGCAGCAACCCTGCAACGTGAAGTTAGAACGCATCAATCAACCTGCAGGGGAGTACTCACTCGATGCGTAGCCATTCGGCGAATTTCTGATATTCCGGACTCAGATCCTGGATCGTGGGCTTTTCCCGGATTTCGGAGAACAGTTTGGTTAAACCATCTATACGAAGTTCAGCTTAATCGGGCACTATAAATATCAGGGGATGGCACTCACTTCTCTCGACGATGTCCCGCCGGAATTTCTCCATGTAAACGTCCAATTCAGCGGCACGCTGTCGGGCGATCTCGTAGAACCGTTTTTGCTCCTCGATTCGTGCGGCGTCGGCTTCCTTCCTCCGTTGGACGTCCAGCATTTCTTCCTCATTGAGGGTAATTGGCCGCGCGGTCAGGAACTCCTCCACGGCTTTGGATTCTGCCACGCGCTTGTTCTGCAGGATGGTCCGGAGAAATGCGCGCAACGACACCCTCTGTTCCTCCCGGTACAGGACCACCTTCTCACGAGAAAAGTCCCCTGACGCTCTGGGCGATTTGATAGACCTCGAGCGTGAAGAGGACCTGGATAGCGAGCGCTTGTGAGTCCCGACTGGTAAACTCAATCGGTCGGAGCTGGGCGGCCCATCTTCTTGAGATCCTGGCTCCTGGGTTGACACAGACGATATTGACGACATATCATCGTCCCCGGAGCCCCAGAAGCTGGTGGTTACGGAATTCTTATTCTTTCTGGGGAGAGGCGGGAGCATCCTGCCTGGCAGCTCGGCGCGTAATCGCTTGTGCAATTTGGCAAATTCCCCATATCGCCTGGCCACGTAGATATCGGGTTTCCCAGCGCGACGAACGCGGAGAATAAATTCCTTGATTGTCAATTAGTAATCGATTTATTTCTTCCTGCAATTGGACAGTGTTGTTGCTCACTGCGTGCTGATGATATCGGACGGTGCGCTTCACCGACGTGGTCCTGACGGCGGCGACATTGACATCCCATCCATTGATGGCATGCCCGTCAGGCATGTTGACAAGCAATCCCTGTTCATTGGCGCCGCGATCGACAACCTCCATCTCGGAGAACCTGATGCGCTCTTCGTATCCCGATGCGGTCGGAATGCCCGACACCATCATCAGCTCGACCACCTTCTCGCATTTCTTGGCCAGCTTCCGGCGCTTCGTCTCTTCCAGGCGATCCTCGGAGGATGAAATGTGCTTGTTTGCGAAGGATTCGAGGAACTATGCAGCGGTCAGCTCAATGACCCGTTATGAGGGGCGTGAGTTGCCGCACGCACCACCTGCAGCCGATCCTGCCAAAACTCCTTCTCGTGAGCCTTGTCGAGGAAGGGAAAGTTGCGGATGTGGTGAACGAAGATGTAGCGCAAGATGGGCAAGTCCGAATCGACCGGGGCCACCTCGCCATAATCCGATTTGAAGGGGGCCCCAAAGCGGCGCAGAGCGGTCGGGGAGGACAGCTCGGAGATCTCATGCCGCACCTGGCAGCTGATGAGCTCACGCTTGAGGTCTGCGATCAGTCAGACACCACGCGATGCGGAGTAGAGCATGGATTGGCACGACGTACAGTGCTCCTGCTTGCCCGTCAGGATCTGCCCAGGAGGCGGACTGGAGCTGCTGCTTTTGGCGGATTGCACGGGGTCTGCGGGCACGCCGTCCGCCGCGCCCGGAGCATCGAGCTGCGGCGTCATCGTTGGCGAGGCAGGACGACCTGCGAGTTGCAGGATCGTATGAGTCTGGCAATGGAATTGCAGTCACGGCCAGTTCGGAAATCGCAAGGGATCTGACGGATGGGATGCGGCTGATGCGATGACGTCGTGCGGAGGAGGCTCTTTGTCCCTCTGCCTGCCGGACTGTCAGAGAACCAGCTCTCTGGCAGAAGAGTCTCTGCCGGCGGTCTATTTCAGCAAGAAAACTACAAAAGAATAAAAAGACAGAAAGAAGGAAAAGACAGCCGCAGGGCAGAAGGCAATGGCGATGACGCTGTGGATCAGCTAACAGCTAATAGTCGCGGAGGCTAACGCGCGCTGACAGCCGGAGCAGGCGCGGCTAGCAGCCCCGCCGCCAGCAAGCACCGCCTAACAGCACCGCCGAACCAGCCAGGCGGGTCATGCTGCTCGCTGGCCAGCTTGGCCTGGATTCTATTCTAATTTCTGGCTGCCTGTTCTCTGCAGCGGAGGATCGGCGATGCGATCCAAGCCCCGCGACCGCTTTTTGGGCGTGCCGCTGCGGGGCCGCTATTGGGCCAGACTCTGGGCAGTGGCGCAGCATCAAGAATAGATTATGCCACAGGACACTACTCTATGCTCCGTATACAGCACGGTATGCTCGGTCTATTCTCTACCATCTTGTCTGATTGATGCCATCCTGGGATGATGGCACTGGCATGCCATGGACTGACAGGACTTCTACTTGACAGGTGGCAGCATTACTCAAATCACGTGACAATCTCCGTGCGCTGAATCTCTCGACATACCACGAGTCCACGACGAATTCGATCGGATTCACATCGCAGTCGAATATCAGACGTCGCTCGATCGCTGCAAGCCTTTGCTCTGGACGAACAACGCGGCGATGGTGGCAATCGCACCCAGACCGGCCGACACCGCGAAGGACCGTCGGATCCCGTCGTAATACACCAGACGAGCGGTCGTCTGGATGTCCGGAGGGAGGCGGTAGATGGCAGACACCGAGTGTCGGATGTCGTCGATGACCTGAGGAAGTCCAATTGATCAGCAAAGGTCCGAAGCTCGCGTCAAATGTCCACAGTGAATGGATTTTACTTTCCATTTGTCTGGTATTCCACTCAGGGCCTTCGCAAGGCCTGAGTGCAGTGTATTCTGGACGATCGCCGATGTGATGGCCACTCCCCACACGGTGCCCATGGAGCGGATGAGGTAGACGGTCGAGGCAGAGACAGCGTGATCTAGGACGTTAGCGTGTCCTTCGCGCTCACGGGGGGTTCGTGCACACCTGCGTGGTCGAATGCCGCCAGGAAGCTGAACAGAATCCCAGGGTAGACGATGCCCTGTCCGAGATTGGCGGGAAACACGAACACAAAGTATTTCCAGCTGGCATCGTGAAATCGGAGAAGCATGACGAGCAGATTACCTAGAAACATCAAAAACGCGCCAGCCCGCACCAGATAGGCCAGTTTGCCCCAGCGCGACATGACGATGCCTGCAATGAGGCCGCCAACCGGCGTTGCCAGGGATGGAATAACCAGTCTGGCGCCGGCCTTGCTGGCAGAATCCAACAGGACGACCTGGAAGAACAGGGGGAGCATGAACAGGTACTGTGCGAGTCAGCGGCCGGAAAGGCCACACCAGGTTTGGAAATAAACGTACTGCATACGCCGCCATCCCGACACAGACGTTGGCAATCTGCGTGCATACCGGCAAGACGCCGCGCAGCATTCTCAGAGGAATAACCGGGACAGCCGAGGTGAAGGCTTCCACGACCACAAACAAAGAAAGAAGGACGACGCTTGCGACGAGCGATGTGATCACCCAGACATTATCCCAAGGCAGCTCGTTGCCGCCCAGACTGAGCCCGACCAGCTGGATAGACAGCCCGAGGACGAGCAGCAGGGCTCCAGAGAGATCGACTTGCTGCCAGACACCGCGGAGCCCGCGGGAGTCGGCGTGATCAGCATGCCCCGGGAGCTGGATGACGAAGTAGCCAACCACCAGAGCGAACACGGAGATGGGGACTTGCAGGAGAAAGCACCAGCGCCAGCCGACCGAGTCTGCAATCACACCACCCAGGGAGGCGCCACAGATGGACCCAAAGCCGTGGAGACCGTTCTGCGCAGCTTGGTACATGCCTCGATGGCGGAAGGGGATAATGTCGGAGTTGATGATGGTGGCTAAAATAGTAGCTGAATTAACGAAAGAAAGAAAGTAAAGGAAGGAAAGGGATGTACCCATAGTCATCAATCCCCCTCCACCAATCCCAGTCAGTGCCCTCATGACATTCAGCAAGAGAACATCCCGAGCGAGCGCGCAGCCCAAACAGCCGATCAGAAAAGAGACGGTGCAAGTGAAGAAACAGGGACGTCTTCCGAAGATGTCAGAGAAACGGCCGTAAAGAGGCTGGAAGGCAGTGCTAGTGATCAGATAAGAGGTCGTCAGCCAGGACGCGGTGTTGGCGGCGTTGAACTCGGAGCTGATTAGCGCATAGGTCGAGGCGGTGATGGTGCCATCGAACCCGGCGAGAAAGACGTTGGCGAAGATGGCTGCGATGTTAGCCTGGCTAGAGGTAATCTAGAAGTCAGGACGTACCGACTTGGATCCAGATGAATCCTTTGGGTGGTTTCCAAGGCTGCAGGAGGGGTTGTTCCTCACAAAGGCGCTGGTCGATATCGTCGGCAGCCATGGCGTGCGCAGGTGAGTGAGCAGTCCTGAATGGATTCTTGATGTTGTACACACATACAAATGCAGTTTATATACGTACTCTTTATAAAGTACATACGTATATAGTTAACCGAATTTATTCACACAAAAGGAAAATAAAATAAAATAAATACTAATTTTAAACTAAACTATCAATATCCCCGCTAGTTTTATCTATCTACCCCGCCAGAAAGAGAAACCTTAGGTACCTTGGACGAGAAAATCGCACGAAATCAGGACCCATAATTGCATGATTGCATCAACAAACCAACGAAAAGCGGTGAAGCAGCCGCAGCTGCAGTCGCAAATGAAATAAAAGAGCATAAAAATAAAAATACACACAAAAATGCTATAATTATCGAGGATTATTTAATTTAAGAAGGACTTTCTTTGAAATTACTCAATTAATGGTAAGGGAGATTCTGTAGGTAGAGTCCTGAGTCTTACAAGACTGTGTGGGAATTATTATTGAGTTACTGTACCCCGTGGCACGTCCATACCTGCAGGCATCTACTGTATCCTATCTTATAGCACATGCAGAAGAAGTGTATAGCTTGAGCTTGAGCGTCTCGCTATGTCAGCACTCTACACAAATCAAAATCACTCTGCTGGATACTCCGTAGGAGGAAATTTATATTTATAAAGATGCTGGATTTGGCACTTCCCAAGTTAGGTAGTACGTACTGTACATGTAATAGTGCAGACTTTTTACAGTGCAGTACAGTACAGTACATTTACATATCTATATAAACTAGGACTTACATATATAATCGACGCAATAGAGAACGACGTACATACAGTACACATCTTAGGTAACCAGACATCTTAGAAAAAAAAAAAAAGAGACTTGATAGAAGTACTCAGTACTGTATAGAGAAGAAGAATTGTCTGGAATGGAAGGAAAAAAAGGAGGTGCAGATCTATTTATTATTTTTGTACGCGTAGCAAGCCGGCAAAGAACGAAGGGGGGAAAAAAATAAGTTAATCAACACTGTCTGTATAATCTGCCTCAAACAAGATGATTAAATTATGGAACCTTCATGAACCTTGAAAAGACATAATCTTAGCCATAGGAAATTTCTTATCGACAATATCGAGTCATTATTAGCTGATAAACCAACTAGCTGATGCGAAGAGAAGAAGAAGAAGAAGAAGAAGAAGAAGAAGAAGAAGAAGAGAAGCAGTACTAAATCAGCCGTTCATTCGCTTACCAGCGCGGAGCATGACAGAATTGACCGTGATCTCGATCTTGACATTGACATTGACAAGATATTCACTCATTTGTGCACTTTTATCTAGAAATATACCTAGACATATATAAATGAAAATATAGAATATAAACATGAATTTGAATATACCCCATGTCATGTGAACCTGGTCTGGTCACCTGATTCTATTTCTTTTTCCTTCTCCCTCTCTGTGTCTTTCCTTCTCTCTCCTCTTTTTTTTTTCTCTATTTTCTATTCTCTCACCCTACAGTAGTATATTGCAGCGCAGTCTATCTATCGATGGCTCCCTACCGAGAGGATGCAGCGTCCGCCAGGCAGAGCCGGTGTCGTAGTCGAGTCGCCTTCGCGCTAGATAGTGTAGCCGGGAATAGACAAGGTATCTGGCGCATGATACTCAAGAGGAATGACTCGATAATGATAATCTATTCTGAAAAATTTCGTCAGTCAGGACCTTTATACAGTAGCTTGAAGAATAGACTGAGGGCTCGATTCGCATGGACTTGCCAAATCGGGAAAGTTAGTAGACAGACGGGAGGACTTGATTGGTAATATCAGTACCTACTCAGCGTGTTGCAAGACTCACTTCTAGTGGCATTGACAGGACTGCGACTACTTTCTGACCTGGATACTATCATATCTTACGGTATGTACAAGGTAGAGAATCCTCATCGACACGCAATATATTATATCACCAGTACCAGCACAGCATCATGATAACCCTATTATTTTGGCCTTGTTATAACTAACTGATGGCGAGTCTATCAGCCAGACTACTCCTATCCTAACAACAGACAGATCCTAGACTGTGAATAATATCGACGGTAAATTCAGATAATTATGCCTATCTACAATGCAGATATAGATACCGAGTGGAGTCAAGCAAGACGAACATTCAACAAACCGATTAGATACCAAGATATTAAAGTAGTAAAGCAAACAAACCAACAGAGTATCTATCACTGCGTAGTTACACTACCTACCTAACCCAAGGTAAGGTATATTTCTTATTAGCAACGATCCACTATTATCCTTGAAGCAGGCATTCCTGTGACTTGTGACACTGCTTCGGCCCTAATCTTCCATGGCCATACGTATGACTGCCGGATTATCCCCAAAGCGGCAAGTCCAGCCTGACGCCAATACTAAAATAAAATTCCCCCGCCAGGAAATGCGGGGAAGAAAAGAAAGAAAACAAAAGCTTGCTAGAACAGGGTTTAGAGGGATGTATTATTTCTGTTGGTTGGGAGGGGTCTTCGAAAGTAATGCATGTACACTAGTACATGTACTGCAAGATGCTGATCTGATGCTTATGCTTATAAGGGATGTATGCATGACGGACTCGAGTCAGTCTGTGCATGTCATGTCTGTGTTCAGGCCGACCTGCCGGTTTGAGCAGCTCCAAGATAGCACAGCAGGCACAGCAGGGAGAACTGCTATATAATATACTACATGCCCTGCATGATCAGCACTCTGCTCCTCGTCAGAATTCACCCTTCAGATCCATACCTATACGTACCAACCCGATACTGCACTCTCAGAGAATGAAAGACCCCTTCCCTCTCTTGCGGACTAGATGGATCCCCAAAGCGTCATCGATGCCCGCGACCTCGCCGCCCTGGGCCACGCCCAGGCCCTGTCGCGCAAGTTCGACATCTGGAGCATGCTGGCCCTCGCCTTCTGCGTGCTGGGCACCTGGTCGACCTTTGCGCAGGACCTCGCCAGCGGCCTGACCAACGGCGGACCCGTCTGCATCCTCTGGGGCCTGTGTCTGGTGACGGCGTGCAACCTCTGGCGTGGCCGTGTCGCTGGGCGAGCTGTGCAGCAGCATGCCCACCGCCCTCGGCCAGGCCTACTGGGTGTATCGTCTCTGGCCCTCCTCGCCCGCGGCCGGCCGCTTCGCCTCGTATCTCTGCGCCTGGATCAACACCTTCGGCTGGTGGACTCTCACCGCTTCGCAGATCGCCTTCATGACCAACTTCCAGCTCGCCACGAAGGTCATGTTCGACTCCTCCTGGGCCAGCGCCAGCCGAGGCTGGCTGCAGTTTCGTCGTCTACCTCGGCATCACCCTGCTCTTCACCTTCATCAACCTGGTCGCCTGTCGCTGCGAGAAGATCCTCCCCGTCTTCAACGACTTTGTCGGCGTGTGGTTCGCCGGCCTGTTCGTCGTCTTCTCGCTCGCCCTGCTCATCGCCGTCGCCATCGGTTCGTCCAAGACGAAACCCTCCCTGTCCTTCCAACCCGCGTCCTTCGTCTTCGGGGCCCGGATCAACCAGACCGGCTGGAGCGACGGCGTCACCTGGTTCATCGGCCTGGTGCAGGCCGCCTACGGGCTGACCGCGTTCGACTCGGTCATCCACATGGTCGAGGAGATGCCGGTGCCGCGCCGCAACGCGCCCAAGGCCATCTATCTCGCCGTGCTCTGCGGCGCCGTGTCCGGCTTCATCTTCATGGTGGTCTGCCTCGTCTGCATCCAGGACGTGGACCTGGTGCTCAACTCCCCGACGGGCCTGCCCTTCATCGAACTGGCGCAGGACACCATCGGCATGAAGGGGGGTGTCGCGCTCATCGCGCTCTTCGAGTTCAACGGCCTGGGCCAGGGCGTCAGCATCCTGACCACCGCGTCGCGGCTGACCTGGGGCTTTGCGCGCGACGGCGGCCTGCCCTTCAGCCGCTATCTGTCGCGCGTCGACCGGACGTGGAAAGTGCCCGCGCGCGCGCTCTGGCTGCAGGGCGCCCTGATCGCCCTGGTCGGGGTCCTGTATCTCTTCACCAACACCGTGCTCGAGGCCATCCTGAGCGTGAGCACAATCGCGCTGACCATCTCGTACGGCATGCCCATTCTGGCCTTGCTCGTCGTCGGCCGCGACAAGCTGCCTCCGGGAGGGAAATTCCGGCTGGGCCGGCTGGGACCGGTGATAAACTGGATCAGCGTCATCTACTGCTGCCTCACCACCGTGTTCTTCTTCTTCCCCGGGGAGCCAGACCCGCCGGCCAGCGACATGAACTATGCGATCGCCGTGTTTGGCGTGATGTTGGTCGTGGCGGTAGGCTTCTGGTTCGTCCAGGGTCGCCGGACGTATCTGAAGACAGAGGAGGCGGCAGAACGCATGATCCATGCGCAGCGGCTGGAAGTCGAGGTGGAGACGATGCAGGTAGCAGTCGAAAAGAAGGCATGATCGATCGACTCCAGAAATCCGTTTTGCGATGTGCTAGTGACATGGACATTCAGTAAACGCCTAGCAATACAGCCATCTGTCTAGAGAACAAGTCGTTAGTCCAAAGCAATTGAACGAGATGCTGGACAGCAAACAGAGTAATAGTAGCTACGTCTGACTTCAAGGCGATAGATGACGCAGTGCGTTCACCGACGTTCTGCTAGAGAGATTGGGATTACAGTACCCTTCATCTTCACTCTTGTTGAGCGCCGACAAAGGTCACCCTCGCCGGCTCACATGACTCCCTTACCTCTGGCAAGATAAGTCGCTATATATTTATATATTGCTGTTGGAATGCTTTACGCTCTACAATTTACAGTGAACACAACTTCGATATCAACATGACAGCCAATGTTCATTGCTAACTGAATACAATCGTAATATAACTAGTGCATCCCACTTGTCAGTCTGTACCATCTCCTGACACCTGACTTCAGCATTAACAGTACAAAACAGGCCGCAAAACAGAGAGAGGGGGATTTCACAATCAGACGAAAAACCCAAAAAAAATATGGTTATAATGAAAACAGTCCACGGGCGCTAGGCTCGCACAACAAGGTCGTAACTAAGGTAACTAATTTATAGAGGATACTGGTATTGATCGCCAGACTGATACCAATTATGCGCCCACTCAGAGTCATATTTCATGTTCTCGGACGTCGTCAACGGAGTATTCTCAAAGATACCCATCGACTCGACGTTTTCCGACACCGCCAGCGGCGAATTATCGAAAATGCTCGGCGCCCCCATCGAGTCAATGTTTTCCGACACGGCCAGGGCGGAATTGTCAAAGATACTTGACGAGCCCATCGACTCAAGGGATCCATTAGAAGACATAGACGGGCGATACATGTCCATCGCGGGGATGAGATCATCTGGATTCCCGGCCTCCAGCTGCGCTTGAAACGCGCTGAAATCGAGGCTGGTAGGGACCGTGTTGAAATCGTCCATGCTCATCGGGACATCATCAAACGTGTTATCCAACAACTGGACATCAGGGAACAACTGGAAGTCCGTGTTGGGATTTACCGGGGGTTCAGCAAACGAGAACTGCTGATTCGCAGACAACCCAGTAAACGGATCATACGGAGACGGCGCAGGGCCGCTCACGGGTGTGGGGACGTCGGTACTGTTGGATGGAGTCGACATGGCGGGAGTCTGAGGAGTCGGCTGCGCAGACGACACCGAAGAAGCCTTCTTGTTCTTGCCGTTGCTCTTTGACCGAATGTAAACCCAGCCATGGGCCTTCTCCATGTGCTGCTTGCAGTTACTCTCCCGTTTAGATTGGTAGGTACAAGGAGCGAATTTGCACTTGAAAAGAGCAGGAGACTGCGAGTGACGGTCGTTCATGTGGCGATCCCGCTCTTTCTCAGTCGGCCAGCCGATCTCGAAATACTTGCACGATGGCTCCGTGCATTTCCACGGGCGAGAGTGGGTCTTTTCATGTTTCCTGAATTTTTCACATTAGACCGGAATCAGATGAGAAGAAGGGAACAACTCACGTCAAATCACAAGGTCTCTTGAACACCTTGTCGCAATCTCGGCACTTCTGGTTGATGTCCATCGGAGGAGCGTTCTTCTTGCGGCGAGCCATCGAACGGGCAACCCCCTCGTCCATCGACTGGTTGCTAAGGGTGCGCTTCATCGTGGGCACGGCTTTCTCATCGTAAGGCTCACCCGTACGCAGGGAGATCGCCTTGTCGTCCTTGTGACAGACGAGCTCAGCGGGCCGACCAGTCTGGGACAGACCACCCTCCAGGGTGAGTCGTTCCTCGCTAGGACGCGTCAGTACACCACAATCATCAGCCGCCAGACAAGAAGAGTTATACCTCGTGGCATCCGCTTGCTCTCCGCGGGCCCTCGCCCGCTCTCTCGAAGCAGCAATCATGGCTGCGTATTGTCGAATCTGCGCAACAAGGTCCAGGAAATAGCCGTTAGTATACGGTCGATCGGTTGGCAGCCGCTGGTCGCGCTCGTTGAGGTGAGTCACGGCCGTATGGATGCTCTGGATCGTAAACTCGCAAAACCCGAGATATGACGCCTTGGTAATAGAATATTGCTTTAAACCCAAAAAAGAATGAATGAGTACTGCCCCGTAACGCCTGACCCAGGTGTTCTACTTACCGGTGCCAGCCACAACAGAGTCTTTTCGAGATCACGGAGGCAGGTGATCTCCTTGTCGACGATGCGCTGAGGAATACTGCGGACGAGAGGATGGAACGGTTTCAGCCTCTCCTCGCGCAGGATGGGAGCAAGGATAAAGCGTTCAATCTGCTTGCAAGCGGCCAGGGGGAGTTGCCGCCTGCTCGTATCTCCAGAAGAGATGGAATGGGTGATGGCGGATTGACCGCCGGGAAGATCCGCGTTTCCAGTAGATAGATGGCCAGCTTTCACTAGGACATGGTTAGTGCTAAAGGTCATGACCAGTTGTCATGGATATATATACCTCGTTCATTTGCAGCAGTGCTGCTGATCGACGATCCCAGCCCGCTGTCCGATGCATGGCGATGATGCGCTGTCTGGACCTTGTTGGGAGTGTCGGCCGGAGGAGTCGGCAGGCTGTGCTCCTTGCGCGGGGTCTGCATTCTCTGCTGGCCGACGTGGGCCTGAAGGATCCCTCTGGGGACAGGAAGGTCGTCTTCCTCTTGGCGATCCGTGGGCTTGGACGGGGACAAGGAGTCAAAATCGAAGCGGCCCAAGATGTTGGCCATGCGCTGTTCACCGGCGGCGATGGCCTCGAGCGTCTTGGTGCATGTGGGGGACCGCCGCGGCAAAGACGGGATGTTGAGGACCGGATCTTGATCCTCACGGGGCGGTGTTGTCGGCGAGTGAAAGGTAGCACCCCTTTGCAGACGGGGAGTACGAGGGCATGGCGAGGATGACTTTGGGTCCGGATGGTCGGAAGCTGAAGAGGTCGACAAGGAGGGGATGCCAGCCTTATACGGCCGACGGCGGGGGTGAACTTGGGACTGTTGAGTCTGGGTCGACATTGGCAAGGGCGTGGCTAGACACGGCCTAAAGTCGGAGCCCAGGCACAGCAGGTTAGCGGGCACAATTCGGGGCGGCGTTCAGAAGGATCGGCTCGGAGGGTGACTCACCAAATGCACAGCGGGCGGAGCGGACAGGGGAATTGAGTAATTCCAGTGACTCAAGTGACCTTCGGGAGGAGTCAGCGGCATGACGTCTTTGCATCAATGGAAAGGGCTGCTATGAGGAAAGAGAAAAAGACAAGAGGCTAAATAGCAAGGCAGAATCGCATTCTATAAGAACTAACCTTGCAGGTCTCCGCAGACACGATCCCGATGCTGCTGTATATATACCGCTCTCCTAGGCCACGGTGGGAGCGATTTGATAAACTGACGAGGACAACAGACGACGGAGGATTATCTAGAATAGAATATAATGATAAGGACGATCGCAAAACGCAGAAATTCGATGAACGCGGCTGGTGAAGCAAACGAATCGTGGATGGTGGATTGATATGATGGGGGACGGACACTGGCTTGCACGGCGGACACCTGATGCTGAGCGCACCAAGCAAAGGCGTCAGTGCCCGCTCTCGATCAACGGGCGCAGGAAGGAAAGGCAGACGACGGAGGTATCGACGGAGGCATAAACAGGTATAGATACTGGGCGAGCAGGGCGAAGGGGGAGGGAGGAAAGCTGAAGGCTTCGACCGGGGACTCGCACGGCGGATGACGGCACTTTCGATGTCTGCCTGATAGACGAGCGCCCTAGGCCCGAACGGGGAAGGCGCGGCTGGCTCCCGCGGCGCGCGCTGATAGGGCGAGACACCGGGCTGGTCCCGTACCGTACCGAACAGCCCGCCAGTACGCGACCTTGCCGCATTGGGGCGCGGAGCATCGGCGCCCGGATGTTGCGTGCTCTTCCGCACGGGCTGCGATTGGCTGGTGCTGGATAAGAATAGGCACAGCCCCTCGCGCTTGATGATGTCAGCCGCCGGCCGTACCGGCTGTTACGAGTAATACGCCTGCTTCCTCGTATCCAGCCGACGAGGACAGCGTGGCATTCTCGCCATCCGGAGTATAGCCGTGCCAGGCCCATGTCCCTGTCCTCCGCAACAGGCCAAGTCTCGAAACAGTGAACCATGGACCATGAACCGGATGCTGTTGTTGGTTCAATGCGCGACGACCCAAGCTTGACAATACCATCCCCGCCCCCACCACGGCTTGGCGGCATGCCTCGACAGCTCTGTTTTTCTCTTGTTGGCTAGCGCGGCGCTGCAATCCTTGAGGCTCAAAATCCTCGCCCACCGACAGGGCGAGTGTGTTGGGCCAATAGCATCCAGATAGGAGCACTGTACGCCGCAGGCAGACGCAGAGCACGTTTCCTGGAGATTTTATTCTGCAGACTGCTTCTCTGCCATGCATTATCTTGCAGTTTTCGCCGTACATGACCTGAAAAATCCCATTCTCTTCTCTCCTGTATTCTTCGGCTGTTAATCTGGCTCTGCATGTGCTTCGTCCGGCGTGCCGCAGACTAACGTACACAGCCTCAACGCCGGTCTGCCTTGCACCAATACTGCAACGGCCAACCACTATTATGAAATGATTGGATGACCACTTTGTTACGAACTTCGACCTTGGCGCTTTCAAATCAGCATTGCGGCTGCAGTTCTTCGTCCAAGTCAATGTCTCATTCGCGAAGTGAATGACTCATGCTCCGTCCTCTGAGTCGATCCGCTGCCCAGAAGGGTCTCCGACTATGCAGCCGGGGATGTCGGAAAGCTTATCCACGACAACAGCAGCCCGCCGTTACAAACCGAACCCCGATCATATCATGTGCATCCGACCACCTGGGCCATTTCTACTGGCTTGAGCATCGGATATCTCTTAGCTGTCATCATCGATTCAGGAGCTCTCGTCGATGCTCTCCGCCAAGGCTGCAAGAGGTGCAACTACCCTGGTCAGAGAAACAGCTGCCCAATATCCGGCCACTTTTTTTTGAATTGCATACGTAACCAGCTTGCGAGGTGGTCTATATATGTGGCCTCGTTCCCTGGACTAACGATACCATTTTGCTCAGCAACGTCAATCCATCCTGTTCGACCAGGTCTAGTAGTATTTTGGTGTGGTTGGCATAGATTGGTAAATCTGGAGTCGTAGACAATCTTCGTACCACGTATGATCTGAGCGATTGCGTAAGAGAGCGCAAACAAGGTAATGTGCTGTAAGAATCTTGGTGCCTAAGTCATCCATGCACTAAATGAAACTTTGTTCATAGTAGCGGTTCATAGTAGCGGGTAAGTAGCGGTTCATAGTAGCGGGTAAGTAGCGGGTAGAAATGTTGATGCCTAAGGATCCCCCAAGCTGGTCTAATATCAGAGTAAATGTACAGTACCTAGAAAACCAAAAGACCAAGCATTAACTTGCCATCTGTTTTAACCCCGTTAGTAGTAATAATAAATAATATGTTGCCTGGCGAATTTTACCATCTTCGCACTGTGGTGGCCAGTCTGCAACATTTCATATAATAGCTATACGAAGCAGAGTACAGAAACTAGCTTACGATGACTTGAAAAAAAAAGATTATAACGTTTTTTTTTTCTAACTGTTCAAAACGCAAGTTCTAACTTCCAAGGTCATCTGAAATTTGCCATAATAGGGTAATCGTTGCCCTACCTACCTGTGAGCTATTTCCACATATAGCAGATTCAGCTTTTATCTTATATAAAAACGCAAATCACTATCTATAATTCTACGTAACTATTAATTCATCCAGTCCGATTTTCCAAGGAAGTCAATGGAAACGTCCTTGACACTTTCTAAATAGATAGATGACTGTTCCTCTCTGTCTGTCACCTGGAAAAATTGTTAGTACTAATAGATAGTTGAGTTAATAGGCCTATTATAGCCGACGCTCGTAGGTACCAAAATTTTGATTGATATGATCCTGCCATAACAATTTCGGATCGATGAGAGGCAGACGTCTGGCAATAAAAGTATCATTTATGCCACTTTCTTCGTACATAAAGGCACTCATTCTCTCTACTAAAACCTACACGCCTATCTATCAAAATAATATAAGCTGGGATCCCTGAAAAAGAACTCTCCAATTGTGCGATTAAAATAATCAAATAAATTTACTGATCATAGACGAATAGAATCAAGGATATGAATCAACTTTTGATTAAGTAAGGCGCTGTTTATATAATTGTCTTAACAGTTACCAACAGCAAAGACTGCCGTATTGAATGAAGGCGGAACTTTGCCCTCGGCAGAAGTTCAAAGGGGCCTTCTAGGTAGTAGTTTAAATCTCACCCTTAAGAATAGGGATAGTACGAAAAAAAAAGAACAAGAAATGAATATATTCATAAGAGGGGGGGGAAAATAGCTTACAAAAATATCTTGGCCATTTTTTTTTGCAGCCCATATAGCAATGCTGAACTTCCTGAATGTTGTGCATCTCTACAGGAGAGATGCTTGTTTAGGAGACCGTAAAGCCGGCGCTTTGTTAGGCTAAAAGCATTAATACCTGAAAACGCGATATGTGCAGTAACAATCTGCTCCCAAAGAGGTCAGATGAAGATGAGATTGAGAGAGCCTTTGGCCCACTGGCTCTACAGTAGATGAACTTCCAGACTGCTTGGTAGCTTGTGGTGGCACCTCTGCTGAAAGTGGCATGCCTCGACCCTACTCGACTCGAAACAATATTAACACAGGGAGATGTGAACATAATAATCAGGATCGAATGGTTTAGACCAAGCCTCACCCTGCCCTGAGGTTGTAATACATTTGTATTTTATGACAATATGTTTGCACGTCATCTACGGCGAAACTATGATCAAGTAATCAGCCAGGACTGTATATAGTACCAGCCTATTCGAGTACATACTATGGAGGTTAATTCATTGTCAATTCTTCTGTCCTTGTCCTCTCATGATCTGTCCAAATTAAGCAGACAAACAAAGACTCTCCAGATCGAGATTCCAGGTTCATTTACTAACAGAATGAATAATATCTTGCTACAAACCGCCTGCCCTACTGAGCCTATCCAGATAGAGCTATCATAACGGATGTGTTAACAGGTTGAATTCCTGCTGACGAGTTGGGAGCATGTCAAGGATGTCAAGTGTCAGACGACAATATCAGATAATATGGGTAGATGGTTATTGAATGAGTTGACATGCTACTATCAAAAGACTACTTTTCTTCATTGGAGAAACACCGTATTAGCACAGTTGCCTACCTACCTGCTACAGCCTGGGCCTACTCTCAGAGTCACTACCTAAGCAACATACCAGCCTATATCTACCATTGCAAAGTGTTGCTCCTCATAAAGAACGGGGCCCCCCGGCACAGTGGTAGTTCAATCCTTGCCCCGCTGGGGGTCCCTGTTCGAAACCCTCATCACTCTTCTTTTTTTCCCCTTTCCCTCTTGAACTAGTGACACTTTTATAAATCACCTTCCTTTCCTGTCTAGATGGAGTGTTGACCCCGTCTTTTATCTTTTTTACGTCCTTTCTTTCTTTGTTTCTTTCTTCTATTTTTCTTTTTATTTGTCTTCACTTTTTTTTTTGGTCTACGGATCTATATGATAGATGAAATATTGCTATATTGCATACCCGTCAAAAATAAAGGACTTACGTTACATTCACTCCTTCTCCAGCTAGGTAGTCTTCTATACATTGTCCTCCAACAAAGATTATTCCTCTCTATAATAATCGGATGGATTAGAAGAAAGGAAGTCAATAGACTGTGAGAAAAGAAAATATTTCTGTATTGTAGATGCAAGGCCAAGCAAGCAATTTCAGTCCAGAATCATACGCTACCAAAAAAAATAATAATAATAGCCAAAAAAAAAGGAAGAGGTGTTTCGAACAGGGAGCCCCCGGCGGGGCGAGGATCGAACTACCACTGTGCCGGGGGCCCCCGTTCTTTATGGCAGTGTACAGTTTACAATGGCAGACATAGGAAGGTAGGTAGGCTGATACCTTAGCTACGTTGCTACCTAGAATACAGTACGGTGTAGGCAGTACTCTGGATTCCAGGGTTCAGTTCGGGTGTCATTAGGCAGCATATATATGGCACATATGCTGAGATATCTCGTTGAAGGTCATTTTGCCATGTGGTATTTAAAAATATGGAGGATTATTGTTCACGAATATCAGTTGTATATACTGTCATCAAATGGTTATACACTAATAAATACTGTCTATTCTTCTTCTCTCTTTTTTTTCTCCAACTGTCACGTTGTTACATACGGACAGTCTACTATGTCTATTGGTTAAGCACGACGTTCTCCGTAATATCATAAGTGTGTAGTGTGTATGCCATGAAGGTAATATATAGTCTTGAAGACACCGACTAGCCATTTCCAACGACCATTCCATACCATACCTCCTAGTATTCCTAGCCTACATTATAAATCACCTCTCTCCGCTGATTCTCGGCCAGCGTCACAAAATTAATTACCTGAGAAGACGCTCCACATCCTGCGAAGTCAAAAAGCCGCAGAATCAAAGTCTGGAGCACAATTGGCATTCTACAGAAAGTGCGTAGTAATAGTCCACAAAGTCTGGAGGTCCTACTGAAGGTATCGCGGCAGTCAATCGCTAAAACATGTTCGTGCGGATCCTTTACTAGAATTCGTCCGTGCATGGTATCCCTCCCTCTTGGAAATCAAACCAGGTCGTGAGCCATAAAATAGATTTCCAACAATGTTACTTTAAGACCAATGATAATATATGATTGTAATAGCATGGGGGATTTCAATATAGACAAATCTCGAAGAAAAGATCCTGACTAACCAGCCAGAGTAATAATTACCTTGGGGAGGAGCGACTACTTCTAAGCCCTAAAGACATTCATTGCCAGGAGAGGATTTTTACTTTTTAGGAAGAACAATGTTAAAGCATATTTCTAATAACAATCCCGTGGTTAAATCGAGAAGACTGAGAACAAGTAATCTTAAATAAATACATGATAGAGACCACCTACGAAGGAGCTAGATTCTAATAATAAGTATTAGAGAGTCTTAGACTATTTCAAGATAATAACTCCAAAGTAGCTGGTATCTCTGATCTCTCCGCTCTACACTGCACTACAGCCTGGAGGCTACTCACCACTGTACTGCCTAGTCTCTCTCTACCCTAGGTAGCAACAAATCTACTGCCTTTCTACCTATTTATTCTCAATAAACTGTACTCCCCCCATAAAGAACAGGGGCCCCCGGCACAGTGGTAGTTCGATCCTCGCCCCGCCGGGGGTCCCTGTTCGACTCTTCTCTCTCTTTTTTTACTTTTTTTTTTGTTTCGACGGAATTGATTAATTGATACTTACGAATCCGTCAGAAAGGAACTAGACAGAACAGAACTTGAATTATTAGAGATCTATATATGTAGTTGTATTACTTATCAACTAATACTTTCCTACTCTATGCAGTATAAATCTATCTTCACTGTGTGCCATTCACGTAGGTTATACACAGCACTTGAGTACTGTAACTTCGAATGATGCGCTCTGATCAAAGATGCCTAATCATGTCCGTTGGAGACATCGCAGCTGCCTGATTTCCGTGGCGATACATGACAAACAGCACGTCGAGACGGCTTTCAACCGGTGTGATTAGCAGTAATTAATTCCCCCAACATTGAAGGGAAATAATAAAGCTCTCTGTCGTAGGAATATCTCACTATTGGTTTGTCCCTGCGTAAAAAATAAAGGCTAAGCAAGCAGTAGGCAAGAAAAAAAGACCTTAGTTTAACAATCAGAAAGAAAAATAAAAAGAATGCACATCATCGTGTGCTTCGAACCGGGGGCCCCCAGCGGGGCGAGGATCGAACTACCCACTTTAGCCAGAGGCCCCAGTCCCAGTAGGGGGATATGTTCGAATGGTAGATATAGGCAGGTCGGTATGTTGATTGCCTAGGTAGCTGCCATCGAAGCCGCTTAGGCAGTGACGCTTCTCGGTAGCAATACTGTAGGCAACATACCTCGCTATATCTACCATGTTAAACTGTTCACCCCCCATAAAGAACGGGGCCCCCGGCAAAGTGGTAGTTCGATCCTCGCCCAGCCGGGGGTTCCCTGTTCGAAACCCCTCTCTCTCCTTTTTTTTACTTCCCCTGGTTATTAAATTTTATAAGTTCTGAAATAAGCTTACGCTGCCTCTGCCTTTGTGTTTGTAGACAGATAGGTCCGTATTAATTAACATGTAAACGTAAGTTCTATGCATTGCTTAAGAGAGTAGATTGTCATATCGTATGCTTTAATGGACGTTATAGTACTTTCGAATCATGCCAGCGGATAGATTTTGCGGGAAGCGTTGCCCGTCGTATGGCATCTCGACAGGTATATTTACGCTGGTGTGATCAGTGCTACTCAACTGTTCTCGATCTATGTAGAGCAAAATCCGAGAGAAGGGGGGAAAGAAAACCCTTCCTGTCACAGAAATCTTTTATATAAGGTTGTGTCTACATAAATGCGCGGGTTAAGCAACCAAGTAGACGCTGCGAGAATGACAGCCAAAAAAAAGGTACAAAAAAAGGAAGATTCGAACAGGGAACCCCCGGCTGGGCGAGGATCGAACTACCACTTTGCCGGGGGCCCCCGTTCTTTATGGGGGAGTACAGTTTACTGAGAATAAATAGGTACCTGGAAGGTATGCTCTGGAGAGGGTGGGTGGTGTAAGGTTCCAGGCTGCAGTGTATACATACCTAGCAGATATGGTGGTGCCTGTACATACATACTACGTAGACAGGCAGCCGACTCTACCAGAGCAACTAGGCAACATACCTACCCATATATACACTGTTAACCTGTTCCCCCTCGACAGGATAGGGGGCCCTGGCTACAGTGGGTAGTTCGATCCTCGCCCCGCTGGGGGTCCCCTGTTCGAAGCGCGTAATGCTCGCACAGTAAAATCCTGTTCTGTGCAGGGTTTTCGCAGCGCCTGTGAGGTCCCGAAAGGAACTCTGGTGTGAGCTTTTCCTCTTTTTTTTCTTGCAATTAAATAGATGCGAGAGTACTTGATTATTTGTTGCTGCTCGACATGTTACGGACTGAAGACTGACGTAGGGACCGTGCGTGCCTTGGCGGTTTGCTTTTTGCCTAATCGGGAAATGTATAATGTAGCGGGGGAGGTACGCTCATGCATACGAATTTATTTTAGAAATTAAGATAATAAAATACGCTCAAGCATATATTATAATCTTTCTGCTATCCAGTAAATTCGGACAAAAATACATACATGTTGGGTGATGGTGATTATAAAAAAGATCAAAAATTTACCGTCAAAAAAAATGTAGCTCAACTCTGACAATTTGACAATAACTATATATCAAAAGATGAGCTTAGGATTGTATGTGTTGTGCAACAACTGCTCGCTCATGGCATTTTGTCGCTCATCCTCAAGTCCAGTGTCGAGTCAGCTGACTAGGGTTAGGATAAGCTGACTAGGCTTAGACCACTCATGGAAGAACATTGCAACGTATGATGATGCCAACACTTCCTTGCTGTAGTAATCTGTTAAATGCTCTTTTGAAGGTGATTACGACTTTCAAACTGTCTTGTTGGGAGGCCCAGTGCAGCTGGACGTGTACGCTGATGTCTTACTAGGGGCAAGACAGAGCATTCAGTATGCATCAGCTTAGGACATCGCTACTAATATCATGAATGTAAGCTTTCGTATTATAGAGACGCCCCGGCTGTAGGCAGGTATATATAATGTCCATGGATCCCAAACTGGGTCGTTCGTTCTATCAGCACCACATCCAAATCAACTCTTCCATTTCGCTTCTTCTGCTTGAAACAAAGTCACATCTTTATTTCTATAGTCCCATCTCGAACGAACAAAATCATATCCTTCAATGGCTGAGCCAGGCAATGTTAATATCGACAGAATCGAGACCATCAAGGTGTTCATGGGCGAGGGCGAGAAACTCTACGCCCACGACCTCTAAGGCTGCACGGTAGTGGCGGCTGTTTGGCCCGAAGATGCCAATGAGGAGATCAATGGACTCTTTTCCCATGTTGGTGGCGAGACGGTCATAGATAACCATGCTGGGCCGAGGATGGTGAGGAAAATCAGAGATAAATTGAGGACAATCACAGAGGGCGTGGGTGAATCCAACCGCGTCTGGCTGGTCTATGCCATGCATCATGGCCATGAACAGAATCCGAATGGCAACGACCGTATCAGGAAGATGCTGCACGACGAGGGCATTGAATTCACCGAGAAGCAATATCGATGGGGGCATAACATGGCCGGGAAGGTGGAGCTCTGGCCGGGGAACCCTCCGAGTGAGGCGCTTCATGTCGAGTGATCAGCGGAGGTTTGTTTGCTGGTTGGAAGTCGAATCTACTCTCGTTTATTGATATGTTGAATTTGAGATGGAAGTTTTTAGTGTTGTATGTACCAGGTATACTCGCGTTGACTGGACAATCCATGCAATTCCACAAGAACTCATTAGAGAGTATGCTTATCAGACAGCCTTAAGAGTGAAATTTATGCACTGTACATTAAAAAGAAAAAAGAAAAAAAAGACTAAGTAACAGAGCTGGCCTTTTAGCCAGTGCTGACACTATATCCCGGTGTCTACTCATATCTGACTCATCAGACTTATGAACTGTGTGCCTGCTTAGTAGCTGTCAAGCAATTCCTCCGATGGCATAACAATATTCTTGTTAAGAATTTGCTCAGAAGAACTCCCTCGTATACATGGGGACCTCGTTGAAAAAAAAATGTCATCCAGAAATTGGTCATACCTGACACCTGACTGTTCCTAAGAAGTTGACATTTGGGGAAAAAAAAACGGAAAGAAAGAAAAGAAAAGAAGGGAGGGGGGGAGAAGAAGAAAAGGAAAAAGGAAAAAGAAAGAAGAAAAAGAAGGAAAGGGTTATGGTTAGCAGCAGTGGTTCATACAGCTGCTACTGAGCACGAAAATCCTAAACAAGGCACATTTCTGCATTGACAGGTCTTGAATTACTGTCACTATATTGTCGCGACTTGACCTCCATCACGCTTACACTTTCAACCAACTTTACGAAAGGGAGTACTTTTTATCTGCTTGTTTGGTCCATTTCACTTCTGAATTACCATCCCGCTGTCGAGGACGTCAGGAAGCTCCTGGTGAGATTATTTCTCCTCTCCTATTGCTCCCAGCAGTAAGAGCCTTTCTTGCGTCAATCTATCGTCAATTCTACCCCGCGACTTCATATTCTCGTCTCCAGCCCTAACTGCTGCTCCACGAGCCTGGTGGGGCAAATGCGGGCCGGCCGGAGATTGCGCAGGCCTCCGCAGTTTCCATAGCGACGTCCACTCTCAACACATCCATCTCTCCGCTTTCTTCAGCACCACTGCTTATGACTTCGAATATGGCCACAAGACTTATGCCTGGTTTGACGTGATGTTTAAAGGATCGGGGCCCCGTAATTTCGGGTCTCCGCGAGCTACGGCGTCGTGGCGCGGGCGCTTTATCGACGGTGTCTGGCATTGCGACTGCGAGCCCCGGCTGCCTGCCGGCCGCTTTCAGACCAAAAATGGAGGCGTGAACCATGGACGGTGGTGTAAGTGGAGCGGCCTCAGTGCTGTTGCGCAGAGAAAGACGCATTTTGACATGATCCCTGCTCAGTCTATACCTGTCAGCAGCCGCAGCAGAAACGCTGCAAGTTCTTTCTCTGGGAAGATGAGGCAAAGGCCCGAGAGAAATTCGCCGTCCTTTCCGATTCGCGATCAGAGCCGACCACGCCGGACGTAACCCCTTCGAAAGCTGTGCGCTTTCGTGACGGGCTTCTTACGCCGGGGACTGGGCGTCGTCGACCCGATGAACGAGAACGAGAGGTGGAAAGGACGCCTTCGAAGAGGAAAAGAGGCCAAGACATATCGGATGATCTTGATGATTCGTTTGGCTGGGATGACCTCGACGAGGAGGTGCAGCAGTTGCTGAACCGTCCGCTGAAGCAACCCAATTTCAGCCCGGAGACGCCGCGGAAAGCACCGAGGACTGCTACGATCACGTCTCCGGGCAAGACAACGCTCGTGGACACAGAACACGATAGTCCCACAAAATATCCAGTCTCTATTCAGTCTACGATAGAGGTCACCTCCACGCCCAGCTCGCAGCGCAGCTTGCCGCCTTCGTCAGTGGAGATTTCAACGACTCCGACCCCTCGTCGCTACAACGGCATCCTCCCTCCTAATCCATCAGACGTATCTGCCCTGGCTGCCGAGACGCTTGCACTGCTCGACCGGCATAATGTCGTGCTTCCGACGAAGGCCAAAGACGAACTCGTGGCTCTGCTGAACAGACACGATCTGAAGACGCAAGGGATCATCCGCGGGCGGGAGGTCTCGAGATTGGCCCTGAAGAAAAAGGAGGCGCAAATCAGAGAATTGAATGAGCGGATCGAGGGGTTGGAAGCGGAACGATCGATGGAGCGAGCCGTCATCGCAGGACTGAAGACGGAAAATGACGCTTGACTGGTGGATTGGAGTGGATGTTATGTTATCTGCTTAGTTATATAGGATACCCTGTTTCAGTTACGAGTTACGATGAATATGATAGTTTGTCCGGCATTGCTGTGATTGATATAATATGGTCAACAGGAGACCGAGTTAATTCTCTTTCCTTATCTTATCAAACGGAGACGTCACGTGCCAATCGGATTAAGTTTCGCAACTTTTTGAAGAAGCCCAACTGCCCGATGGAGAGAATTCGTTGACTAGTTTTTCCTAACAGTAATAAGATACAAGAGCATTGCTCGAGCTTTCAGTTAAATGCAAGAGTCTGATTGCATCCATGGGGGAAATATAAAAAAGAGAAGAAGATCGTCCCCTAATTCAGAAACTCCTCCCCGAACCCGCCGCATTGACTCCTCCATGGACTCGCAACAACAGCAGCAACAGCAACAACCACCTGCCTCGAAGACCGGCGCTTCTCATCCTCCTTCTTCTTCCACGAACAGCGACAGAGACATGTTGCCGCCCATCTTCCGCCCGCCCGTGAACCGGGCCATGCGCGTTCTCGATCGGTCCTTCTTCCGCAAGACCATCCCCCTCTCTGCTGCGACGGTGTTTGAGAATTCCAACATATCGCGCGTGCGCAGCGAACTTGCCAAGAGCCATGATCTTTTGACACTGCCGAGGCTGAATATCATCCGACCGGCGCCGGCGTCTGCGCCTGCAGGACAGCCGGCTGAGGGGAAAAAATCAAGCGATTCGACAAGGAAGTGTCTTATACTCCGGGAGGGCATTAAACATGATGGTTGGTGTTCAGCATGGTGGTGGATATGAAGAAGAGCAATGTTGACTTGGGTTTCAGATGCGACGACGTGGTCCCCCACGATCAACGAATTGGTGGAAAAAGGCACCGTGGGGTTGGGACCCTATGATCTTGAACTCGACTACGATTACTGGAGCTATTGTATGGATTTCCATGGCCTGGAATTCTTCTGGGGTGGATGTACTGACACGCATAGACGATATCATCTCTTCAGTCTTACCAGAAGACGAACTTGAGGGAGAGACACCAGTGGGCTTTACGCAGACAGGACATGTTTGTATGTCTCCTATCTCTATTTATGGGTATCCTTGCTGACCGCCAAGTGCACCTGAACCTTCGCGAGCGATATCTGCCGTACAAGTATCTCATTGCCGAGATCCTCAAGGACAAGAACCCGAAGATCCGCACTGTGATCAACAAGACGGAGGATGTAGGCTCCCACAGCGAATTCCGCACTTTTCCTTTCGAGGTCCTTGCCGGCGACAACGATCTCAATGTCGTCGTGCACGAGCAAGACTGTGAATTCCGGTTCGACTTTTCGCGAGTGTACTGGAACAGTCGCCTGGAAACGGAACACCGTCGATTAGTGGAGAAGTTCGAGGCAGGTCAAATGGTCTGCGATGTCATGGCCGGTGTAGGGCCATTTGCAGTTCCAGCGGGCAAGAAGAAGATCTTCGTCTGGGCCAATGACCTCAATCCGCATGGTTGGGAGGTGATGGAGGATGCCATCAAGAGAAACAAGGTCAAGGACTTTGTTACCGCCTTCAACATGGACGGCAGGGACTTCATTCGAAAGTCGGCTCGGGATCTGCTCGAATCAGAACCAGTGAAAGTGACGATCCAGCCCAAGGGACGACGGGATAAGAAGGGCGATGGCAAGGAGAGCGTGCCTCCTCCTGCGCCGCAGGTCTACGTGCGCCCATCGACGGTGGACCATTACGTGATGAATCTTCCCGCGACGGCCATCGAATTCCTCGACGCATTCATCGGGCTGTACGCCGGCAAGGAGTCGCTTTTCGAACCGCACACCGACAGAAAACTCCCGATGATCCACGTGTACTGTTTCTCGGGGCATTCCGACGAAGAGCGGGATGACCACATCGACATCTGCAAGCGGATCTCCGAACGGATCGGCTACACAATCACGCCGGACGACACGGTGGGTGGATCGGGGAATCCAGCCCTGGAGCTGGAGATCCACAACGTCAGACTGGTCAGTCCGAAGAAGCAGATGTTCTGCGCCAGCTTCCGTCTGCCGCGGGAGGTGGCGTTCAAAAGTATATAAATAGTATCGTGAGAGAAGATTCCTGCTGTCTTGTCTACTGTCTTGTCTTGATTTGCATCGCATATTGGCGTCCGGTAAAAAATTGGTAGCGCATAGTATAGAAATCAATCAACTTGATACCCCGCTTCAGATATCGTCCTACGAGTTGGTTGTAGCTGTTCAGATCAGTCGTCACAAACATCATGTCAATGAGCAGTATCTAGGCCCTCACATAAACCCCATAATTATGACTCTTGCAATAGCTAGAGACCTCAATTCGAGCAGATACAGTCGTAGCACCTGAATCTGCCGGCAGAACTCCCAACGGCGGTGTGTGTCTATGACCAAATACAGCAGGAGGTATCCAAACACACTAGCCTAAATAGGCAAGTCACATGACCCAGAAACTTCGCATCGAAAATCACAGATTTCGGGGTCTCGCCGACTTGCCATTCAGCACTGTGATTTTCGGGCAGAATGTTGAGTGCAGCTGCACAAGAGGGCTGCGTACCTGCCTGTAGTCTGCAGGTCACCTGACCTGGCCTGACCAGCAGGCACCAGCCCAGGTGAGCTAAAGCTGTTGTATCTTAGCGTAAGTGCATGCACCGCCACGCCAAGCCCGATCTGGACCTCTGCCTCTGTGGAAAGTTCCCGACAGCATTCTACAGAGTAAGGTACCTGAGCTCCCGAGGTCCCCGCATTCTATCTCTATTATACATTCTCCAACTGCTTTGCGCGTTGCCACTCTGTCTATCTGGTGGCTTCAGCTCCAGTCCAGTGTCTATACGATTTCTTGAAATAGAGACGTTCTCGCAATCCGTCAGCTATCTGAAGATGAACAACGTGCAACTACCAGCCGCCACCCACCGCAAGCGCGTCGTCCCCCAGTCAGACCTCGAAGCGACCTCGTCGCTGAAGCTAGGCGAGGACCAGAACACGCACACGCTGTCGCTGTCAGAAGCGCGGCTCGTCATCAACAAGGTGCTGGAGAACAAGCGGCGGGGCGGGAAGAAATACGAGGAGTCGGAGTAGGTAGCCCCTTTTGTGTCCTGCAGATCGGTAAGGAGGACAGTGATGGCTGATGGGGGGGAAAAATGCGCATAGGACACTCACAAAGACGCTCGACTACCTGGAGGTGTTTTCCCGGTTCAAGGACGAAGAGAACATCAAGGCGGTGGAGCGCCTGCTCAACTCGCATACCGAGTTGGAGATGTTTGAGCGGTCGCAGCTAGGTTAGTTGAGCCTTTTCTTTCTTCTTTTCTTAAGAGGCCTTGACTGACACTTCACAGGCAGCTTGTGCTGCGACAACGCCGAGGAGGCCAAATCCCTGATCCCTAGCTTGCAGAACAAAATCTCGGACGCGGACCTGCAGGAGCTGCTGGACGAGTTGACCAAGTTGCGGAATTTTGGCGAGTAGTGCGGTGCTACCTGTTGCCGTCCTTGCGATCTGAATTGTCGAGAATTGTCGACCAGATAGATCTCCAGTGTTTTGTTGGTATTATTGGTAGTGGGATACCTTTGTGCTTTGTGTTCTATAATCATGGGCCTTGTCTTTTCCTATTTTTTTATGATATGCATACATTTCAGCATGGAGTTTTGGTGTTGGTGTGGACAAGAAAGAAAGAAGACAAGCATGAAAACTGATGGTGTCGTTGGTCAATGCATCTGTGATTTTTGCTTAGACTGGAGAGGTGATTGTTATTGTTGTCATCACATAATCACAGGGATGAAGTACCTATTTCTTGTCTCTAATAAATAAATTCGTTCATTTCTCTTGCCACTTATCGACTTGCTTGCTCACTTATTTCTTGCAGAGAGGGCATATCTATTGTATTTGTCTATTCCTCTATTCCAGGATTGGCCACTCACGTGAAATGCAATCCATCCCAACTTCCACTTTAAGTCCAGCCCTTCAGGTTCTCGACAATGCACATACCCCGTATGTTGGTTGGGTCAGTCATGTGACAGAGACCGTGATTACCTACCTAGGTAGAGAATTACTGCTCTACAGATTTAGGGTTTTGCTACCATACAGGTAGACTGTCGCCATAGTAATCACTAATTAATCCGAGTTGTCCTTGTAGAACCATAACACTTTTTTTTTCCCCAAACATCAACGATTAGGCTAACGAATAAAGTGATAAAAGCCAGGTACCTACCTAATAGGGTTGAGGACTTCAAGCAAGAATTGATGTGCCGCCATCCAATCAAGTGCCGCCTACGCATCCTGTAGGCGCCCTCAAGGCGTTCAAGCAACCTCGGCGGCAATGCCACTGCCGTCTATATTTAGATGTTGTGTTTGCTGTCGAGATGTGTGTTCATTGTATTAACTTGAAGGTTAATCCTCAGGCCTGGTTTCAAGCCTACTAATTAATTCACTACCAGTCGCTCCCTCTGAGATGTCTAACTCCGAACTGTCTGAACTCCATTCCCCCGCATCGACAGTATCGATGGAAGAAAACATTGATGAATATCCGTGGAACGGTCTAATTCTGGACGGCGCTCCCTTCGGATTGGAGAAGATCTATGACTACGAATCCGGCGGACATCATCCCGTCCACCTGGGCGATCGTCTTGGGAGGCCCGTAAAGAGTGTTTCGAAGACGAAGCAGACCCTCAAGGTCGCGCGATCAAGACGCCGGCCATTGCACAACCACCCAAAATTACCGGTGTCCTTCATCCCTCTGTCGCACAAGAACCTCGCTCGATGCAGGAGGCGCTTGCCCCCGGACTTTGGTACCTGAATCTGGATATTGGGGAAGAAACCCACCGGGATATTCTGGGCGATGAGATCGAGGTCTTTGCGGATCTTCTGGGCAAGCTATTAAAATACAATCCTAGCGAGCGTCTCAGCGCCGACGCGGTGCAGGACCACGAATGGTTCAAGATGTAAGCGGCAGGTTCAGTCGCTTGTATCGAGCTGTTATCAGACGTGTCAGTGTACGAGAGCTGTTAGTAATGAAGATGATACCATTGGCTCTTGTGATTGGCTTGCAGATCGAACAGGTTGTTTCTCAGTCCTAAATTCCTAATCCATTTGTCTTTTGATCTCTGACAATATTATCCTTATTATCCATGGCGTGTGGAATTCACGGTTGCTCTGTTGATATCAGGATCTTGTAGCCTCTCACTGCTAGGCTGCCAATCATCGGTCGTGATTTCATCGTTAGTCAGCTATGAAGTGATTGGACTAGTTAACCCTCGACACTCGATTATTGAAGAAGTGGCCACAAGGGCAGTCTTACGGTGAGAATTTCATGGATCACAATTAATGGTCAGCAGAACTGCGCATAAAGACGTATCCTTGTCAAGAACAAGATTCAGTATCGAGTTCTACTCCATACTCATTACTCCATACTCCGTGCTCTTCTCTGCCACTGGAATTCGATTATCAAACGGCAACGGGCGGGCCAATCGGGGCCGGGAGGATGGCGATTATGGCAGGGCTATTGCCGGGCCCCGATTTGCGGGAACGCGGGCAGCGGAGACGATCGTTCATTCGTTCCCCACAGGGCACGCAGCGCGCTAACCGCATCCGGGAGCAGGGCATGTGTCTGATTGGCCCTGGAAAAGTGCTTATCGGCGGGCTCTGATTGGCTGGCACTGACGCGTCTTCCCCGGATTATTGTTCTTGTTATTAATAATATATTGTTATTATTCGTCTTTATTATTCGTCTGTATACTGATTTTCTACTGCTAGAAGGATGAATAGAAAGGAATGCTTGTTTCTGTGCGTCTCTTCTGTCCAGATGAACTGCTGATTCCCTAGTCATAATAATGACGCTGGCGACCCGCGCAGCCGGGACGATCGAAGGGGCCGCCCAATCAGGCGGCGCACACTTATCTCGGCCCTCAGGACTTCCACGGTGCTTCAGCGACGCCAAAATATCTGTTACGTGTGCGAAATGGCTTCCTGCCGCGTCGGAAGGGCGGTCGGCGGCGGACTGCCCTCGCTGGGCGGTGGCCTCCCGAGGGTCCTTCCGGGATATTCACGTCCCGCGAGAATAATAATATGCCCTGCTTCAAATATCCTCCCTCCATCGCTGCTCTCTCTGATGTAACGACAGCCTCCGGTCTCTGCTTCGTCGTGTCTCCCTCCAGATTGGCTTCCCCAGACGCGGTCGTGTGCTGTCTGCCTCGTCTTGTTTCTGCTGAGAGTCGCTTCTCGGTCCAGCGGCATGACCAGACGGGCGATCGAATATCTGATCCTCCTGCAATCGCTGGCGACCTCCCCGGGACATTGAATTGCCATCTCCCTCGACCGACACTAGTCTCCCCCCGACTAACAGCCGTCTATTATCTATTCCTATTATCTTTCCGCGGCTGATAGCACGCCTCCGCCTGCTATCAGATAAGCCTGTGCAGGCCCTGTGTCTGCACGACAACGGACAGCCTCTACCCCACGCCCGCTGCAGCGGAGACCGGGGAGAAGCCTCAGATCGAAGCGTCACCTAGTCCACTTGGTGCATCCCATCGCCTTATCAGGCTTATCTCGCGATATCTGCTAGCCGTCCTATATTATCTATATTATCTATCGCCCGCCGCCATGGCCACCGCCATCACCATCCAGCCCTCGTCTGGCCCGGCGGGCTCCCGTGCTGCCCTGGCCTCCGATCCTCACCATCTGGTCCGCCCCCGGATGAACAACGCCGCCTCGTCCGACTCGCCCTCGTCCCTGCTGTCCGCCGTCCCTGTCCTCGCCCGTGGCCCGGGCCGCGATGGAGTCAGCTGCGACGCCTGTCTGCAACGCAAGAGCCGCTGCGCCATGAACGAGCTGGTCAACAAGTGCTACTCATGTGAATTCCATCGCCAGGACTGCACCTTCACCGTCGCCAGCAGCAACCTGCCCCTCGCCGGCGACGCCTCTCCGTCCAGGAAACGGAAACTCGACGAAGCCGGCGACGGGGAACCCGCCAAGAGGTAGGAACTTCTTCTTCTTCCTGCTGGCAGGATATTCCTAACGTTTTGTAGACAATCGATAGACGTGTCCTATTCTCCCGAGTCCAGCGCAAAGGACATGTCGCGGCCCTCGACCAGGGCTACAGAGGTTGCCTCGCCCAAGCTCTCATGCCAGACCAGCCAGCACATTGGCATGACGACGGAGCTCGAGCCCATTCTCCTCGAGCATCTGCCGCTGGACGCAAACGATGAGAGTCTGCTCGCCAGCTCGCATCGCGTGCGCCGGTTTGGCGAAGACGGCACTTTCATGCGGATGATTGACAACCCAGTCGAAACGCCGTCCGTCTCGCTGGACGCCGTTGAGAACCTCGTCGCTCCGTATGGCTCCACCCTCGTCGACAGATTTTTCCAGCGCATCCATCCGGTCTTCCCCGTCCTGATGGAAGATGCCTTCCGCCAGGCCTACCGGACGAGGAGAGGGCTCTCGCCTCTTCTCCTGTCCTCCGTCTACCTGCTGGCCCTGAAGTTTCTGGACGTCGAGCCGGGCTCCCGCACGGTGAGGACGCCGGACGCCGGCCGTCTCGAAAGCACGGCCATGAAGCTGCTGACCGAGTCTCTTCCTCGCGCCAACATCACCACCATCCAAGCCGGTCTGCTGCTCATGCAGAAATCCTCGCTCAACACGTCCGCGTTGAACGCGCAGCTCGTCACGGCCGCGTTCGAGCTGGGACTGCACCAGGATTGCACCCACTGGAAAATCGGGACGGCCGAGAAGGGCCTGCGGAAACGGATGGCCTGGGCGCTATACATGCAGGACAAGTGGTCGTCGCTGATGCACGGGCGGCCGTCGCATATCTCGGCGGCCAACTGGACCGTCCGCGATCTGGTGGAAGACGATTTCATGGGCGCGTTTCCGCTCGTGAAGCGGGAAGACGGCGGCTTGACCGTCGGCCACGGTCCTCTGCTCTTCTGCCAGCACGTCGCGCTGACCGCGATCCTGTCTGAAGTCCTCGACAACTTCTACACCCTCCGCGCCGCCGAGATGTTCAACGCGTCCGGCAACAACCAGACCCGGTTCATCCTGGAAAGAGCCAAGCCCGTCCAGATCCGGTTGAAGGAGTGGTTTGCGCGTCTGCCCCCGCAGCTCAAGATGGATACCAGCGTCTCGTTGTCGGGAGATTTCCTGGAAGATCTGACGGAGGAGACGGCCTGCAACGGGGCCCTGCACCTGGCCTATTTCGCGACCGAGATCACGCTGCACCGCTGCATCGTACGGTCGCTGAGCCCTGCCACGGCGGACAACTACCTCTCGCACATCTGCCGGTCCGCAGCTAAGACGCGCCTGATCTCCGCGATGGACTTTGTCAACCGGCTGCGACCCGCGCACCTGCGGTCGTTCTGGCCCGCGGCGGCGCGGACCAACTTTGCGCTGATCGGTTCGTTCGGGGCGCTGCTCCTGGCCACGGCGCCGACGAGGGAGGAGGCCGAGTTCTACCGCCTGCGCCTGGGCGAGTACCGGTGGACGCTGTCCGTCAGCATCAAAAACGCCGAGTTCCTGAACTATGCCCTTGAGAGCCTCGATCTCGCGACGAGTCTGGTGAAAAATGTCCCCGAGAAACCGGGCATCGAGGAGCTGATGGCCTCCTCCACCAAGGCCGCACCATCATCGGCGCCGCGTAGTCAGGATCCTCCCGCCGCCAGTGATGGCCCCTCTTCCGCTCGACCCAATAACAACATGCTAGAAGCGACCGAGCGAGCGGGCTCTTCGTCGGTGGTATCAGGACTCGCCTCGCCCGCGACGTCGGTATCCGGCAGCGAAGAACCGGAGGAGACGTATACCTTGTAAAAAAAATAGACACATAGCACATAGACTTTTTGATCTTGGATTTTGTCACGACATTATTCCGCATGAATGAATGAAATGATGGATTGATACCATGAATGATTTATCTTTCTCTTTCTTATTGGTTTTTCTTTTTTTTTCCTTTTTGTTTCGTTTTTAAAAATACTAGCCATTAGTTATATATAACAGAAAATGGGAAAAGTAATTCCTTATTCTTTATTTGTATCTTTTTTTCTTTATCTATCTATCTATCTAGTCTGTTAACACCTCAAGTCTAGTATTATTCTAACATTCTACCTAGTATTAATATCAGTGCATTACAGCACACATCAAATTAGAATTCGTAATTCTTTCTTGCTTTCAATCTTTTTTTGTATTTTTCAACTTTTAACTTTTCCCTATTACTGGATGCTACATGCCTTGGATTGGGTTGATGTTCTTTCTACGGTCTATATCGATCGAAAAGAGAATTGAATTTCAGAGATTGCTCGATTGATTGATTCATTATATTTTTCTCGCCGATAACGCCGTTTACCTTTCTTTTCTTTTTCTTTCCCCATTTGTTGGATCCCGTTACTTTTTCTTCGGTGGATGTATGTAGGCAAGAACAGAACAGATACATGCATGCAGACAGACAGACAGACATGTCATTATGAAAGAAAAAGGTGAAAAGCAAAAAACCTGTACAATTGAACGTGAAGAAAAAGGAAATTCTGGTATCAAGGTTCAGATATCATCGGTAAAGGAAATTGCCGTGTTTGCGGTCTAGACCAGCAGGACACTGTAATTGTCATCCAAGTCAGCTGGTTGCTTTCATTCTCGACGGAAGAAGGGGAAAACTCACGCATTCACGCAGCCGTCGTTCTCGGGGTTGTTTGTAATCTGCGCCCATTTCCCCCACACCACCTTGCCGCTTGCCGTGACCATGCCCAGTTCCGACACGTTCACCTCGATGATCGTGCCCTTGGTCAGAACGCCCAGTTGCGTGTACAGAGGGCTCTGCGGGTTCTTCTTGACGGAGATGATGGGCAGCTGGACGGTGACGCCCAACTGCGGATGCGTCACGTTGGCCTTCTTGTACCGCAGACCCATGGGCCGGATGAAGCGCTCGTACTTGACGGGCCGGCGCGTGAAGTCGTTGCCGACGAAGGTCGGTTTCGTGATCATGCGCTTCCACGACTTCTTCGACGTCTTCTTGCCCGTCTTGACCACCTTGAACATCTCCTCCTCGCTGATGCCGCGCACCTTGGGCAGCGGCACCGAGAACTTGGCCGCCTTCTCCGCCCGCTTGTCCTTGATGGCGCTGGACAGGGCCTTGGCGTTGGTCGCCTGCGACCGGTCCAGCAGGTAGTTGGGCAGCGGGTTCTTGGACGGCTCTTCCGACGGCGCCGCTGACTTGACGTTCTTCTCCTCCTGCGCCTTGATGCGCTTCTTCATCTGGATCTTCTCCGCATGCCGCTTCTGGTGGTACAGCTTGGCCCTCAGCCCGCGCAGTTTCTGCGAGTCCTGCGACTGTTTGTGGAATTCGCGGGCCTCGCGCTTCCGGGTGCGCTCCTCATGGTCGAGACTGTCGCTCGTTAGAAAAGTAAACTTCTTGCTTGAGTTCTGGTTTCAGACATACCGCTTCCCGTGCTGCTTCTGCCAGCGCTCGATGTACCTAAGACATGGTCAGTTGTTGTACGCAAGGATGGGGAATCTTGCGGTGAGACGCACTCGTTCTGAGGCTGTATTCCAACAAATTCGTTAGCATCCAGTCACACAATCCAAAATAAAGAGTCGAGAGAGCACCTACCATGTCGAACGCAGCACCTTCTTATGCTGTTAACAAATATGAGGTAGACAATGCTGCGGAGGTTGGAGATTCGGCCGGGAAAAATGTGCCGCGGAGAAGTCTTGGCGCTGCGATAAAGATGTCACGTGAGAGCGCTATCAGTGGCTGCCTCAGGCTGCAATTTACCTAACCCGATCGGGGCGACTGACACGTGCAAGAAAACGCCTCACGTGATGATTTTCCGTCCGGCGACGCGGCCACTTGCGTAGTTCCACGGATTTTCTCAATCGTGCAAACAGCAGATCAGTACCTAGCGAATCCAAACTCCAGGATCCTTTTCTCCTGCGAAAACTGTCCTGCTCCTGCAATTCCCCGGGTCAATTGCAGAGCTCGGCTCTCCGGATATGTTTTCCAGATCGGCCCTCCGGGGCGTCTTCGACGTCCAGCGGACAACAGCAGGTCAATCGCTCGTGTCGTCCTTCATACACCAGCTTCCCCGACGAGCATGCCTCCATCAAGCATCGACGGGCTCCCAATTCCAGGCGACGCCCCATGAAATCCCACCTCAGAGTGTGCCGTCCTCGACACCATCATCATCATCGTCATCGTCACAGTCCTCGCAATCATCACCCTCAACAGTACCATCTACTGCTACGACAACATCCGAACCGGAATTTGCCCCCCAAACTCGCAACTATATCCCCCGCGAGAAGCTGCCTGTGCCGCCCATCTTCACGGAGCCGCTCAAGATCAGCAAGTCTCTCGCCTCCATGCTGCCGTACCTAACGACCCAACGGCCGCACTACATTTCAGCGCACCTGCACGCGCGGCCCTACCTGCTGACGGAAGGCGACCACCTCCGCCTCCCGTTCCGGATGCCCAAGGTGAAAGCCGGGGACATCCTGCGATTCAACCGCGCGTCGGTGATCGGGTCACGGGACTACACGATGAAGGGCACCCCGTACATCGACGAGCGCATGTTCGAGTGCCGGGTGCGGGTGCTCGGCGTGGATGCGGAGCCGATGCGCATCAAGGAGAAGACGAAGCGGCGGCAGCGGCACGTCCGGCACATCAAGAGCAAGCACAAGTACACGCTGATGCGGGTGATGGAGTTGAAGGTCAAGTCGTTGGAGGAGCTGTTGGAGGAAGGGGCCCAGATTGTGGATGACGGCGAGGCGGATCCTACGATTGAGAAGAAGGTCTAGACCTGTGTATAAAAAAGCGAGTTCTTATCATCCTTGTTCTTTCTTCTCGTCTATCCAGCGCTGTATTTTTATTACTATCCATATATTGCATCGTCTTTCTCAAGTTGGAGATCTAGTTTAGGTACTAAATAGCTATGTACTACTCGGTCATGCCACCAAACCAGACAGCAGACAGCTCAAATGGGATATGTGTCAGCAAAAAAAATGTGCACCTTTAGGTGATGGTTCATCTGTAGTTGAGACTATGCCTGGATCATTCGACGTGCTCCACTGCAATATCTTCCTCGTCTTTTTTGCCATCAGCGTTCTTACTCTCGGGAGTTTGTTCTTCACCGGAACTGCTGTTCGCGGCCCTCTTCTCACCAATCTGAGTCAGACTGACACCCTCCAAGCGGAGTCTCTCCAGATACAGCGCCGCTTCGGCCTGCTCCTGCCGTTCCTCCTGCGACATTTCTGGCCCGAGGAGCAGGAAGAAGAGCATATACGCCCAGACGGCGCCCATGAAGATGGCGATGACGCGGCCGTAGTCGAACTTCTTGGTACCGTTGGGAGCGGGTGGGAGAGGAAACCGCTCCGCGATGACGGACTGGATGGTCGCCGACGCCGACGACGCCAGGTTGCCGAGCTGGTACGTCAAGCCGACGGTCAGGCTGCGCAGGACGTTGGGCGACAGCTCGACGAGGTGGATCGGGATAGGCCCCCAGGCGCCGCCGACAAAGAACTGCTCGAAGAAAGCGCTTGCCACGAGGGACATGTTGCGCGGCAGCACGTACGCCGGGATGAGGGCGCCGCCCACGATGCACGCGCAGATCATCGACAGCCGCCGCCCGAAGAAGCTGCTCGTGTAGCCGACGGTGGCTCCGCCGAGAAAGGCGCCGATCTGGCCCACGACGGTGACCACGGTCGTGTCTGTCGGGCCCATGCCGACCTGGTCTTTGAGGAAGGTAGGGTCGAAGTCCTGGCTGCCGTGGGAGCACGAGATGAACCCAGTCATGAGCACGACCATGTAGATGAGGAGCACCCAGTTGGCGCGGAGGGCCTTGCTGGACTCCTTGACGAAGGCGCGGAAGCCGGTGGCACGAAGATCTGCTCCGTCTTGCTGCTGCTGTTGTTGATCCTGCTGTGCCCTGATCCTCGCCTCTCGCTCGGCCTTCATGACCTGGAAATGGTTCGTTTCCGGCAGCCACAAGCGGAAAGCGATGATGAGGATCGGTGGCCCTGCGCCAAACCAGAAGAGACTCCTCCAGCCATGAGAGGTGGTTGGCACCAGGGCGCGATAGAATGCCGCAGCGAGGAGGTATCCGACGGCGTAGCCTTCTTGAAAGACGCCGGAGAGCAGACCTCGAGCTTCATAGGGGAGATCCTCGAGGGCGGTCGCAGCAGCGGGACCAAACAGGCCTGAAGAAAAGAACAAATGAGTATAATCAATCAATCAAAAAAAATGAATATCGGGAAGCAGGATCTCACCTCCCATCGCGATGCCATACAGCGATCTCACGCCCAGAAACTGCGGCAAAGTGTTACAGAACCCCGAGGCCAGCTCCAGAACGCAAAAAGCCCCAGGTTGATGATCATTGGGTACTTCCTGCCATAGCGATCGGAGATTGTGCCAAAGACGAGGGCGCCTACGGACCGAAGCATCAGAGTGACTGTCATGCCCTGAGAGTATCTCAGTATATGCCTCTATCCTTTGCGGGTGGTAGCAGGTCTGTCTTCTACAAGACGTTGCCCTGTGTCCTAATGAGTGTATTACTTACCCAGGAAACATCCGAATAAGCAACGTTAAACTGCGCCGCAAGCTCCGTGACGGTCATGGAAACCGTGAAAAAGTCAAACGCATCCCATGTCCATGCGAGGAAACCGGCAGCGAACATGAGCCATTGATGGGTTGTCAACTCTCTGAGGATGGCGATGGGGTTTCGGAGTTTGTTCTGCGTGTAGTCGTAAGTTAGAGTACAGTTATATAGATATCGAGCTGTGTATGTGTATGTAGATATGTACTCACCCTCGGCGGCTGAAGACTAGTCAACCTCGTCGCAAAGTAGCGGACGATCTGACGGGGGGAGTAGAACCACCCTGCTGCCATGTGGTTCCTCATGGTTGCAATTTGCGGGGGAATCTAACGTCTAAGAGACTGCAGAGATTTATTTATGAATTCTTCAGTCCTTCGAGCTCAGCCGTACAGTAGTATATCTAGTGTGTGCAGTCAGTCAGTTAATATGCAAGGAGCCGAGATAGCAAGCAGCATCCCGGTAAGATTTTTGCTTCTCTCTCTCTTTCTCCAGAAGAATAAAGGCAGCAGCACCTAGCATTACATACTTTCCCTGTTATATACACCCCTGCCAGTGCCTGCAGGCATCATCATCAGTCATTCTCCTTCCTGTTGTGTGACACTGATATGGCGCTTCTCCCCCGCACTGACGTTGGCCATCAACCAACCCCCCAATGACGGATTGCATCCTCCTTTCTACCCCGTACTAAGCCATGATCATCGCATTGACCGTCGGGACTAAGACCCCCGTGGGGAGTCAATGACGCAGACTACCTAGGTACCTAACAGACGGGTAGATGGGCAGATGGGCAGATGATGGCCCATGGTTCGACCTTCGGCATGTCCGAGGGCCTGCCTGTTCCGAGTCGACATGCCAAGCAGGTAGTACTACTGCTGAGTCTGTGGCACTTGAAAGTTTGGGTGGGGTCAGTTGACGAGAATACAAATAGCCGTGGGCTGATTGATTGATGACAGATAAAGAATAACACATGTAATGAGAATGGTGAGTAAGTGGTGGTGGTGGCGGTGCGTGAGTTCGTACTCAGTATGTAGTGAGTAGAGAGTGCTGTACCCCAGAATCGTAATTACAGTACTTACTTCCCCGCAGTTGATCAGGCTTGGCGGCTAAGAGGAGCTAAGTTGGAGAACAACAATACCTAGGTAGGAAGTGACAGGTGTTTAGCATTCAAGCTAATTCGTTAGTTCACTACCTAGGTATTTAATTAAATTTAAGGCTTTGAATCCATCCCCGCATTTTCACGATCCGGGGTTTTTTAATCTCGGAGGATACTAACTGAACCCCCACCAGCTAGACTAACTAGACCGGATGTGAATGAGGGAGGTTCTTTGACTGGACGTCTCTTTGTTTTCTCTCTCTTTGCAGGGCTATGCTATAGACATCATTGTAGAGGCATGTAATTAATTGCTGCAGCCACTAGAGTGTACCGACTATCGATTTATTGTAACGACTCAGCTACCCACTAATCTACCAAAATCGTCGGAGACAGCGTCGAATAGTGGTTGAAGAAGCTCGTGAAGAGCCGGATGGCATGTCCCACATCGTGCGACCCGCCCGTCTCGCGGATGCTGTGCATGCTCAGCTGCGGATTGCCCAGATCCAGCGTCCGCGCGCCCAGCGCCGCCGACAGCATCGGCCCAATGGTGCTGCCGCAGCTGGAGTCATTGCGTACCACTATCAGCTGCAGAGGCACGACGTCTCCGCCATCCTCGGCCGCTTTGCGCGCGACTTCCTGCACCAGAACGATGCCAGGCGAGTTGGTCGCGTAGCGGACGTTCGCGTTGATCTTGATCACCGGCCCCTTGTTGATCTCGGGCTTGTGGTCCGCCTCATACTTGAACGAGAAGTTGGGGTTGACGGCGTGCGCCATGTCGGCCGAGAGGAGGAACGACGTCGCCAGTGTTTGCTCGTAGGCGGTCGAGACATCGGCCTCGCCGCCCACCTGGTGATACGACTTCTCGGAGCCGGCGTCTTCAAAGTGAGACGGAGGCAGAACCGACAGGCGGCGAATGACCGACGGCAAGATATTCGAGTCGGCTCCCTGCGCACTCGTACTACCAATCTCTTCGTGATCAAACAGCGCAATCAATCGGATCGACGTCTCGCCGTCCAGGGCCGTCTCCTCAGCCACGGAGTTGATGAGGCCCTTGACGGCGCAGAAGGACATGTTCAGATTGTCCAGGCGAGGAGAGAAGATGAACTCCTCCAGCAGTCCTCCCAGACACGACTTGTTCGTGTCGAAGAGGACCAGCTCAAAGTCAAGAATGTCCGCCGGCTGAGCACCCAGGTCCGACGCTATCAGCTCGATCAGATATGGATGGTGACGCTCCGTAATGGCCTTCAATGGCGCCGCAGTTCCTTCCTTTCCAGCGGCATCCTTGGATTCCGACTCCTTCGATCCCCCGGCCGTCCGGTTCAATTCCGCCGCGACGAGACCCGCGATAGGGAAGAGCTGGGTCTCTTTGTTGAAAGAAAACGTCTCCTGCCGCTCCAGATGAATCGCCAACGTCGGGATGCGCAGAACTATATTCCACTTCATTAGCCTTGGACTCCGTTACAGTTGGAGGGTCTCTCTGAGCTCCGTACTGGGACGGTCAATTTTGACGAGTTTCTGCACAATCGAGCCGTCCTTCGTACGAACCATCACCCGCCCCGCGACTCCCAAGTCGCGGTCAAACCCTGCGTGAAATCAGCTTCGGAGTTTTGCAGCAGCCAGAGCATGATCGATCCTCACAGGTATGCCAAATGCCAGATCCGTAGACCTCGACGCCAACTTGCAAATACCCCTCATTCTGCTTCTTACTGACGGGTTTGAGCCTCAGAACGGGGGAATCCGTGTGAGCGCCAATCATGGCGATGGGGTTTCCAGGCTGCAGGACGTGAAGCATCGAATCAGTCGCTTGACCAGGTCATTCGATCCGGATTGTGGCCGCTTACTTTCCATTTCTTGCCAATGGCAAAGGCAATGATTGTCGAGCCATTGCGGGTGAGATAGTACTTGCCACCGGGTCGGCATGTAGAAGACCACGACTCTTTTTCCTGCGTGCGCGATGGATAAGCTTGTCGTTCTCGACCAACGACTGCGGTCGCAACATCAATTGCGTACTTTGATCTCCTTGAATCCGGCTTGCGACAACAGTTCCTTAGCGGACTTGACGGCGTGGAAGGCTGCGAGAGATCAGACGATTGCACATGCTGGAGAAGCGGGGTGGAGCATTACGTACGAGTAGGTGAAGCATTGACGAAGGAGAGGAAATCCAGTGCCGCCTGCTTGTGATCGATCTTGGCCATGGTGGAGTAACGTGTATACCAGACAGTAGTAATAGTCGAGACTGCGTGACGTGGAGAAACCGGACGATGGGGGCACAGAGATAAGAGAGTCGAGATGGAAAAGGCGCCGTATCGTCGCATGTCGAATTCTCCGCACGCTGCGATGTGGCTAGTAGTAGGCTAGAACTGAGGCGGTCAGCAGTCACGAGTGACGCAGCGCGGGATTCCGTCCGGACGATCGCCTAAAAGATAACGATGATGTCGCGACAAAGTTTAGATCTCCCCACCTACTACTTAGTATATATTAGTCGCCGACTCGCCGCTCAAGGTTCCTCCAGCGCCGATCTTCTCGCAGCGAAAGCTTTTTTGCGTCTGAAGAGCTCTAAGAATGGGTCTCCGGCAATGACAGACGCACAGACCTTATACGCTGACAGCAGCCATCCTACCTTCTTACTTATGCTTACCAATGCTTCTGTCGATATCACTAGGTATCAACAATGTGGTTGAGTGTCAGGCATCTCCGAGTTGTAGAGTGGAAGGACATTCTCACCGCTATGGCCAAGAAAGAGAGTTAATATTACCAATTAGGGCGGGCGTTCCGTATAGTCGTCCGATAACAGCAGGACTTCTCAATCCATTTTGGCAATTGATGATTTTATAGTAGTAACAGTTACTATCTGCTTCAGATTTGAGACTTTTTATTGTTTATTTTTTTATTTTATTTTATTTTTATTTTATTTTTTTAAAAAAATATTAAAAAAAATAGTTGCCAATGTTGCGTTGAAATCTGCTGAATAACTCTATCTTGACATCATTAGAAAACAGAAAACAAGATGAACACATATACTTTAACTCCCAGACTATCTCACATGCTTGATCTCTTGACACGCATATAGAGGATTCATTTAGAAGAATAATATTAATAATTACCAGCTAGATAGAGTGAGCATAGTATTGTCACCAGCGCAGAGAATAGTGTAGACCCCAACTTGCACGCAGAGCGAATCATCCTGCAGGCGTTTCGCGTCTATCAAACGCTCCTTGTCAAAACAAAAGACGCCCGCGCATCCTGTCTGCAGACTGCAGTGTTGTTGGCGCCCAAGGCGCGTGCAGGTCGAAGCGCCAAGCTGGCGACGCGACCGCACCCCAAGTAAACAACAGCTGCTGAGAGTCACTTTGACTCTCACCATCCAATCCTGCTGCCTGTCAGATTTTTGCACGTTGCATCACTGCACAGGAAATACCTCTGCTCCATTGACAACACTTAAGACTGCGGACTGAGTATCTGGCGTCTGGTGAAGACTGTTGTTGCAGTGCTCAGTCGGGCTTAGCGCAGCCGACGCGTGACCCCGTTGCCGTTTGGGGCAAGTCCAGTGACTGGCAGATCTGATCCAAGGGCGCCCCGATCACTGTCCAGTCCTCCCTCCGCACCGACTTCTGCTCACCACCTCGCCCTCCCTGGACCTGGCTGCCTCATTCTCTCCTCAAATGATCCTCGGCACCTGTCCTGTTGCGCCCAATCAGCCTAGGTCTGGTGAGACTTGTCTGTCCTGTCGGCTGTCGCTCTCCCTGCGCGCGGAGCAACAAACAACCTAGCCAACTGTGAAGACGATCCTTCCGCGCTGTATCAATCTCCCCTCTCTCGGCACACCCATTCAGCCTGACAGTCGTCGTTCTTGCGTCTCTTTTCACTAGTCCTTGTCGCGTTTCACTTGCCATTGTCGTGGTGAATACTAGCCTCCCAACTGGTCCACACATTGAAGAAACCCTGACTAGGCGCCGCTTCGGGGGTTGGGAAGCACACTGTTGCCAGAGCGATGGGCGGGCAGGAGCAGGAATCGGAGCCGTCCGTGAAGGACGTGGACTCGACGACTACATCGACGACGAGGGCTTCGGGGAATGCTGCGAATGCATTGAACATGGCTTCCCCGCCAGGATCCAGAACTCCGCAGAGCCATCCGACGAAAAAGACACTCTTCTTCCCCGAAACTTCGAGTAATCGATCCCATTCTCGACCTGGTTCCGACGCTGTCGATCCCGAAGCGCTTGCCAAAGCTCTGAGAGAGTACGATGAGGCCGGGCGTCGCCGTGAACGCACTCCTGGGGCCAGTCCTAGTCGGAAGAGGCAAAGAGTGTATGGTGACAGGTGAGCGCACCCTGTCCTTTGGATTGATGTCGCAGGATGGAACAATGCGTGGTCCTTTAGAGCATTGCTGACAGTGGATGTTGCGCAGGTTCATACCGAATCGTGAAGGTCAAGACTTGCAAGCCACCTACAGTCTACTACACGAAGATGGTTGTCCATCTACGCCATCAAAGTCCAAAAGACGAGCGCCGCATGGGGAGCTGCACTTTCAGAAAAGTATGGTTTCCCCCATTGTCCGATCTTGATTTGTCTCGGAGCTGACTGTCGTTCCAGCTGAGGAGGCCAATCGGACATATTCTCGAGTCCTGAGAAGTGAGCTCTTTGGCAACACAGTGCCACAAGCTGACCCAGAGTCCGATCCCTTATTGAATTTCAGCACCACCGTTCATGATCCCACCCGATCTCACACGCCTCCCTCTCATGTGGCTGCGGCCCTTCCTCCCGCAAGCATCACTCCTTCAACGCCGCACAAGAACCTCTTCACCTATGTCTCTCCCCGTCCCGGCTCAGGCCAGCCCACGCCATCCAAAACTCCTCGAAGCCAGCATGGGCCCAACTTGAATGTCCGATCGGAGTTGTACAGTCTGTCGCCGATCCGCTACGACAGCCAGCGCATTCTGGAAACACCGAGGAAACAGCCGCGCTATGTAAACAAAGTGCCTTATAAGGTTCTGGATGCGCCGGATCTGCAGGATGACTTTTATCTCAATCTGGTTGATTGGGGTAGCAGTAACGTCTTGGGTGTCGGTTTGGGTAACTCGGTCTACATGTGGAATTCCCAAACTGGCAGAGTCACGAAGCTCTGTGAGCTGAAAGACGACACAGTCACCAGCGTCAGCTGGATACAAAGAGTAGGAAAAAGATCCACCCGCACTTTTGCTGTCGATCTCGAGCTAACCCATGTCTCCAGGGAACCCATCTCTCCATTGGCACTGGAAAAGGTCTGGTTCAGATCTGGGATGCCGAGCACTGTCGCCGTCTCCGAACGATGATCGGCCACACCAATCGAGTCGGGGCCCTGGCGTGGAATGATCATATTCTCACATCAGGATCTCGTGACCGCCTAATCTTTCATCGCGACGTCCGTTCTCCTGAACAATATTTGCGTCGCCTATCAGGGCACAAGCAAGAAGTTTGCGGATTGAAATGGAACACTGAGGACGGTCAGCTCGCATCGGGCGGAAATGACAACAAACTCATTGTGTGGGATAAACTGAACGAGACACCTCTGTACCGCTTCTCCGAACACACCGCGGCAGTAAAGGCTATTGCCTGGTCGCCACATCAACATAATCTTCTTGCATCAGGAGGAGGGACGGCCGATCGAACGATCAAGTTCTGGAACACTGCAACAGGCACGATGATCAAAGAGGTCGACACAGGCAGCCAGGTGTGCAATTTAGGTTGGTCGAAAAACTCGGACGAGATCATCAGCACACACGGCTACAGCCAGAACCAAATCGTGATCTGGAAATATCCCCGCATGGAACAAATCGTCTCACTGACTGGCCATACGTTCCGTGTGCTCTACTTGGCAATGAGCCCGGATGGCCAAACGATCGTCACGGGAGCCGGCGACGAGACGTTGAGATTTTGGAAGATCTTCAACAAGAAATCGGGGAGAGATCGAGGGCGAGAGGGCAGCAAGCTAGCTGAATGGGGTACGATACGGTAGACCCATCAGCTTCATGCTCTCCGCCTTGGGCTTAATGACCGTTACGACCTTTCATCCCGTCTTTTTTTTGTATCGCCAGCAGGTGCTTGCATGATATGGTGCATCCAATTCGGCGTTCTCGGTCTTCGATGGCGTTTCTGCAGTCTGGGCATACGCGAGAGCAAGAAGGGTCCTCGCGCGGGTATTTCTTTCTCTTTTCTTTCTTCATCTATTTGGCATCTTGCCTGGTGGCCTCTGCTATTTCAGAAATGAACAAAGCGAGGTTAATTGAAGTCTCTCGAACAAAAAAAATCTCCCTGCATGTATCGCTATTCATTGTCGGTGGTATCTCTTGTGTTTTTTAATCTTTTTTTTTGTGTTTGCAACAGCATTCTATTATACATACCTCTGGCGATGGCGCTCATGGCGTTAGCAATCACGATCTATCTTCGGTGCTGTGGTTGGGACTGGAACTGGGACTGGGACTGGGACTGGGACTGGGACTGGAACCGGCAGTTTATTATTTAGTTAATAGTTGAGGGAACTTGCTTGGGACAGGAGAATTTTTTTTTCCCTCTTACTTTCTTATTATTATTAATTCTTACTTTCGCGAGTTTGATCTTTGATTGATTGATGATGACATGACATGACCCTTCTTATTTTTGTTTCCTTCAAACGGGGGGACGCGAATTTTAAATTAATTGAAATGAATGCTAGAGCTTTGCTATGTTCTTTTTTTCTTTTTGTTTTTAATTGATTAGATTAATTAATTAATTAATTGCTCAATCAGATCTAGATCAGGTCATATCGGATCACTTGTGTAAAAAAGAGAAGAAAGAAAGAAAGAAATACTCCGGAAAATGATAATAGACTTTTTTATTTCTTTCCTTTTCCCCTTTTGCTGGCAAGTGCAAGTGCAAGCGCAAGGTGAATGAAATTTCTCCTTGGAGGATTGAAAATCTCAATGGCCATTATAATAATAAGTATAATATACTACACAAAGAATACAGGATTGGATTGTTCAGGAAACATTAGATTATAATCTAGTAGTCTATCTAGATAGACTCCTCCTCATCCTGTGCGATGTCCCACCTGACAGACTTCATGCTCTTCTTCCTCACAAGACTAGCCTTCCGGGTTCGACTGTTAGCATTGTTTTGATTCGGTCCAGGAACACCTTTGCCCTCTTTTCCTCGGCCACCGGGACGGTGAGGCTAAAGACGTTCAGAGCGGAGGGAGGCGGGCCAGTAGACACAGGTTCACGAGTCGTGGGAGAAGCAGTCCGCTTGCTCGCCTTTCCGGAGAGGATATCGATAATTTCCTCCTCCTCCTGCTTGGCAAGCTGTTTTGCGGATTCAGAAGACTCGACTTCGTCGAGGGGGATGGCGTTGATTTCGGGGATGTAGTCTCCTCGCGACGTCTTAACGGGGCTTGCGCCAAGGACCACCTCATCGAAGAGTTCGTCGGCTGTGGGTTTGGAGAGCGGAGATCGGGGGAGGTCGTCGTTTGCTATGTCCGTGGCGCGCGCGATGAAGGTCGATAGCGGTACCGTCACGCCCAAGGTGTCCTTGATTCGTTTCTGAACAGAGAGCACGGAATCCAGGGGAATCGAAACCGCCACTGAAGTCTCTGCTGGCGGTGCAGGAGCTGCTGCCTCCTCCTCAACTGCCGGGGCCGGTTCTGCAGGCTTCGCCGGGGCCGGGGCTAGTTTGATGTTGCTGAGGTCCAGATGCGACAGCTTTGCGAGTCGCGCTGCTTGCGTCGCCGGGTAGTCTGCCGCAATTGTCCCTAGGTACGCGAGGACATCTCCCTTGAGAAGACGGCCTTTAGGCCCTGTTGCGGGAATGTTGGAGATCTCCGACTCTGGAATGCCCTTTTCATGGAGCAGCTGCTGGACGGACGGGTAGAGAGGGTAAACGGGGTTCTGCGTCTGGGTCGCAGCGGTGGATTGGAAGCCTAATTCATTCGCAATCTTTTTTTAGCCGAATCATTCATGGTTATGCGAAGCTTCTGTTTCGACGGGTGATTCGAGAGAATGGCTTGATAGACGTACGTTTGGCGGGGTGGCCTATTTTGACCTGCTTTCGCGCGATCCCAACAGGGAGCCGTCGCAATGGCAAGCTGGATGCCATCCTGAAGCAGAATTATGTGGGTTCCTCGAGGATCTTTCTTGCGGAGGATGCTGGACAGATCGCTCAACCAGCACCGGCACCGATCACCGGGAGGAACAGCGACCCGATCTGCGACGGTTCCCACTGCGTTTACAGTGGAGGCGTATGGTGTTCGATTCAGCTAGTCCAGCAGTGACAATTTGTGATGGACCGGTAGTGCTCAATTGACGAGAGCCATGAAGACCAATTTCTGGCGTCACTCGTAGCCTGTATTCGAAGGCGAGAGGCAGTTCTTATCGGCGGCTTCTTCCGGTGAGCGTTAGCGGTTGGGGAGCTTCGCCGGCCAAGGAACATTTTTGAGCCGCGCGGCATACCCCAAAGCAGCAGAGTTACAGGAAGACTGCCGGTGCCGCAGGCAGAACAGCTGCAGTGAGTAGTGAATCAGGCTGCTTCACAAGCAGCGAGACAGTGAGTATCACATTTCTTTCCTTTCTTCACCCACTTGACATCCCTCTTTATCTCCCACACTTCATCCAACACTTCCTGGAAGGGCTCAACGTCCTTCTCCAACTTTTTCCCCATACAGTTCCTGTGCCCTACAAAATCGCCAATGACTGTCTTCTGAACTGTTCCAATCGCTCTGCTAACAGTCATTTAACTCTCCAGGTACGTGTCATAATGTTTCCTAGGTCTTTTGTTTTTCAGTCGTTCCTGCAAAGATGTTCTAGAGGGTCCTTTCAGTCCTTATATCTCCATTCTCGACCCTTATCCCCGCGATCCTTTTCGGAAGCTACTCGATATGCCAACTCTGTTGCAAGTCGTGTCCCATTGCGACCTAAGTCCTCGTCGCGTCCCAGCATCCCCGATCCGACTGAGCAAACTCTGAAGTTTGCCGGGCGACGACCCGCAGGCCTGGGGCAATTAGAGAGAAAAGTCGCCAAGCTTGGAAGCGTAGTCCTTTTCGAAGCTCCATCACACAGAGGGTACATCCTCTGGGCCTATGGCATCGCAACATATACCTTTGCCTTCGCTATCTACAACTCTCACATTGTCTTTCGAGATCCAAAGAGGCCGCTGGCGACGTGGGTGAAGGCTCTCTGGGGGGGCTTATGCGTTATCATGAGCATGATGGGCACCGTGGCCATAACGAGAACCTTCAGGCTGATCAAAGCCGTAAAGGCTGTGCATGTCAATGGGGCAATGTACCTCCGTTTCTCCGTCCGACGGACGCTTCCATTCCGCAAACCCTGGCAATTCGACGTCCTGCCACGTCAAGTGGCTTTCTCTCGCCAGCTGGTCATTGACCCGAATCGTGTGACTGCTGACGGTCAAGTGATGGCGTATAGTCAGAAGCCCGATATCAGCTTCTTCCGGAATCCCTTGAAAATGATCAGCTACATTTTCTTCCGGAACTTTCTGATCGTGCGCCAGCTCGTCACGACGGAAGATTTCATCCTTCTTGAAGTGCAAGGACAGAAGGGCTGGTTTAAAATGGATGCCAACGGCTTCGTCTCTAGTGATCTGCTACTTGTGGGCAATCCCGTTAGGGTGAAATACTCGTAACGCGAGATTTCCTCTATAGAACGGCTGCCAATGCATAACCGGGGCTTTTTTTTTATCTTTGTATTTGTATTTGTTTCTTTTTTCTGAAATACTCCGTCGATTTTCTCTTAACCCCCAATACACTGTATTACTAAACCTATGTAAAAAGCAGTTCCAGTGTACCGATGGAGACCGATTTTCGATTTTTTACTCCATTTGACCCATTGTACGGCCGCAGCGGGGGAGAGCAGTTCTATTATCCAACTGAAGCGTCGCCAAGACGATATGGAGAGGGTTCGACGCGACTCGTCGTGAAAACTTCTTCGCTTCTGGCCCAATACCACGATCCTATTCCCGCGACTAAGGAGCCGAGTTACGAAGAATGGAGATGGGAGACGGAGTGGAAGGCGCAGTAGTAAGTCTGCCCAAGATGCACGAATTTTTTTTTGTTCTTGTGCCTCTGCTGACAAGGCCTCAGCCCTGAAGAGACACTTGGGAAATTGAAGACGAACAATCCGCTCTGGGTGTAGGTGAGCCTGCCGGTATGCTTCATATTACTGTTTCTGACTGTTGCAATGCAAGCAGACTCTCGGGAGATAAAGAGTTGATCGAAGTCGCTGTTGGTGAAAAAGCTGCTCCTTGGGCCATCCACAAGAAACTCCTCTGCTCCAACTCGAGTTTCTTTCAAGTTGCTATCAACAGTCTTTTCCGCGAGGGCAGGGAGAAGAAAGTAATTCTGAGGGACGAGGCGAACGAGGTCTTCTCCCTCTTTGTGCAGTGGCTTTATTCGGGATCCTTCACCACGACGTCGCTTCCCTTGTTGTTGCGCGCGTACGTCCTCGGCGACAAGTTGGGATCGCACCGCTTCCAGGTCTATGCATTCGACAAAATCTACGCCATGAATGCGTCGCGCTGCTATTTCACCCCCGAACAGGCTGTGTGGGTTAATGAGAATACCATGCCTAACTCTATGCTGAGGAACTTCACGATAGACACAATAGCCATGGGCTTGGTCAACAACACCCTGATACCGTCAGATGACGACTGGAACCTTATGGCCCCTCTCTATCTCCAGATCTTGCTCAGCGTTCAGTCGTTGGCCAAGTTTCAGAACAAAGCGTGGCGTCAGAAGTCGAGACTTCACTACATCTCTGAGAATTGAATTATGAATTTTTCTGATACCCGTGACTTTGAATGCACGCCTGCAATTTGGTGGCATATTCACATACTTTGAGTGCAAAGGACTGCATAGGTAGTTCGTGAAGATGCACCGATATTTGAAATTAGGTTCCTGGTTGGTAGTCGTTCTGCTACTACTATGAATTTAGAGACGAAAATTTGAAAGTCCATAACAAACACTAGCCAATAATAGTAGATGACCTGCATATCCTGGCGTGTAGCTAGATTTCCATCTTGCAGAATGTAGCAGTTAATCTGACAGGTACGGAGTACCTACTGGTGCAATCTTCTGGACGAATCACAGTGAGGCGGAACCATATTATCTCACGTGATGTGGGCGGAGTCGGTCCGCCGAGCTCTCATTCGCAACTGAGCGCGTCCGTCGACTTACTCGACACGCGCGATCCAGACCGTGTACCCCTCACCACAACATTGCTCTCCTCGCTGCTATCGCTGTCGACGCTTGGAGCTTCGCAGCTGGGGCGTCGCAAAGATGGGGAAGCTGGTTCGGCTCGAGCTATTCAGTAATACTCCTCTCCTTCAAGCTGTTTATCGGAGACGCTGACCGTTCCAAATAGACTTCAAGTCCTATAAGGGCCACCATGTCCTGAACTTCGGAGATGCGTACTTCACGTCCATCATCGGACCCAATGGGTCCGGGAAATCGAATTCGTGAGTCGTGATATTACCGTCTTGTCTGTCTGGCGCATTTCTGACGCGACGCAGTATGGACGCGATCTCATTCGTCCTAGGTATCAAATCTTCGCATCTTCGGTCTACGAATCTGCGCGACCTCATCTATCGCGGGCGCGTGCTGCGCACGTCCAAAATCAACGGAGATGGTTCCGCTACCAAGGAAGGGGAGCAGGATGGCAACGATGACGCTCAGGAAGGCTCCGATGTTGAAGACTCTCAGACGGCGGGAGAGAGTAACGACCCGAAGACCGCGTGGGTAATGGCCGTATACGAAGACGATGCCGGAGAAGAGCATCACTGGAAGCGATCCATCACAAGCCAGGGCGTCAGTGAGTATCGCATCGACAATCGCGTTGTGACTGCCCAGCAATACAACGAAGCGTTGGAGGCCGAAAACATCCTCATCAAAGCGCGCAACTTCCTCGTGTTCCAGGGTGATGTTGAAGCCATTGCGGCGCAATCGCCTAAGGACCTGACTCGTCTTATCGAACAAATCTCGGGAAGTTTGGAGTACAAGGCTGAATACGAACGGTTGAAAGCGGAACAAGAGGAAGCTTTCGAACAACAGACTTACCAGCTCAATCGTCGGCGAGGCATCAATTCGGAGATTAAGCAATACCAGGAACAAAAGCGAGAGGCGGAGAACTATGCCAGGAAGGCGGAGGAGCGTGACCAGGCGATCATTACACACATTCTCTGGAAGCTTTTCCATTTCCAGCGCCTAATTGATGAATCGAGCGCCGAAATTCAGCGACACCAAGATGAGCTCAAGGAACACCGTCGTGGCGTCGAGAAGTACGAGAAGAATGTTGAAGAGGCAAAGAAAGAGCATGCGAGAGTAGGAAGAGATGTTGCCAATGCGGAGCGAAACATCATCAAGAAGGAAAAAGACATAGAGGATTTGACAAACTCCTTAGTTCCGGTTGATGAAAAGATAGAGATTACCTCCAGCAAGGTCCAAAAGTTTACTTCAAGAATCTCCGAGATTAGCAAAGAGCGTGAAGCGCAAGCTGCCAACGCGAAACGCCTTGAAAAAGACCTCAAGATTGTGGAGAAGGCCCAAGCTCAATGGGAATCGGAATGGCAGAAAACCATGAGCAGGGCGGGCGTCCAGCTGAGCGAAGCAGATCTTCAGGAATACAACAAGCTCAAAGAAGAGGTCAATAAGCGGTCGTCAGCGGAGCAGTTGAAGCTCGACAACCTGCGACGTCAGAGAAAGACGGATGCAGAGACCGTTAACAGCCTCAATAGCAGATTCGAAAATGCTCAGTGGCAGCTTCAGAATTTGGAGTCGGATACCAAGACCTTACAGGAGCGCAAGGAGGCAGTCAATGAGACAATTAAGGCCACATCTCAGGAAATTGACCGTAAGAAAAAGGAGTTGAACACCGTCACTTCGGAGCGCCTTCGTGTCTCTCAAATGAGAACCGAGTTGGAGGAAAAACTCCAAATGGTTCTGAAAAAGTTACTCGAAGCGGACGATGGGAAGAAACAAAATGAGAAGGAAATCCGAATGAAGGAGATGATCTCAACGCTGAAGCGCATCTTCCCCGGCGTTAAGGGCCGTGTAAGCGACCTCTGCAAGCCGAAGCAGAAGAAATACGCAGAGGCCGTGAGCACTGTGCTGGGTCGCCATTTCGATGCTATCGTTGTCGATAATGAGAAGACTGCGAAGGAATGTATTCAGCACCTTCGCGACCAACGAGCCGGTCAAGCGACTTTCATTCCTCTGGAGACCATCCAGGTCAAGGCCTTCAACTCGAACCTCAAGGGTATGCATCGGGGCATGCGACCAGCTATTGAGACCGTCGACTACGACAATTCCGTTGCCAGAGCCATCAGCTATGCTTGCGGAAATGCAATTGTCTGCGACGACCTTGAAACTGCAAAATACCTTTGCTATGAGAAGGGCGTGGATGCAAAGGCTGTCACCCTTGATGGCACTGTCATCCACAAGGGCGGTCTTATGACTGGTGGTCGTGGCCCCAGTCAGCAAAACTCGAAACGCTGGGAAGAGTCTGAACTGGAGAATCTCCACAAATTAAAAGACAAACTGCTCGCTGATCTGGCTGCATTGCCAAAGGGTCACCGGCGGGGTACGGAAGAAGAAAGCCTACAAGGAGATCTCGTTGGACTTGAGCAGCGCCTCTCGTACGCTACGGAGGAGTTGAAGGCGCTTGATAGAAACCTCGAGAGCAAGCGCAGTGAGGTTGAGTTCGCTAAGCGCCAGCTGGCAGAATTAACGCCCAAACTGCGCGAAAAGCAGCGTGCACTCGAGCAGCTTGATCAAGCTATCCGTGAATCCCAGGATGCGGTTGGCAATGTGGAAGATGAAGTCTACGGCGATTTCTGCAGACGGCTGGGCTATGAGAGCATTCGCGATTATGAAGCCCAGCAAGGGTCTTTGCAAGAGGAGGCCGCGCGGAAGAAGCTCGAGTTCACGACTCAGAAGAGCAGAATTGAAAACCAGCTCAGCTTTGAAAAGCAGCGTCTACAGGCTACGGATGACCGAATCAACGCTTTGAAGGCGCAGCATGAGCGAGATCAAGCGCTAATCAAGGATTTGAAAGCGGAACAGGACAATATTCGGCACCGTTTGGACGAGTTTAATGCGGATCTTGAAATTTTCAGAGAGCGCCTTGAGGAGCAAAAGGATCTTTATGCCCAATCGCAAGAGAAGCTGGCAGAGCAACGACGAGAGCTTCAGAAGCGTGCCAAGAACGTGGAAGACACCTTGAGGATAGTTAATGCCTTGGAAGGCGAAATCCAGCGCCACTCCTCTAATCGCTATGCACTTCTTCGTCGTTGCAAGCTCGAAGACATTGATATACCGCTGGCGGAGGGTTCGGCTCCTTTGGATCAACTGCCCATTGATGATCTAGTTCAAAACGCGGATGCGGACGCAATGGACATTGACGAGGATGCCAACGCCACCGGGCTGCAGGCACCGGCTATTCAGGACTACGGCATTGAAGTTGATTTCGACTCTTTGGGCGAAACTCTGAAGGAGGTATGTATCACTTGTTGTTGAGCTTGACTTACATGGACTAAACAGTGATAGGCGTCGGACGACAAGGTCGAAGAAGAGCTACAAGAGCGTATCCGGTCTCTGAACAGCGAACTGGAGAAGATGGCTCCCAACACACGAGCGATTGAGCGTCTTGAGAGCGTCGAGAATAAACTTCGCAGTACGGAAAAGGACTTTGAAGAGGCCCGGAAACGCGCCAGAAAGGCGAAGGAGGCCTTTGAGGCTGTGCAGCGGAAACGCTCAGAACTGTTTAACAAGGCCTTTACGCATATTTCTGAGCAGATCGGTCCAATTTACCGGGAGCTGACGAGAAGCCCGAACTACCCTCTTGGTGGTCAAGCGTAAGTGTAGTGGGTGTCATCTAAGGTCGACTTATCACTGACTATGACGATACAGGTACCTCGATATCGAGAACTCTGACGAGCCTTATCTCGACGGCATCAAGTACCACGCCATGCCTCCTCTGAAACGGTTCCGTGATATGGAACATCTGTCCGGTGGAGAGAAGACCATGGCTGCGCTTGCTCTCCTTTTTGCAATACACTCGTATCAGCCCTCCCCGTTCTTTGTGCTCGACGAAGTGGACGCTGCATTGGACAATACCAATGTCGCTCGGATTGCCAATTATATCCGCGACCATGCTGCTCCTGGCATGCAGTTTATTGTCATTAGTTTGAAGACGGGACTTTTCCAGCTCAGTGAAACTCTGGTTGGCATCTACCGGGACCAGACGGAAAACAGCAGCAACACGCTGACCCTGGATGTGAGTATCTTCCCGCATTACGTCAGCAGTCATAAACTAACCGGTTCGCGACAGCTTCGCAAGTACCGCTCGTAAAGTGCATCCCACGACTTTACTTCTGTCTGTCTGTATTAGATGTTTCGTTTTCGTGGCTGTTTTCAGGGAGGTTATAGTGGCTGTTTATTATGAATGAACGAATTGAGGAGTGAAGATTTCTCTATTTACTCATAACGATACAAGTTCGACAATCGTCTATTTTTCCTCAAGTCGCAGTTGTTGACTGCTGGCCATTATTCCTGATTCTGTAATCCGGCCTTTTCGGCCAAGAATTTCAACCCCTTCAGCACGTAGTTCTGAAAGAGGTCGTCTTCCTCCTTCAGCAACATGTCAAACATGTGCTGGGCGCCGGGCACGAGCAGGAGCTTTGTCTCGATTCCCAGCGCCTTCAGCTCCTTGTGAGCCCGCTCGCTGATCCTGCTCTCGGTGAAGGTATCACCATTGCCGTGGATAAACATGGTCGGGGGGAAGGTCGACGAGAAGCCCTTGGCAGCATCGACGCGATCAAAGTCGACATCCTTGACGACCTGCGCGAGCCACGAGCCCTTCTTCAGCTGTGCCGTCAGCCAGGCGTCGCGGGGTGGAGGAGGCGTCTCTTTGTCCAGATAGGGGTCTGCGGAGGACACCTGCGGTACGTCGTAGATGCGGTTGATGTAGTCGTCGTCCGGCCACGTCTGTGGCGCGTTGACATACAGCGGGTTTGGGGAGTGCCAGCTGCGGTCGGAGTAGTATTTCCCGCTGTAGAAATCGAGCACGGCTGTGATAGGGACTGGGATCTCGGGGAAGGATGCCTGTGTGGACATGACTGTCAGGTAATAATGCACCGATTTTATCAATCGATGACTGCACTCACCATCCTTAACGCCAACCCACCACCACCCGAATGACCCATCGTGACGACCTTAGTCGCGTCTATCCTGAAATCCACCACTCCATTCGTCTCCAGCAGACCCGGCAACTCCGTCACGGCCCATATCAGACAATCCCTCGAATCGGAGACAGGCCCGTCAAAGGCCGAGATCTGCGGACAGAGTCGGTAATTGGGCACGACGACGAGGAAGCCCAGGTCCGTGAGGGCGGAGATTTGTGGTTTGGGAACGATCTCTTTGGATCCGAGGACGAAGCCGCCACCGTGGAAGATGAGGGCTGCAATTAAAAAATAGAATCGAATTCATTGATTAATTATCTACGTATTTATATTGCAGTATTTACTTACTTACCGATGGGATGCCCCTGTCCGGTTTTTGTCACCGGTGACCCTCTCTTCCAATGCACGTCTGCTAGGAGATCCTCTCCTTCGTTGCCTTTTTTGTATGTGAATTCTTTCGTTTCCATCTCTCTCACACTCACTATATATATATAAACAAAAAAACAAAGTCCTGAAAATTGGATGAAGAAATCCTAAACCAAAAAAAAGAAATTGATTTCTAATATACGACACAGTGTCAGATTTTAGTTCACGTCAGCTTTGCTCTCGTAATCTCGTAATCCATCCATCCTCACTAATTCATATAAATACACATATGTATACATATACATAAAGAGGAAAGATGTCAAATCCCGGAAACTCCCAATGTAAATAAATAATTAATAATAGTAATAATCAAATCAAGTGGATCTTGTTCCTCTCGTTTCGTCGTGTTATTCTGTGTTTAATAAATTCTCAGGTGCGGCTCTTTTTTTGTCCGAGTCAGTGAGTGAGTCATCATTCATGATCCGATGGTACTCACCATGGTAGTAGTAGTTTATTTAGTATTGGTATTAAATTTATTTCTTAGTGTCGAAGTCTAAATCTACATCCGATCCAATAATTAGTACATCAGCATCAGCACAAGGAGAAGAATATGATTATTAATCAGAAAAAAAAAGAGAGATAAAAGGAAAAGGAAACAGAAAATATATTATCCGGTTGAATTTTTTTTTCCCATCATCTTTTATTAGTATTGTTATTCTGGCAGTTTGTCGCAGGTTGAATTCATATCCAGATTGTAATATATATAGTTACCATGATCGGTAGAATTATCTAGATAGAAATTATTACATCAATTCTTAATATTTCAGTTCCGAACAACAGTAGCCCAATAGCTATAGTCTGCTCTGGTTTGTCGTCTTGGTGTCAAGAAATCGAGTACTGCTTTCTTCTTATCTCCTCTCTTTTCTTTTTTTGTTTATAATAATAACAGGACCGTCATCATTTCTAGTCATGTGGGATTGACATTGACGTGTATTCCATCAATACAACATTTATGTGGCTCCTGATGGATGTACGTCAGAGATAAAAAAAATAATCAATGCGCAATATTTTTTTGTTTAAAAAAATATTGATGTACTAGCAGTAACAATAATAATAATCAGTCAACAGTCCTGATAATAATAAAAGTAACCATAACTGCTGCCTAGCAAGAGCTGATCATCATCATCATCATCATCATCATCATCATCATCATTTTCTTCTTCTTCAACCTGGAAACACTGTTTTCGATTTGATTGTTATCCTTAATGCCATTCTCATGTCTCATCAAATTACTGTAGAGGCTTCCACAGCAAAAGCAGTCTTTCGTCCTTGATATATATTTATTCATAAAGTGATAGCGAAGTTCACGTTAACAAATCAATCTCTACTGACAACGAAGACAAGAAAGAAATTGGTTTCCTGGCAGGCAAGCAGGCATGCGGACAGACAACAAAGAAAGTGAATGCTTTGGCCAAAAAGTAAAACTTGAACTGAGTCTTTTTTTTTTCTCCCCTTTCCCATCATCCCACGTCAAGTCGTCAAGTGCTTACTAATTAATCCATCCATCTACCTACTCCGTAATTCATCCAATGGCTCTCTGGAGGGCCATTAATCAATTAGTTATTAGTAATTCAGTTCCCCAGTTCTGCGCAACTCAGGAGAGAACCTAGTCCGAGAGAGGGTGCGCTTCAATTCAATTTCATTGCATTTATTATTGCACATTTGCACCAACTATGTTTTTAACTTATAGTTACTAAGTAACAATAAGTCATGGTATCTAACTATGGAGTATTAGTATCTAACTAACTTTTGTTTTTCTTTCTTCTCTCCATTCTTTCCAGTAATAACCCTTTATGGTTATATAACCTTCATTATTATTGTTTTGCATATCTATTAATTAATTATTGACCCTAGATACATGGAACAATTAGTTTTATCCGACCGAGATCTTAGTATTATTAATTAATTGATTGATTGGTAAGCAACTAAGTAAGTAATAATTAATAGTCAGTTATTGTTACCATGTACATCTACTCTAGTAGTGTGTGATGGATGATCCCAACACACTCTGGAAATTAATCCGATGAGAAATGTAAATTATTATTAAATAAGAACTACTACACTACACTACACCACACCATCCCAGTGAGGAGATGACTCACAAGTCACGAGTCACGCGAGTTCGCAAGCGAGATCCTTCTACCTACCTACCTCCTACAGCTAGCGAATTGGAAATGCACCCGGGGAGGTGATTGGCGACTTCGTTTTCCTTCCTTGTTCATGGAGTGATGGGATGGGGGTGGATTGCGATGCAATGGACTCGCTTTTTGATTCCTTGAATGAGTTAGCTTGCTTGAACGGGGAATGCTGTCATTGGCTGAAAAAGGTTCGGAGTATACCTTATGTATGTACGTACCTACGAGTGAAGTTAAAGGCAATAGTTTTTAAAACGAGAAAGAAAAAAAAAGGAGAGCCGGGAAAAAAAAAGACAAGGTCTGGGCGAATCGCCTGCTTCTGCTTACTAGGCTACTACTAGACTACTAGGCTGTATATGTCTGTATACTGTATGTAGAACGTAGGTAGTAGGGCTGTGGAGTGCCTGCCGATAGATAGATTATTTATTGCAAGATTAAAGTAGGAATGAATACGGTAAGAATGTGGCTGGAGCTATCTGTACGGAGTATATTCCGTACCAAGGTACAACTTGAGTAGTTACATGTAGTTAGTAGTTGACTACTTCGCCAAGTGCATAGTTGACTCGAATAGTATAAGTATAGCTGACCACGCCACGCCACTACTACTGTTTCAAGAAAAGAAATGCACACGAGAAAAAAAAATCCTGGAGAAAGCCCCAGCATACTTACTGCATCCGTACTCATCCTGCTTAGGCAACTAGCTATAGGTATTGCTAGCTTCAGCAGAACCGCCAGACCGGTTCGGATTTCATTGTAAGGTCCTGTCAAAGCGCCCCAAGCCATGCTGGCGAACACGTGTCAGTAAAGAAAAAACCGGGTGATTCAGTCTATGAAGAATTATTGAATCCTGTCTGTTGACACGCCAGAACTGTTGGGGTGTCTACTTTGTTGTAGGGACAAACACGAACACCAACACCAACACCTCAAACCGGACCGAAGACATAACAGAGCGCATACCAGTCCTAAAAAACATCCGAAAGGACCTCTTTATTGCGGTCAGCAATGCAAGAGCATATATCTGCGGTTGAATCTTGCTGAGAGTTTTCAGATCCCTGTTTCTGCAGATCAAGGAGCCGGACTACTGTACTAACGGGAAAATATTCCAACCAATCGCCGTTGTGACGAATCTGATGACAGAGAACACTCCCCTCTGCCGTCGGGAAAATAGTGTGTCTGCAAACAATTCGTCACGCTGGATGGCTTGCAGAAGATCGGCGAAGCTGCACCAGTGTCGCCAGCCAATCGTTCGTTATCTTGATAATACTCAGGCTCAAGGCCTAACATGTACTCCCGTCCGTATGGCGCCGCCACTCTTGAACCGCACCCTGTTCAATACATACTGCAGCACCTCTACTGATGAGATCTTGCACAGGATCTTCGATAGCAAAGGCCTAGCTGCAGAAGGCAGCTTGGATGGGGTTTCTCTGCAGGTCTAGCCTAGCACAGCCAGCAGACGGGAGATCGCCTTCACCGCCAAAGCAATTGACACACCCGCGTGGCAGACGACACAGCTCGAGGCTGGATGATGCCTCTTGAATCGTATCCAGCTTGTGTCGATAGGGGGATTGAGATGGGCACAAGTTGCCGCTTTTGTGATGCTACCAACGATGTTTCTCAATACCGATTCTGGCTAGTCGTGCGGATGACATCCAAGCCTTTTCCCATGGCTGAGAAGCTGTCATCCCTTGTTTTCCCCACTCGTCTGTGGGCCGAAGAAGAAGACTTGGGACTTGGAACTCAGCCACGGATCTCGACATCGACCAGGGACATGGATGGTGGCTGGCGGACTGCTTGTCCATCCGAATACTCTGAAGAACTGTATGCGCTCGCCCAGCGTCCTACCCCTCGAGCCACAGACCGAATACGTGGCGGTGTCCAGAGCTCAGACCCCATCCAATACGAGGAAGTTGTCGCACTATCGTGGACGGCGCTCGGACCGACGCGTAGAGGTGACAGGGAGATAGATCTAGGCCCCGTTGCCAGAGAACCCGAGAGCCTGGAGGCGTGTCTCCAGCCCCGGTCCGCTGCGGTTGCTAATAGTTGTTTACAGAGTAGTCACCGCATCTAATCGTGCCGGTTTCCTTCGTTGGCAGCAGCAGAAGTACCTAACCTTATCCGCGGCTGCAGTGCTTCCTAACGCACAGCTGAAACACGCCATAGATCGAGATAGATCAACCGCGTGAGCTGCGTGATGGCGGGGCGGTGGGTTCGAGGCGTGAGATAGAGGCTGCTGATCTAGGAAGGCTCTCTATCGCCGATTCCCCATCGTTGGCACAGGCCCTCTGGCTCGGCTCCCTGTTGGCCCGGGAGGGGCTTCCCGACCCTCGGTCTGCCGCTAATGCATGTATGTCCGGAGTACACAGGACGACGGACACTTTGTGAGCATAGCGAGCACTGAGTTTCCCAGTCACCTACACACCTCTCCGGCTGTCACTTGGGTGCTCTTCGCCTTCGGAGAGACCCACTGCGAGGGAGGTCTGAGCTCTCTTTCCGGACCGCGATCTGAGCGTCTGTCAAGTTGACAGCAAGCTGCTTCTCGATACGACTTCACAAGACCTGAATGCAGACATGCCGTGGCAAACTGTCCCAGGGCTGCGAGCTGCGAAGAGTCCTACCGTCCTTTCAAGCTCCTCCGGTGAGAATCAAGCACGGATGACACCGTACAACTTCGCCTCCTCCTCCAAACTGCGGACAAGTTTCCCTCCAGCTTCTCTCTGGAGTTGACACGGAGCCGGCCCGCATTTTAAGCTCCTGATTTGCGCAATATGAGCGGGAGATGCAGTTTCCACTTCAGCCTGGAGGGTCTCGGATGGCAATGAAGATCCCCCCGGGACGCCAGCCCTAATGTTTATTTCCCATGCTTTTTTTAGCCTCGACTCTTGACTGCCTTTTTCGGCGCGGCCTGTTTAGTCATCAAACGTGACAGTGAAGGGATATTTCGTTACGTACGACCGGAATTGAATCTCTTGGCTTGGGCATTTGTGGCCCGATGGCTTGGACAGGTATCCACGCCCGCACCTAGAGCCTTGGTGTTGACGTTTTCCCCTAGCGGAGAGCTGCCATGTAGCATATTAGCTCACGCCATTAAGCCCCCCGGGGCTTCTCCTTGCCTGTGACCCTGATGCCGTAAAACATCAGGCGGCGCGTCAAGTGTTGGATTAACTTAGCTATGAACGCCTCCTCCGCCGTCTGCTCAGCCCTCGGGGTCTGACACCGACCGGAAGCCTATCATGCGTCGGGGAACTCTATGCTCTTACCAATTCCTTGGTCTTTTGTTGCGGTATCCCCCGGATGCTGTTGCCCCGGGCTAGCCAGAACTGTAGATCATAGATCTGTGATCGCTTCTGGTGGATTTCGTAGGCTGAAAGACAAGATTGATGTCCCACCATAAGGACCCTGACATTTGTCAACTCGGATTTATTTACTCATCCTCCGCCCTCTCTCCGACCAGCCGATCCAGATGAAACGTATCCAAGAGTCGCATTGCTCGACAGTGCTGGCGTTCGTCTGTGTGATTGGTTGCTTCCTGGAATAAGGGCGCTAGCATCAGATATCTATAAGACTACAAGCAAAACGACGCAGAGCAGGATAAATCGGTTTCTTTCCAAGCTCCTTCTTTGTACCTTCTTTTCTTTCTTATCGATTATTGTCGGCCATCAAGGAGCAGGCAGCAGGTCCCTCAATCTGAATCCCCCGCATAGAGTGAAGGAGACGCCGGTTATGGAGGCTGTCGGGCAGTCCCTTGCTTTGAACAAAGCACCCAACCCAGTGTTATCATATGATAACGTGGTGACCCAACCGCAGCAAACGGTACCTACTTGTAAACCGGCTTCTGGGAACTGTGGGCTGAGTACTGACGAAAATCCCTCAAAACAGATGCTCTCCACGCAGTCCAGAACATGTGACTTCCCATACGAACATTTTGCCCTCATCTACATTAACCAAGACGGTGAGGTCAGTCTTGAGACTTCTCCCTCGATTGGGAATTCGGGAAAGAGCATCTTTACCCCAGAGGTTCGTGAGCGGTTTTTGAGAACGGCCACCATGGGAAGTCAAGCGACTACGACAAATTTTGCAGGTTAGTAACTGAACAACCATGCAAACAAAGACTCACTCGTGGTTCTCATTTGACGATGCTTCGAATTTACTAAACCTTCCCAATGGTAGGTCCGGCCAGCCCGGTCAGAAATGAAGCATGCGAGAAACAATCTCCAGTCCTAGACCAATCATATAGGTCCTCAGAAACCGCAATTTGGAGTCAACCTGGCGTCGCACCGCCAACACAACTCATCCCATGTGACTGGCAATTCCATCAAAACAAGCGACAGAAACGGAGTGCGAAACGTCTGGACCAACGAGTCGTTTATCAGACAATGCCCGCAGATGTGGACTATGATATGGCGCCTCTGAGCCCGCCCATCCGCCGAACAGCTATTCGGGTGGGCGATGAGCCTCGGATGCGGAAATACTATGAGAAAGCCTTCGAAGCTTTCCAGCAACTGAACTGTCGGGTAATTGCAAAGGCTTTCATCAAGCTCGTTGAGCCCCGCAAGCAGGTAAACCATCCGTACAATGGTCGCAAATCGGCCTCAGGGTCTTCGCCTGAACAGCGAGTCGACCCCGAACTCACGAAACCCAAATGGTGGCCATCGGGTGTCACGCACAAAGAACCTGATCATCTGCTCAAAGCAGGTAGGGACATTCGAGGTGACGACAACGTAGAAAAGAAACTCATGCTGATGACCGAGGCAGAGCGAATCCGACTCCTGATTCACATTCTCCGAGAACTCCGGGAGAGCCACGGAATCACTGCGGAAAAGCTCCGAGAAGCCGGTCAAGATGTGAGGCGCCAGATCACCCCGGCAGAGAGACTGAAAGTCTTGGATGAGATCTATACCGTTCGACAAGCCGAAGAAAGGTATTTGAGTGGAGAGATCTGTGAGTGGCCACCTGCCAGGACTTTGTCCCGTTCAAGGCTCGATCGAGATAACTGACAGCTGTCGCTCATGCAGCCAAGGACACCCTGATCCATATTTCTCAAGTGCAATTGTCCGATCCCGAATTCGAGATTGACAACAACGATCAAGGCACCCACGACGCATCCATTGCTTTTGGGGGCAGCAGAGTGGAGGGAGCAGCGTGGCTCCCAGAGGGGACATCGCAGGAAGGAGGCCGGGGCGATGGCGCTCCTTCCGCCAGCAGCATCAGCATCAGCAGCAGCAACGCGCTTGCCGTTCCCGTCACGCCGACGACGACAACCCCCGACCGGCAATGCGTGACCTACAGCCAGGTTCAAGACTTCTGCGGTATCCCAACGAGCAAAGCCAGCTCCTTCGATGGATACGACAGTGCTGTGCACTCCGCAGTTGTCTCTCCCGATGTGTCCGGCCGACCCTGTCTCCCGAGTTATCTGAACCAGCAAATCCTCGTGTCGCCTGCTGCATCGGCTGCGCCGCCGGTCTTTTGGGATCCGTCTGTCCACACGGCGGCCCCCGTGTACCAGCAGACTTACTAAGCCCCGTTCGTAGGGATATGGACTTGGATCCATACGAGCTCTCTTGTCTTGCTCATGAGCATATTAATATAGATCAGCGTTGTCGTCTGGCTTGTAATTTGTGCGGGTTTCTCAGGGTACATTGGTACATCCTCTCCTTCGGGCGGCTATATTTCGGGTTTTTGTCGTTTGTTGTGCACCACTCTCGTCATGGGTCTTGGGATTAATGGCAGACCACAGCAATCCATAATCCAATAGAGGGCAAAAGAGAAGACTATGGTCAGGTCATGTCTCTTAATTATCTCATATTGGTGTATTCTAGCATGCTACCCCGGAGGTAGTGCGTTAGGATTATCTCGATTGTTGGTGACCAAGACGGAAAGAGACCGAAATGGGAAGGTGCAATGCCTGGTGTCTCGGAGTAGAAATGGCAGCGTTTCTTTTCCATTGATTTTATGCTCTGCTTGTCCCACTCCGCAGCAATCTACACCTCGCCTTCGGAAATTCAAGCATCTGCATCAATCTTAGATCGCCCGAGTGATATCTCTCCAGGTACATGCAGATCGCTGTGCATTCCAGAATCGCCCTCGTCTTGATCCACCATTGCGACTCGCATACTTTCGCATACCAATATGCCAGAAGCAACATCGCTCGGGCATCCTTCCCTTTCAATAGCGCTTTAAACTGAGGCCGCATAAGCGACGGAAAGGAAAGGAATTTCACCATTGTGAAGGGCGTGCATTCGACGTCCAGGAGGGAAGCAAGCGTCCGAACGGCGGCATGGTAAGGGTTGTTCCGTGCATTGGACAAGGGCGTCAGGTCGTAGAGGGTGGTAAAATAGTAAGGAATGCCGTCGATGCCTGGTTGCGGTTCGGAGGTCATTTTGGATTGGAAGTAAGAGTACTGAGGGTTTTGGGCAAGGTCATGGAAGAGACCCCCAGGGGAGATCGGCTCTGCAATGTCCCAGATGACACGAAGGCCTTGGTTCATGTTCAGCCACTCAAGGTGAGATGGCGACGGTGGAGCAAGCGGCCACAGTTCTTCAGGATCCGAGCTCTCCACGAAGAATAAGGCCATGCTGCTGAGGAGGACAGCGGTGGCCCAGAGGGCATTTCGATCCAAAGGATCGATCTGAGATGAGAGTTTCGCATTGAATAACGCGGCTGCACAACCGTGATGATAACATTCAATGGCCGTGCTTTGTGCAAAGTTAGGCAAGTCCGACGACTGTAAGAAGCGATCATGCATCGCTGTCATGGCTAGGACTGCATGCATCAGGTAAGGATGCTGGTAAATGACAATCAGCGCCATATTTTTTTATAACTCACTAAAGCCAAGGTTGACCTACTAGGGAGACGAGCCTGCTAATTTCTCGCTGGTAAATGGAGGCAGTATCTGGCGTGCCAAGGGTGAAAACGGTCCTTGTATGCCATCGTCCGAGTCGGTCTAGATCGCCCATGTCGAGCGGACAGGCATTACGGGTCTTGAAGTTTTCCGGATAGTGCTCTTTGAGACTGCTGTTGGCTGTATTCAGCAAGGCCTTATTGGTCAATACGGCGGACAGCATAGACACTCGAACACAGGGATCGCCATTATCTCGGTGCGGGGATAGGTGAAGATCAGGTGCTCTGAGATCGTAATTACAGGCCACAAGGAAGTTTGTGCAGTTTCTGCATCTTGGCCGTGTCTCATCACACTGAGGTTTGGGGGATGCGAGTTAGCCTTTGATGTCAGCCCGAAAGCGAAGATGGATAGATATACTTTGATTCTGCGAATCTTGCAGTTGCGACACCCAGCCCGAGATTTTCGGTGTGACCTGCGTTTCCGTGCAGGGAATCTCTCAGAAGGGCTTTCAGAGCTGTTCATTACAAAACTCCCCCAAATGGATCGCAGTAGACCTATGTTGTAGGAACCTCCGAAGGTGTGATAAGATGAATTCCCAGGTGCGACAGAGTGACGTGGGCAGCATTCAAACGCTGTGTCACAAAATCAGCGCACCTGGATGCGCCAATGCCTTCGCAACGGGCCTAGAATACATGATCCTATGTGAGAATAACAGGAAGTCATTATTATAAGAAGAATCGTATGTTAAGAATAGTAAGAATCATCGCCATGACAGGGCACTCGATAAGCTCAAGACAGGCCCACTTCTGCACCAAGCACTCGATACGATTGGCCACGCTCAATCAACGCTAACCCCGACTCGTATTTCCAGACGATCCCGAGGTCGGGTCGGAGATAACGGCTTTGCAGATAGCCATGCTGCGAACACAAACCATGCGCCTCACGACTAACCTCGACTCGTATTCTATAGAGTCATGGAAATGAAGAATTCGTGCGGTGGGAGCGGCATTAGGGAAGGAAGGAAGAACGTTTGCCATGACGGAGATATCGGCTTTCACCATGTTCTTGCAACCAGGTGTTTGCCATGAAGAGGGCATTATATAGAGGCCATTGTCTTCGTGAACGACAATGCAATAACAGCTCTTCGTCAGAAGATTTTTGTTTCTACCACAGGCAATTGACAACCTCATTATATCTGCTGAAGATGTCTAACTCCCAGTCTCAGGCTCTCCCTTCCACTTTCCGAGCCATCGTCTGTCACGATTATGGCCAGCCTCCCAAACTCGAAACCCTTCCAATGCCTGAGGTATTACCCGGAAGCGCCATCGTCAAGATCCTCGTGGCGCCATGCGATGCGATCCAAAAGAACGTGCTATTCAGTCCCAGGAACCCTTTCTTCAGCAACCCAACACCGTTTATTCCCGGCGTCAGCGCCGTTGGACGCGTGGCTGCTGTTGGGCCCGACGCCACCAGTCTCCAAGTCGGACAACTCGTGTTGCTGGAGCCTTTCGTCCGTGGCCGCGATGACCCCGATGCCCAGATCCTGAAAGGCCTATTTGGAGGCCCGAGTCCTGCGGCGCAGAAGCTCAGTCAGGAGCACCTCTGGCGCAATGGGAATTGGGCCGAGTATGCCCGCGTGCCGCTCGAGAACTGTCATGCGCTGGACGAGAAAGCCTTTCTGGGGAAGATAGAAGAAGGCAATCTAGGATACGATGTTGCGGATCTTCCATATCTCACAAAGCACCTCGTCGCCTACGGTGGATTCCGCTCCATCGATCTCAAGGCGGGGGAGACAGTCATTGTTACGCCGGCCACGGGCAGCTTCAGTGGTGCTGCCGTCGAAGTCGCTTCCGCAATGGGGGCCCGAGTCATCGCTGTCGGACGCAATATCAATACATTGCAGAGGCTTGCAGAAAACATTCCGAGAGTTCACCCAGTGCAGCTGACCGGCGATGTCGAGAAAGATGTCGGTCCTCTAACCCAATTTGGTCCCGTCGACGCATTCATGGACTTCACTCCGAACTTCCTGGCCACTCCAGTCCATCTGAAGGCGTGCATGTCGGCTCTGGGACAGTATGGCCGAGGAGTCCTCATGGGATTTGCGCATGGCGATCTGTCCGTGAATTACGCGCAGATGATACTGAAGTGTCTCACGCTCAAAGGGCAGTACATGTATGATCGGGAGGACGTCAAGGGCCTGGTCAAGCTGGCTGAAAGGGGTGTTCTGAAGCTCGGAAAGAAGGCTGGAGTGCAGATTCTGGGTCAGTATAAGCTTGAGGAGTGGGAGAAGGCGCTAGAACACGCGGCCGAAAATGGGGCTTGGGGACAGCAGGTGGTGTTTCGGCCATTTGACGAATAAGGAGGACGCAGGCGATACTGCTGAAGCCGATTCTTCCACGGTAGAATGTACTGTACTCCGTACATGTATGTACTTCGCACCAGTCCTAGGGAGCAGATAGTACTCCGTACCTAATGTCAGAACGGGTTGTAAGAGCAGTCATCCCAAACCGGCAAGGCGCCTTATCGATAAGCGCTGCCCCGTGACCCATGTGCCGAGTGGGGAATTGGCTGATTGGATCCCAACAAAAACAGACGGAAGGCCCGCGGCAGCCTCAGGCAGCGAATCCGCAGGACGCGACCCGTGCTTCGGCAGCCAACCAACGACGCGGTTTCAAGCACGAGAGACAAAGGACAGCTCGCGAATGCATGCACACCTCCAGTCGCTCTTTCCTCCCCGCCCATGCCATCGACCTTCCCAAATCATGCGCGCTTGATCGTGAACAGGACTGGAGGCCCATGAATCGCGTGCCATCGTGACCTCGGCGATTTGAACTCGACCGGTAAGTGGCACCTTATTTCTGTTCCTCGCTTCTTCAGCCATCCGATTGTGCGGTGATTTCCCTTCCTCTCTCTCTACGTCTCCTTCCCAGACTCCAGTCTGTCTCTGCAGTCTGTCGCTGCTTGCCGCTTGGCCGGAAAGGGAAGAGGCGCAGATCATCTAGCCATGGCGATGCTAACTTTCGGGCGTTTTATCAGTCGTGCCTACGGCCCTCACACGCGTGGGGGTCCAACGCTTCTTTCCTTCCAAGAGAAACTGGAGCTCGTGGAGGAGCGCGCCTCTCATTCCCGGAGCAAATCCTTGCCGTCGCGTGCTGACAAGACCATGGCTGCTAACGCCTCAGACAATGCGCAGTCAGACGCTGTGCCCGACTCAGATGGACTCAATGTCCCCACGGATGGTTCCGTCTCACCGACCTCGACGCCAGGCAAACTGTCGAGGAATCCGTCCTTCTCGAATAGCAGCTCCTATCAAGAGGACTGGGAAATTCCTCCGCTTGATAGACTGACCTTTTTCGACCTGTTCGACAACTTGGCCATCTCGCAGAAGCTCGAAAAATGGCAGCAGACACTGAACGCTCAGCGGCAAAAAGTGCGGAGACAGCGCGAGAAGTTAAAATCCACTTCGTTGCAGGCCAAGGAGCGGGTTGTTGGAGAGTTCAAGAAGCGTGTCCCCACGGCTGAGGAGCAGCTGGAAAAATATCGGCGTCGCATGAAAGAGTCGGTTGAGAGGCTGGGGAAACAATGGAACGCAACAGCTACAGTGACCATCCGTGAGAAGATCGCGTTCATTGCGGGTGTCCTCAACGTTTTCATCAGCGGGTATCTGATCGGCGCTTATCCGGAATACTTCTACTATTGGTACACTGGCCAGCTGCTATACTTTATGCCAATTCGAGTCTACACCTATATCAAGAAGGGCTGGCACTATTTCCTCGCCGATCTTTGCTATTTCGTGAATTTCTTGACCATCCTCAGTATCTGGGTGTTTCCCCGTTCGAAGAGGCTGTTGATCAGCGCGTACTGCCTCGCATACGGGAACAACGCTGTTGCCATTGCCATGTGGAGGAATTCCATGGTGTTCCATAGCATGGAAAAGGTGGTCAGGTAAGGCTTGAATACAATTTGTGTTGATACCTCCTGTGTCATTATTAGAGTAACTGACATATCTCCAGCGTATTTATCCATATTATGCCGCCGGTGGCGTTCCATTGTCTCATTCATTTGACCCCGCCCGAGATCCTCAAAGTGAGATTCCCCGCCATCTACAGCGTCAAGTTCAGCGCACCTGGCTCGCCAGAGCACTATTCACTGTCGGCGATGATGCTTTGGGCCTCGATCCCCTATGCTATTTGGCAATTTTCTTATTATATCTTCATCAGTGTCCGTCGCCGTGACAAAATCGCCGCTGGCCGTGTTACGAGCTTCACGTGGCTTCGGAGATCCTATTCCAAGACCTGGATTGGCAAGTTCGTTCTCAGCTTGCCTGAAAATTTGCAGGAACCGGCTTTCATGATGATCCAGTATATCTATGCGCTGTTGACCATGGTTCCATGCCCCATCTGGCTTTGGTATCGATGGGGTAGCGGAGCTTTCCTGACGGTTGTGTTCAGCTGGAGTATATATAATGGTGCCACCTACTACATCGATGTGTTTGGAAAGCGGTTCCAGAAAGAGCTCGAGCAACTGAAGCAGGATGTTGCCAAGTGGCAATCTTCGCCGGACAGTTTTACGAGTCCCATTCTCGCCCCTGACCCTGCGACTGCGGGCGCACGATTGATGGATGAAACGGAAACCTCGCCTGTGGAAGAGTCAGGCAAAACCAGCATCGACCGCATTCCGCCTTTGGATGCTTTGTCCGACTCGACTGGTGTGGAGCGTCGTGCACCAGACGCCGCTTCTGCGTTACGCGACAGGACCACATGAATTTTGACTACTTCCCCTAGCATTATCCAGATTATTGGTGCATGTCTGTTGCTCGGATCATTGATTTTCATCACCTGGTTGAAGGCAGCGCTGCATTTCTCTAGAGGCCCGAGATTGTCGTTCTGGATTTTTGGTTGATACCCCCTGTATTCAAGATTGTCAGGGTAGATGCGTGGCTTTTCTATTCTTGGTCACAGATGTTTCTTTGATGTTATACGCCATATATCCTCTATATGATTCGTTACAGATATGACGGTAATGACAGATTTTTGCATATATAAATTCACGTTTTCATAAAATTCGCCTAAAACTCATCCTGTACGTTTGTCATCAGCCGCAGACTGTGATGACTGAGTTACGTATCCGCCTAGCTCCGGCGCTTGTTCCAATTATGGCCGATCCCGGGAATATCACGTGATGAGCTTGCTCGTACAGTCATCGGGACGTTGAACCTGGTCAGCATCCTCCACTTTCAAAGTCTCATGGCTCTTTTCTAGCTCATTCACTTGTAGCAGTTTTTGGAGTCTCTATAATTTTTGTCTGATTCTTTGGTGTTGGCATCGTCTGCTGTTGTCGAGGCGTCTGTTTGCTCCAGCTCGCCCAGGCGAGCCTTAGAAAAACTGTCGCGACTACCTTCAAAATGAGGCCCGCAAGATTCGTGTACCCAGCGTCCACAACTCGCTTATACTGGGGCAGTAAGTTCTCTGTTCTGTCTTTCACTTGCATGGTGTACTGATAATTTCCTATCTTGCAGCGCGTACGAAGCTTCCCAGCGCACTAGCTTCACGTTCTGTAGCACAACTACAGCGGAACAGTCGCTCCTTGCCATCACACCTGCACGCTTTGGTGATTCCCATTCCTCAGCAGCACACATATTCTACGGAGACATCTACAACTACTGGTTCAGCGTCGTCTTTTCTGCCACCAGGGTTCAACGCTGAACAGGCAAAGAAACCGTTACCCCTCGACTCGCAGAAGACTTCGGATTCGACAGTCTCTAAAGATGGGAGTTCGAGCGCGCATCCTAGCGTGGAGTCTGAAACAGGAAAAGAAACGAAACCTTTGGAGCAGGCGACCTTGACCGAACACGGGTCGGCAGAGGCTGCCATTGCGGAGACAGAGAAGCGAGTCCCGGAGGAGAAGAAGGAGACCAAAAAGTTGACAATTGCCCAAAAAATCAAAAAGGAGGCTCAACACTATTGGGATGGCACCAAGCTGCTTGCGACGGAGGTTAGGATCAGTGTAAAACTCGCGATGAAAATGGCCGCGGGGTACGAGTTGAGTCGTCGCGAGAGCAGGCAGGTTCGTAAGGCCAATTATTGGAGGTTTCAGGTGACATACAGCTGACAGTTTTATTCACAGTTGCAAAGAACCGTAAAGGACCTCGCTCGGCTGGTGCCATTTTCGGTTTTCGTTATTGTTCCTTTTGCTGAATTGTTATTGCCTGTTGCTCTGCGACTCTTCCCCAACATGCTTCCCAGCACGTACGAAGGACAGAAATCGCGCGAGGCGAAGGCTGCCAACCTCCGGAGGACTCGGAAGGAAGTGTCGGCTTTTCTCCAGGATACTCTGAAAGAAACGGGACTTCCCGTCAGCGCCGCTAACGCCAAGAAAGAGGAGTTCACGGAATTCTTCAAGAAGATCCGGGCAACGGGCGAGACCCCATCCGACGAAGATGTTATCAAGGTCTGCAAGATCTTCAAGGATGATTTGACCTTGGACAACCTCTCCCGGCCTCAGCTGGTGGCCATGTGCAAGTACATGAACCTGAACTCCTTTGGAACGGATGCCATGCTTCGGTATCATATCCGTCACCGGATGCGCCAGATCAAACGGGATGACAGGGCCATCTACTACGAGGGTGTTGATTCACTCTCTGTTCCTGAATTACAGATGGCCTGCGCTTCCCGTGGCCTCCGAACGCATGGACTGTCTCCGGCCCGCCTTCGGGACGATCTCTCCATGTGGTTGGATCTGCGTCTCAAGCAAGGCGTTCCATCGACCCTCCTTGTGCTCAGCAACGCATACATGTACACGCAGCAAGGCAAGGAGTCTGAAATCGCCTCTCAGATCGACGCTCTTCGGTCGGTGCTTTCCAGCATTCCTGAGGAACTGTTCCATGAGATCGAGCTTGAGGTCCACAATGCCGAGGGCGCAGCTACCAACAAGCAGCGTCTCGAGGTCGTGAAGGAACAGCAGGAACTTATTGAGGAGGAGAACATGCAGAGAAAAGAGAATGAAGAGAAGGGTGTGTCAGCACCGAAAGACACGGAGGATATCGATGACAAAGAGGAAGCCAAAGTTGAGGCGTCTTCTGATAAAAACGGGCAACAGGCTACCGAAGCAACGGAGGCTGAGAAGGACCAGGAACGGGCCGAGAAGAAGCAGCGCGAAGAAGAAAAGGAGCAGGAGTCCAAACAGGCCGACGGCAGGAAGCAACAGGGAGAGGAGGAGAAGAAGGACTCCAGTCAAAACCCTTGAACCCTCTCCTCCTTATGCTTTCTCCGTGGCGCGTTATTCTGGATAAAGGTGGGGTAGGATATAGACCTGGATTTTGTTTTTTGACCAAATTGACCTTCATTACTCCATGTAATGTTTCCCTTTATTATGGTTGACTCGAGTGGCATGGGATGGATAGACTCACATTTCCAGGATTTGTGTATGCATACAGCAGCACCTGGCCCATTCGCTGAGATAATTGCCTTTTTTTTCCCTCTTTGTTGCACCTTTTATGATGTAAATTAGTTTTCCACTCCGTATCAAATAAGAATAAAGTCTCCCAGATTTAGATTCTTTTTCTTGTTTAACGGTAGGCAGTTGATACCTGGACAAGTAATTTAATATTGACAAATAATGGAATCTGTCTGGAGGGAAATGGTAGTATTATCATCCTCTAAAGTACTACCATGGATGCTGTTCGTGTTGTCTCCCTCTATTCTGACGAGATACAGGCCTGAGATGGTAATCCCCAGAGTTGCCGCGCTACCTCGGCAAGCTCAGCGGCCCGCTGTCCGCTGTCCGCGCCGATGCTGGCGGAATTTACACTCACCAAACCACAGTCACTTGCATATACATATCTCAGGAGCCAGACGAACTGAACCTAACTGCTTAGCTAAGAGTTTGACCGACTTGAAGAAGGAGAGGAGGGGCGAAGAGTCGAGGAATGAGCAGGCGGCTCTTCAGGCTCTCCGGTTTGCGCGGTGGCCCTGCATCATCCGTACCGCAGTTATCATTATCATCTTCCATCTCTTCCTGGACACCAGCACGGTTCTTCTCTTCGTCCTGGCCGGCGCTGTCGAAGATGTCACCTTTGTCGCAAGCTTCAGCGGTGTGTACTCCAATTCTCTTTATCTCCCTGTTCTTGCTTTCAGTGTCGTACGCCTGGATCTTTTGCTTTGATCTGTTCCCACTCCAATTTGGATATAGTTAGAGACGTTCATTACGAGACAATAGGACAAGACGAGACTCAAGTAGTACATCATTTGCAATGAATGCTGACTTCTATGTTGGCGGTTGGATGCCCCTGTAGGAAGCTATTGCACGACTCAGGGCATATGTCCCTCCACCAACCAACTACAATTCTGTGCCACTGAGTCGCAGAGCCGCAGTCTTGGTTTTGCTATATGCTGACCCCAAAGGGGATTTGCGTGTGGTCCTCACCATTCGAGCGAAGACCCTGAGCTCATGTAAGTATAGTACTACTTTAATTTGCCTCTACCCTGGACTTGATCGCAGGGATTGTGAGGGTCTTGTTCAGTGATGGGCTGTAGACTCAAGTCACTTGAGCTGCTTAAAACCAATGATTGGGCTAATTCTAAATCTCGCTAGACGCTGGCCAGGCTGCTCTTCCAGGAGGTAATAATCACCGTCATCCTGGACAGAACTATGATGTCGTGACATTGGAGAGATTAACCGATCCACAGGTAAAGCAGACTCGGTGAACGAAACAGCCTTCGAGACTGCTCGACGGGAAGCTGCGGAGGAGATTGGCTTGCCCGACATAGGGCAGCCCTTTTTCCCCCCATTTCGGGTTGAGCATCTGTGTGAGCTCCCGGCAAATCTAGCAAAGACGGAGCTCGTTGTCCGGCCCTGTGTGGCATATCTGCATTCATTCGACGAGAAGACAGGCTTGAATGCCGACCCGGAGGTCGCTCTGATTCCCCGACTAGATGCCAAGGAGGTTGCAGCTGTTTTCACTGCGCCGTTTCATAATTTCCTGATGATGCGGGATGAGCAGCAGCCTGGGGGAGATGACCAACAGCTTCCCGGTAAACCCGAAGACTGGTATCGCGGATCGTGGACAACGTGGCATGAATCTGACTGGAGAAGTACGTCTCACGCACGTTTAGCGCGCTGAAAATGCCAGGGTTAATGAGCCCGGGGCTGACAAAGTGAGATGATACAGTGCATCAATTCTTTGTTCCCATTACGGAAAAAAGCGTCACTAAGCCCAGAACCGGCCGCCGCGCGCAGAATGCGGCCGTCGACAAACTCGAGGAGCAAGAAAAAGCAGGGAAGCTCACGCGATACAAAGTGTTTGGCATGACGGCTCGGATTCTGGTCGATGCGGCCAGAGTCGCGTATGACCAGGAGCCGGAATTCGAACACAACAGCCACTTCGGGGATGAAGAGATGATCGCCAAGCTCCGAAAGATTGGCCGGTTAGGCGCGATCAAGAGGCCCGGAGAGGAGCTCACACGCGAGACTATGGAGAAAGCCGCGAAGCTGAGTTGAGCTCAGATTTCAAGGTTCAGAGGCGCTCGCCCGAGTGCCGCCATGCGTAACGCCGTTTCAGCGTTTTCTTTCTTGCAGAGTCACTGGACCCAGTGTGGCCGGCGGGGTGGTCTGCATGGCTGGCAGATGGTTTCCGTATCCCTTGCATATGTGTCACCTCACATTCCTCATCCTGCCGCCCGCCGTGCACACTCCACTCGGAAAATGCCTCTCGCCCAACGAACTTCTGCAAGCCACGACGTCTTGCATGAAGCTATCTCGTCGCAACGCATTTTGCTTTTTTTTTCTTCAAGCCGTTTTTAGCTTATTTTTTTGCTTTCTGGAAGACCTGTGTAACAACGTCTAGGTTAAAAGTGCCTGTTCGTCTTCCAAAAATGGATACCTGTCGATCTCTTTGTTACGAATCCACCCGGAAGCCGGGATTCGACACGTATATGGTGGAAGCCACTGTCATAACACGGCTTGCAGAGCTTGCGCCTTGATCTCTTCATTGTGTATGTTATCAGAACACTTAGTTTATTACGGAGGCTGCAACTTCTTTCCCCCCGAGGGGCTTCTATCTCTACTTCTCGTCTCCTCAACTTGCTGTTATCGCAGTTGATGGCAACGACCCAACGATGGCGACTATGACTGTGCCACCGAGTACGCATTGGAAGAAGGCACCACCGACGACTGTGTCGAGGTCCCTGGAAGGGCTGGAAATTGGGATTCCTCCTGGTGGTTTACTCAACACCGGTTCCGCCGTGTCTGTCAACCAGCTGTGGCTCTGGAAGCCTTTGCCCCGACTTCCTGAACAGCGAAATTCGAGCGTGTACAGCCGTGAAAGCATCATTGACAACTACATGGATCGGGATGACAAAGACGACTATACGTATTCTCATCCAGACCCTATCGTGTCGGACCCGAACGATGCTGGACAGTCTTTTAAAAGTTTGGCAGCCTTTTCACAACCTCCAGCTGGGTTTGGTGGCCAGGGAGGACGAGGGGAACGTTGCTCACTGACGTTCAAAGCTTTTCTATCCGAGGAGCAATACGGCGTGGGCATGCATCTGGCGAAGGCGAACCACTACTTTAGGGAAAAGAAGTGGGAAATCTTCCCTGAACTGGCTCCCCAGCCAGTGGTCCAGACTCCCCATCCTCCTGCCCGGTCGCGAAAATGGAGCCTGCCCCGGAAAAGGCACCCAACAGGGCCCCATGGGCATGCTAGGTCTGAGAGCGATGGTTACCTGAAACCGATTCGAACCTATGTGCAAAAGACGCTGTCCAAGAAGTGTTCCCTCCGCGAGATGAAGAAAAACCAGTGTGAATCCGGTATGGTATTCAATTCTCGCCGCCGGAGACATTCGACCTCTACAAAGAGCGACGCCAGCACCTCATCATCACTCATCGACAGTGCTGAGCTACAGCGTAGTCTGGAGGCAGTGCGGCTTCGGATGCAGGCGCTGTCGCTCGAGACTCAGTCGAGCGATGATGACTCTTTGTTTGCGACAAACCCACGACCGTCGCGAAAGCGTACATCGGTCTCCACGAATCCGCACCGGCGGTTCGGATCCAAGAGAAGACCTCGACCGTCTTCCAAGCTAGTCCGGCAGAAAGCACCTGGCGTGAGATTTGTCAAGTATCGCAGGAGTCCGTCCCCGAAGGAGGGGCGGCAATGCCCCAGCAGGAGGCCGCCATCACCGTTACCGCCATCACCATCCGAGGCGTCGCACCCAACCTCGCCCCGGCCAGAGTATGTCAAGATGTTGCAACAAGGCACGAACTCTGTCCTGTCAGCCATCGATGGCGCTCGGAAGAAGATTGCTGCATCACGGGCTGCTCGACGACGGGCCGAGCTGAAGAAGCATATCCGGGTGGTTGGGCCCGTGGAGCAGTATCCGGATGGAACGGTCAACCAGTGGCTGTGAGATATCTTGCATATTGTTCCTTTTCTTTGATTGTATACGTGGGTCTATCTACATATTTTGTTTGTTTTCTTTCCTGGAGTTTTCGTGGGATCTACCAGGTGTAGGGGTGAGGCGTGGTCTTGATTCCGGCAATGGGGTAGTAAGGTGGTAATTCATCATCAGTGGTTCATACAGCATTGGATTAATTTTGTGAATTCCATACAACAATATACTTTTTTTCAGGTGTCAGCTGATCGCGTGCTCTTGTTGCCAGGACCGTAGCATACTAGCAATAACACCCTAGAGTGCCCCTGCAGTGAGACGTTGTGCACCCCGCCCTTACAGAATGGCCAGCAGGGCCCAGTATCAGCGAGATAATGAGATTCCCTTGCAGAATTATTTGTTAGGCAAGTTCTTCTGTATTCCTGACCAGGAAAGACAAGGCCTGTGACTATTGTCCTGTCACCCTGCCATTGCTGGGAATCCTCGTTCTTCTCTCCGGCCACGTTGTGCCACGGCCAGCAGGCGACCATGGACGGGGGATCCGCATTCCTGGCTGTAACAGCTTTAGCGACTGGCTGGACCATGGCTCGAACTGCCGCTTAAGGCTCGGGCCCGGCCTTGCTTACCCCGCAACAGCAGCGTCATCGTCCGGGGGCAACATTCCAGCTCCTTGCCTCTTCTCTCGAGGCAACCTTGTCCACACCTCCCTTGGCCGTCTGTTCAACTGCCTCAAGCAGACGGTGGGACTCTTTGCGCAGTCGTTGTCTGTCTGATCGTGAGTGATTAATTGCTTGCGTCGAGAACACCCGCCACGATGGGTGGAGAAGCTCCGCTGCGAGCTCCCAGCTCGTATCCCAAGCTGGCGTCGCGTCCTGTCGGCCAGCACATCAAGAACATCTACATCGACAGATTGCGGCAGTTCACTGCTACGGGCCAGTATGAGAAGGAGAATCTGGTTGCGTATGCACTCCTTGTCCCTCTCTTTTTTTTTTCCCCGTTTGTATTATTAGTAGGAGTAGTATTTACTTTCCTGTTCCTCCCAGTTTTGATATGCAGTGAATTACAGACTCAGTATTGTTGATATGGATTTGCAGAAAATACTTTGAAGCCGTTGTCTCTGACCCGGACCATGTCAAACTTTCCGTTTACTCCGTCCCAGACTTGCAGCGTCCGACGTTCGAGGAAGCAGTCTCCCACGAGTTCGAACCTACCCAAGTTGGCGCCTCTTTTGGGCCCAGCTGGTCGACGCATTGGTTCCGAATCCGTCTCACGATTCCACAGGAGCTCCGTCAGAAGGAACGCCTGGAGTTCCACTGGGATGCCGGTAACGAGGGGCTGATCTGGACCGAAAAGGGCCATCCGGTGCAGGGCCTGACTGGCAACGGGGAGCGCATCGAGTGGATCATCCCGGACGCCTGGCGCGACGGCAAGGAACATGTCTTCTACATTGAGATGGCTTGTAACGGCATGTTTGGCAATGCGCCCGGCGGGGACTCGATCCAACCCCCGGATCCCAACAAATACTTTACTCTGAGAAAAGCGCAGATCACCGCGGTGAATCTCGAGGCGCGGGCACTCTACTATGACTTCTGGATCATCGGAGGTAGGTGGATTTGCGAAATTGGAATATTGTATGCGACGATTGTGCTGACGATTGAGAAAAGATGCGGCCAGAGAGTTCCCGGCCGACTCGTGGGAACAACACGAAGCCATGATGGTGGCCAACGAGATTATGGATACTTTCATTGCGGGCAATGGAAGCCAAGAGTCCATTAAGAAGGCTAGAAAGGTTGCGCAGAAGTATCTAGGCGACAAGGTCGATTCGCACAAGGTCTACGAGACGGGCACGGAGCCCATCGTCTACGCCATTGGCCACTGCCATATCGACACTTGCTGGCTGTGGCCGTGGGCAGAAACGAAGCGCAAGGTCGCCCGCTCCTGGTCGAACCAATGCGATCTGATGGAGCGGTATCCGGAGCACCGTTTTGCCTGCTCTCAGGCCCAGCAGTTCAAGTGGCTTAAGCAGTACTATCCCTCGGTATTTGACCGGGTCAAGGGATGGGTCAAAAAGGGACACTTCCAGCCCATTGGCGGCAGTTGGGTCGAGCACGACACGAACATGCCCAGTGGCGAATCGCTCGTGAGGCAGTTCTTGTACGGCCAACGCTTTTTTGAGAGTCACTTTGGCGAGCGTTGTACTACCTTCTGGCTCCCCGACACCTTTGGTTACTCGGCCCAGCTGCCGCAGCTTTGCCGGCTGGCAGGTATGAGCCGATTCTTTACTCAAAAGCTCAGTTGGAACAACATCAATAACTTCCCGCATACCACCTTCAACTGGGTTGCTCTCGATGGCAGTCAAGTGATCTGCCACATGGCACCTGCTGAGACCTATACCGCCGAAGCCCACTTTGGCGACGTCAAGCGAAGCGTGACTCAGCACAAGTCCATGGATCAGGACAACACATCCCTTCTGGTCTTTGGCAAGGGAGACGGAGGTGGTGGTCCCACCTTCGAGCATTTGGAAAAGCTACGCCGATGCCGTGGACTTAGCGACAAGACTGGCCTACTTCCCCGGGTCAAAATGGGCGACTCCGTGGACGATTTCTTTGCCCGACTGGAGAGGAAGGCCGCAGAAGGCACCGAATTTGTGACTTGGTATGGCGAGCTCTACTTCGAGCTGCACCGTGGTACATACACCACCCAGGCGAACAACAAACGGAACAACAGGAAAGGCGAGTTCTTGCTCCGCGAGATCGAGTTGTTGGCGACGTTGGCGACCGTCAGTAACGCCAAAGGCGGCTACAAGTATCCGAAGGAGAAGATTGACGACATGTGGGAGGCTATTCTCCTCTGCCAGTTCCATGACTGCTTACCTGGAAGTTCGATCGAGATGTGCTATGATGACTCCAACGAACTCTACGCGCAGGTCTTTGAGACGGGACAGAAGGTCAGAGAAGAGGCTCTCAAGGCGCTTGGTTTCGATGGCAAGGATGCCAGCAAGGGGCTTGTGGCGATCAACACACTTCCATGGCCTCGCTCCGAAATTGTCAGGATCCCCGATGCCTTTTCGGCGTCAGGCAAGCCCAGCTACGCCCTTGTCAGCGGTGACACCGGCGTGGTGAGTGTCAAGCCTCTAGACTCGACTCAATCTCCGTCGGTCTCGGTAAAGGAACTCAAGCCTGGCGTGTTCCGCCTCTCCAACAGCAAACTGAGGGTGGATGTCCGAGATGGAGTCATCACATCCTTGTTCGACCTGGAAGCCCAGCGTGAGGTCATTGCCCGGGGCGGGAAAGCTGGCCAGTTGGTGCTGTTTGATGACAAGCCTCTGTACTGGCAAGCCTGGGATGTGGAAGTCTACCACCTCGATTCCAGGAAAGAACTCACCTCTGGCAAGACGTTGATCTCCGAGAATTCGCCTCACCGTGTCAGTGTCGTCACAGAGACCCAGATCAGCGATAAGAGCTGGGTCAAGACGACGATCAGTCTATCTGCCAGTGTGAGCGACGAGCCGTCGTATGTGGAGTTTGAGAGCGAAGTCGAATGGCGCGAGACTATGAAATTCCTCAAGGTGGAGTTCCCTGTCGATATTGTGAACACGGAAGCGTCGTATGAGACTCAGTACGGTATTATCAGACGCCCGACCCACTACAACACTAGGTGAGCACCCCGCGTGAATGTTGATGATAGGACATGCAAATGCTAACATGTATCTCCAGCTGGGATATGGCCAAGTTCGAAGTCTGCTGTCACAAGTGGGCTGATCTGTCCGAGTACGGCTACGGAGTGTCGATCCTGAACGACTCCAAATACGGCTTTGCGACCTGCGGAAACCTGATGCGACTGTCTCTGCTGCGAGCCCCCAAGGCGCCAGACACCCATGCGGACATGGGCCGTCATCGCATCCGCTACGCGATTCTGCCACACGCAGGGCCTCTAGACCACCGGACTGTCCGGGCAGGCTACAACTTCAACAACCCACTGATCCTGCAGCCGGCACCGGCATCTGTCAGTGGAAACCTCAACGCATTCAAAGCCATCCGCCTCACCGGCTCCAAGTCTCTGGTCCTAGACACTGTCAAACGCGGCGAAGACGACGAGGACGTCTCCCGCGGCGAGTTCCCCGCGCGCAAGGGCCAGAGCGTCATTCTGCGCATCTACGACTCGCTCGGCGGCAAGAGTCGCGGCACCATCCACACGACGCTGCCTGTTCAGCGGGTGTGGAAGTGCAATCTCCTTGAGGACGATGAGGCCGAGTTGCCGGCGTACAAGAAAGAGGGGGAGACCGGCGAGCTGAGTGTGGATGTTGAGTTGAGGGCGTTTGAGGTCGCGACGTATAGGCTGCAATTGTAGATGTTTTTTGACAGAAGAGAAGTAAACCACTTGGGAAAAGAAAAGTTTGATTGACAATCTATATTATATTGATGTACGGAGGTGTTTATATGGATTGTATAAGAATGTAGCTCCTACACCCTTGGATTAGTATTTGCTGCCAAAAAAAAAACAATGTTCATGATATATAAATCAAGAGGTAGCCAATCCATTCGGAAGGGAATCAGCTTGCTCACAAGGAAAAGGACATGAAGGTATACCTAATCAATTATTATACAGAAGATATATATAAACCCCGTTTGAACAAAACCTTTATTTTTAATTAATCATGAACCTGTTTTTTTTCTCTCTCTTCCCTTTTTTTGGCTTTTTCACCTGACCTGAAGTTCGAACGTCGGACTGTAGTGTACCACCTAGTAAAATAAACAGAACAGAACAGATAGGTATCCTCCAAAAAAAAGAAGACCTAAGACCTATATGTTACATACAGTACATACATACATCAATAAATCAATAAATCAAATCCTGGAAACACCGAACCCCTTTTTCCTTTTGTTTTCCGTCCGCGCGCCGTCTTATCCTATCCTTATCTAATAGTGCCTGGTCGATGAAATAAAATCATACATCTTGAAAGAAAAAGAAAAAAAACGCCGTAGAACCTTTCTTTTTTGTGACCCATGTAGGGAAGTTGAAAACTCGGGATGTGGTGACCAACAAAAAAGAAATGAATGAAATGAAATCGTATATCTCCTCTTAATGATCGTTAAGAGGAAGAGAATCTCTTCGAGGGAACTTGGTATTGATCAATCAATCCCTCCCATAGCTAATCTTTAATCGTTTCGTTGGCGGTTTCGGTCCTTCCCCAGCGGCACCGTCCGCCCCGTCCGCGTCTTCCTCTTTGTTGCTACCATCCCGAGCGGCGGCGGAGCCTCCGCCGCTGGATTTCTTCTTGTTCTTCGAGCTGGCGGGCCCGGCTTTGCCGTCGCCAGACTTGGTGCTGCTCAGACCGGCGCTGGCAGTGCCGTTGTTATGGCTCGATGTCGGGGTCGGTGCGTGGGAGGGAGTGGTCTGCGCGGATGAAGGGGCTGGGGAGTCCTGTGTACATACATGGCAGGTTGTTAACGGCCAGCGTTAGAATAGAACATGGAATTCACCTTCCCCCCTGCACTAAATAAGTTCTCGAGAACTTACCCTCATGAAACTAGCCGAACTGCGTGAAAACACGCGGTCTTGATCAGACACCTGCGCTTTGCGTCTTGTGGCTGCGCCGCCGCTCCCCGCCATGGAGAGTCCTCCTGCCCCGACATTGGATCCTGCAGAGGCTCCCTTGATGTAGTTATCGAATCCCTTGATGATGTTTCCGGCGCTGGTCTCTTCAAGGTACGACTGCTCGAAGCGGTAGATTTGCTCTTCTAGTTGGGCCTATAGCAGGGTGCGCGAGGTTGTCAGCAAACGAACACTTGCAGACAGATATTTCAGGTGCATTGGGAGAATTGTAGGCTTAGTCCAGCAAAGCGAATAATTAACAGAATAAAAAGATTTGAATTGGATGCCCTCGTTTGCACGGTGCGGAAAAGTGACAGACAGCGACTGACTCACCATGCTCTTGTCCATCATCCGCTTTTTCTGCAACGAATCTCTCAAATCTCTCCGCAGCTTCTCATAGTACGGCAACCCCCGATTCTGATTCTGGTCTGTCGTTGTCGTTGTTGTCGTTGCTGTTGTTGTTCCACTGCTCGTACCCCCTGTGGTGGTCGCGGTTGTGGTCGCAGTCGCGGTCGCGGTTGTCCCCGCGCCGTTGGCCGGCGCTGATGATGCCGGAGGGGCGTCTTCCGCCATCCTCCCTAACCAAAGCTCCTTCTTTCGTTGAAAAGAAAGGGCGGAAAAAACGACTGACAAAATGGATGCAGACCGGCGGACTCACATGCGACAGGGCAAGATACCATGCGGAGAGTGCAGGCAATCGGATCGGAGCCGCCAATCAGTCCGCGCGGAGAGAGCTAATTCGAGCACAATGTTTGTCCTGTTTGCACGGGCTGTTGCGTGTTCTCCGCCCATGCCTCAACACCGAGTACGGAGTAAACGGAGGGATAGCTAATATAGTCTCTGGAGTTATTCTGCTGATCTGAATATTAGGATACGACTGACCAGAAGTGTCTGTTTTTGAGTCATTGTATCTACAATTCTCTACACCCTAGTACCTCCGACGTTTGGAGCAGCACCGTCAGTCGCGATCATGGACCATTCGATGCACCACATGGAGATGGACCACGGCGGTATGGACCATGGCGGCCACGGTGGTCATGGTGATATGGACATGGGCAGCAAGTGCAATATGAACGTGAGCCTTGACATAGCCCTCCTGGTTGATACCTGTTCAACTGACAATCCGTGTTTCGTCTATAGATGCTCTTTACCTGGTCCACGAAAGATCTATGCATCGTGTTCCCTCGATGGCACATCACAGGGACAGCCTCTCTGATCGTCTCCCTCCTCGTCATCATCCTCATAACAGCAGCCTACGAGGGCGTTCGAGATCTCACACGACGGTACGAGGCTGCGCATGCACGCCAGCTGAACGCCTATTCTGGTCCAGTCACTGTTGGTACGTGAACACATGATAAACCTGATTTCTGTTAAACACACCCACTTGCCTCATTCCGGTACTTTCCTCATTCCGGTGTCAATCTTGCGTGCTTTCCGGGTGTCTTGGGGTCTGTTTCCAGTACCCGACCAGAACCCGGTTTTATTATTTTTTGTCCGCTATCGCTGAAGCTCTGATGTCTTCTCTTCCAAGACGATGAGAATGAGATCGCCGGCGATTCGGCCATACCACCAGCAGCGCCTGCCATGGGGCCTGCCATCGGTAGCGTGACCGGCAATGCAAATGAAGCGAGCTCACTGCTTGTAGGCAGGGACAGCAAAAGAGCCCTGGAGCGGCGGGGAAAACTCATCATGGCGCTGTTGTATGCGATTCAGGTATTCTATAGCTTCTTTATCATGTAAGTTTGTCGCCTTTCTTTGCTCATAAGCTCTACGGTTTATCTTAATGTATGATTTTCACATACTGATTGCATGGTCTTTAAAAGGCTCCTCTTCATGACGTATAATGGCTGGGTCATGCTCTCCGTGGCTGTTGGTGCATTCATTGGTTATCTGGTCTTTGGAGGCCCGACTGCAACCAAGTCGGTTGCTTGCCACTAAATAATCACTAAACCATCCACAAGGCTTGATATATGAACTGGGTCTGTCGAGTATGAAACCTAATGTCTTCTCGACGAAGTAATATCTGGTTTTGATACCTGTTATGATGTTTTTAACTGCGACTATCATGGTAGCTGTCACGTTCAATGGTGTTCAAGGTCTATTTCATTTGATATAGCGTTCGTCGTATATACCATGCCTACTGCCTTAGAAAGCTCCGTCCAATAGGCTCTTCTCTGCCAAATCTAGGGGACTTCAATGTCACTGGCATCATCATCTCCAAATCCGAAGCTAAATCCACCGGCTCCGCCGTCGTTTGCGGCGCCGTCTGCATCGCCATCAATCTTGCCGTGCACAAGCTCATCCCACTTCCTCTTTTTCCCTTCCTTTTGCTTCTCCATATCCTTGAGAGCCTTATCCAGCAGATCTGGATGCGTTTCTCGCATCCTTTTCACGAACAGTGCATATGGATCCTTGATATCCTTGCGGAATCCAGACACCTGGTCCGCTTTATTCTGTAGAAAATCCAATGCCGCCGTCAGGTGCGCACGGGGGATGAAGTTCTGCGTAATGGCAATGGCCGGCTCCAGGTTGATCACCAAGTGCCACCAACCGGATGGAACGTGCAGGATCTCGCCCTCCCCGCAGATCCCTTCGATGCAGCCGGGCGTGCGTCTCGCCTCTGCGTGGAAGCCCAGCAGCCACTCTGCAATGCTGAGAGGAGAGGTCACTTCGCTTTGGTCTGGCGACACAAACACACCCGGAGGTGGTGGAAGCTTTGATGAGGAGGGGAACATGATCCAGTATTTCGAGCCGCGGAGAACCGCGTTCCACGCGCTGGTGGCGTTGGGATCCTTGTGGAATGTACTGCCCGACCGCTCAGGTCCAATGATGAGCCACTGCCTATCTGGACGGTCTGACTCGAGCACGGCGAAGAGATCTTCCTCGAAGCACGGTGGTGGCCAGTACGCAGCATCCGGTACTTCATGAGGCTGTCCCACCTTGATACCCATCTTCGAGACGAAGCTTCGGTCGAAGAGGTACAGCGGACTCTCGTCGGAGTTGTTCTTCATGTACTCTACGTACGTCTTCAGAGGCCAGTCGACCGCTTCAGCGCGGAAGACGACGTCGCCATACTTCTCGAGGAGGACTTCCGTAGACCATTGCTGGTACACGGGCCATTCTTTAACCGGCTCAGTGAGAATGAACGGCTTGTCTGTCCACGATTCCTGGAACTCTTCCGGAGACAGGTTCTTGAGGCGAGTGATCTGGTTCCTGGCGGGAATGTTGGTGACATAGGGCTCTAATGGGATGTGCGCACAGTAGAAAGGCCGATGCAGTGCGTCCGAGTAAAGATGCGAGCAGTCCAATGTGGGCACCTGGGATGGAAGCAGATTAAGGTAAGTTGAGCGCCATGTTCCCCGCCAGGTGAATTCTTTCGGTGAATCTCTGCAATATTGGTTGTTAGCATCGGATGAGATGTACACTGAAATATTGAAAATTCCCGTCTATTCTTCGAATGCATATACACCTTAAGGCACATATTAAAATAAACCATTGTTTTTTTTTTTGATTAAGAAAAGTAAGAAAAGTAAAATCTTACCGAATGAACAGTGTTTTCCATAATTCCTCTGATCGCGTGAACGCATACAGCGCCTTACAAGTGCGTCCTATACGCAGCAAACTCGACGCATCCAAGTACTCAAACAGTGTCAAGATCACCTCGTCGGGCAGAGCCTTGAAAGCTCCAATTGCTGCGCGAAGATCCCGGGATGCAGTCAGGGCATTGCCACTCGGCTTCACCCCGAGGGGATGGCAGGGAATCTCATCACTGGACTCCAAGGGACTCTGCACGCTGCCGTTACTCCTGTAGGAAGAGGCGAGGGACTCAGGCGCCTCACCGTTGCGGAGAGACACAGACGCAGTCATCCTGCCCCGGCAGAGGAGTTGCCCGTCTGGGGAAGCCTCGTCGACCAAAATTGGCGGCACGAACCCTAACCAGAACGAGCAAGACACTGGCCACTGGCTGATTGGCTGTGTGCAAAGGCGGCGGGTACACGAAGGCGTTGCGTCCAAAGTTGGGCTTCCTCGGCCATGCCCGTCGAAAGACTGCCAGATCAGAGCGAAGCCGGCCTCAGAGGGGGCCCATGAGGAAGCTAGAGAGGATAGAATTACTCACCAGGCCCGTGGGCCATGGAGACCAGTGGGAAAAAAACGCTGATAATAATCATCGGATGGCAAACCAAGAAAAAAAAAGTGAGGGCGGCAAAAAAGTGGATGGGGCAGCCAGTGGTGGGAGAGAGGCCAAGGCGCAGTGGGCGGTGGGCGGTCACTGTCTGCACTGCGGCGTTGTGGCAGACCCGCGCTAGCATGGAAAATTTCATGGCTTCGTTAAAAAAACTACCACTCCCACCTCTCTTCTTCTTCACCACCTTCACTGCATTTCACCACGACTGATTTGCACCACCAGATACTAGGATCTGTCAGCGCTCTCTTGCCATAGAGAGCCGTGATTCTAGTCTACGAAACGCCTCTTCTCGTCGCGCACTGCTGCTACAGCACATCCTTCGGGATTTGTGGCTCCACGCTCTTCGCCTGTAACGCAACATCTACCCCACTGTCGACCGATCACAGCACACGCCTGTGATCTCCCAACGCAACAGCTACAATCATGGCTTCTTCTGGAAAGGGTTTGGAGGAGGTCCCTGAGGGTATGCATCTCTCCAATTTTCTGGGCGATTTCGTGCAGCTACTCGTGAGATTTCACCTGTGGCAACACTTGATCTGCACTTTTTTCTCCCACCCAACGACAAGACTGATGATCGCTAACCTGGTGTTTTGCATCCAACAGGACAGATTGAGTCTAACTATGACGAGATCACCGACTCCTTCGATGCTATGAACCTGAAGCCTGAGCTGCTTCGAGGTAAGTTCAACATGGTGGGGTAGAAGGCCGCTCTTGGGCATGAAACTGATAGCGATCAGGTGTCTACGCCTATGGTTTCGAGCGCCCCTCTGCTATTCAGCAGCGTGCTATCATGCCTGTCATTAGGGGTAGGTTTCACAACTGGATTATCCATTTATTGAAGGATGCAGTCTAACACCTGTCTCTAGGCAACGATGTCATCGCGCAGGCTCAGTCCGGTACCGGCAAGACTGCCACCTTTTCCATTTCCGCCCTGCAGAAGATCGACACCTCCCTGAAGGCTTGCCAGGCCCTGATCCTGGCTCCGACCCGTGAGCTTGCCCAGCAGATCCAGAAGGTCGTCGTTGCCATTGGTGACTTCATGAGCGTTGAGTGCCATGCTTGCATTGGTGGTACCAATGTCCGTGAGGACATGAAGGCTCTCCAGGACGGCCCTCAGGTCGTCGTTGGTACTCCCGGCCGTGTCCACGACATGATCCAGCGCCGTGTCCTCCGGACCGACCAGATTAAGATGTTTGTCCTCGATGAGGCCGATGAGATGCTTTCTGTAAGTTCTCGTCCGATCTAGCCCCCCTGTACGACTGCCACTAACCCCGTGTAGCGTGGTTTCACCGAGCAAATCTATGACATCTTCCAGCTCCTTCCTCAGTCGACCCAGGTCGTCCTGCTCTCCGCTACCATGCCTCAGGATGTCCTCGAGGTCACCACCAAGTTCATGCGTGACCCTGTCCGCATCCTGGTCAAGAAGGACGAGCTTACCCTCGAAGGTATCAAGCAGTTCTACATTGCCGTCGAGAAGGAGGAGTGGAAGCTGGACACTCTGTCCGACCTGTACGAGACCGTCACGATTACCCAGGCTGTCATTTTCTGCAACACCCGCCGGAAGGTCGACTGGCTTACCGACAAGCTGACGGCTCGTGACTTCACTGTCTCTGCCATGCACGGTGATATGGAGCAGTCCCAGCGCGATGTTATCATGAAGGAGTTCCGCTCTGGATCCTCCCGTGTGCTGATCGCCACCGACCTGCTGGCTCGTGGTATCGACGTCCAGCAAGTTTCTCTGGTCATCAACTACGACCTGCCCGCCAACCGTGAGAACTACATCCACCGTATTGGTCGTGGTGGTCGTTTCGGTCGTAAAGGTGTTGCTATCAACTTTGTCACCGCTGATGATGTCCGTATGATGCGCGAGATTGAGCAGTTCTACAACACCCAGATCGAGGAGATGCCCATGAACGTTGCTGGTAAGTGGGAGACTACTCGATCAACTGTGATGCGTAATTGGATGCTGACAGCTGCCTGCAGACCTGATCTAAACGACTTACGTCCCGATTCCCTGTTTCTCTTTGTCTCAGGCAGATCCAAGAGGTCGTGTACTCTTGGTTCTGGACTTGAGAAAAGGGAGACATTATTAGGAGCCAGTCTGGGCGTGGAGCTCACTGGTTTTGGCAGATTCTCAAAAAGTGGCTTTCCTAGTGTACCGCATGTAATTGTTCCTTACAGCGGTCTGCCGAGGATACAAGGCTGAAAGCTCATGTACAATGCTTTCCCGTCTTGCGTCTTCGTTCCCTACCACGGCCGCCAATTTCTTTTGTAGTCTCTTGTTCTCGTCCAGATCTTTTTGCCTGTTCGCGCGTTCATATTTACGGTTCCCATCTGGATTTCCTTCTTCGCTCTGTACCCTAGCTTTGTCCTTTGGTTAAGCATGAATCTGTCATACTTGATCACAGGATAAGCGAATGACATCTCTTCGTTCGGGCGCTTTTGATTGTCCTTTCTCAAGACATGAACAAATGAGGCAGTTTGGGCGAACGGACGAATGAATGATAATGACATGAGGTGGTTGCATACCTGATTCATTTGCAATAGATAGAGGTAAATGCCATTTCTTTCTGTTGATAGCTTAGGTCTGCTCACGTAGTCATGTTACCGTTCTTTCCAAATATGCTCGCCGTGGGCTGTTGTTCCTTCCCGATTCTGCGCCTTCCGCATTGGTGGAACACGTCCGGGTGCTGTTCTTCTCCCTCAGGGACGGACCCGTACTTTGTTCATATCCTCGACGTTCGTCGAAGGAAGGGATTCCATTGTCTCGCTTTAGATAACTGACTGCCAAGCTGCTCATAATTCATAATTTGCCATCCTGGATACCCATGGCTCCCCTGGATCACCCCGATCCATCGACAAACAAAAGCTCCCTGCTTTGGGCCTACCACCTCCGTCAAGAGAATATACATCTTGTAAATCGAATCGATTGCATTGGATTAGATGTTGTTACTGCCAACGAGACGACTCTTGCAGTCCAGCAGAACTGTTCCAATCTCGAAAGGAGTGTCGAGAGATTGGAAAAGGACAATCGTGCGCTCAGGGATGAAATCAAGTCCCTGAAGGAAAACCTTTCCAAAGCTACCGATCTTGCTTTGCAGATTGGATCGAAAAAAGATGATGAGACGACGGAGCTCCGAGCTAGTATCGAATCACTGAATTTGCGTGTCAAAGCCATCGAAGACGATGGCGCTGAGCTACGAGCCGGTCTCAGCAATGTTGAGAACAAATGCGCATTGATTGTCCAGAAGCATATCGAAGCATCGCGCGGGCCTCTTGAGGAAGTGATACGCTACTCGCAAGGGGATGCAGGGAGAGAATTGTCTCAGGAACCTGCAGATACGAGTACGTATGCGGATATATATAGTAGTAGTATATTACATGCCTGGAAGTTGATGCGTTTTTGTTACTATGAACTTTATTCTATTGCCTTCAATTGACTAACGATGCATCTGAAGGACGCAATCAACAGTATGAAAACGCCGCAGGTTTGAAGAGGCCATCCTGTGTCAGCACCGCTTTGTCAGAAGATATGCATTGCGAGAATCCGGAAATGAGTGTTTCTAAGCCTCAAGACAATCGAGATGAGTCAATAACGATGATTCCCGACTCAATGCCTTCACATGGCTCGATTCTTCCATCTCCACGACCGCTGTCAACTCAGCCAGTAACTGGGTTACAAAATGTAGATACCAGGACCAAATCTCCACTGCTGTCAAAGCCTTTATCCCAGAAGTTGACCGAGAATCAAAACCAAAGTCTCGAATGCGACCTCGAAGGTTTAAAGCAGAACGAAAAAAGCCTTGCTGAATATTTTTTAATGGCAGAACGCATTCGATCACAGCTTCCTCGACGGAAGCAAGAGGGTGTCATCGTGGAGGCGTTCTATGAAGGTCTTAGGGATGGGAATATCAAACTGTCCTTGGAACGATCCCTGGAGGGAGCTGGATGGACATGGAGCACCCTGGAGATGTTCTGTCGACAGCGTTCTGCACGCAATAAAAATATTATAAACGCAATGCAAGAGGCGACAAAAGGGGTTGTACCATGGCCAGAGTATGGCAAAAGGAAATCAAAGAAAAGAAAGAGGCACCATATCTCCAAGCGTCCGCTTGGAGAGGATAACGACAATTGACAACATGTTCAACGGAGCCCAATCGCCAGGCAATGAGATGTAATGGATCACAATATCAAAGCGACATTCAGATTTACTGCCGTGCATGATAGTTATCTGAGTTAGCTGATGCAGGGCTTTTAATTGTGTATGTATTTACCGTATTTAAAATACAGAGGGTATATATAGACCAGTTCTTTCTCTTTCCCGAGTCGGGACCATTGTTTAAGTCTCCTTGAATTCATACCGGCCGTCGCGGTCTTTGACCTCAACCTCGATTGTCCCCTCCTCCAACACCTGGCCTCCAACCTCGATCGTCGCTTTCATAACATCTCCCGACTTCACTTCGCCGACTCCTTTCGGCGTGCCCGTCAGAACCAGGTCGCCTGGCTCGAGCGTCATCACGCGGGAGATATCAGCCAACTGCCTCGGGATGCGGTACAGCATCAGACCGGTCGAGTCTGCCTGGCGCAATTCATTGCCTACCGAGAGGCGCAGGAAGGCATCGTGAGGATCCGGTATCCGCGATTTGGCGATCTGCTGCGAGATGGGCAGGAAGGTGTCGAAGCCCTTGGCGATCGACCAGGGCAGACCTTTGCGCTTGGCCTCGTCTTGGACGTTGCGTGCAGTCATGTCAATGGCAAGGACGTAGCCTTAATAGAAGCCAGAAGGGTCAGTCGCTAATCGCGAATTTGACAAGGGACAGCGAGAGGGGAAATGGCCATTGCAGACTCACTATCAATCGCATCAAGCGCTCCCTTGTGATCCTCCGGGTCCAAGTCCCGCACAGTACGCCCCATCACGAGACCCAACTCCACCTCATAGTGTAGATTGACGCCCTTGGGGCGCAATACCGGTCCCTGGCCAGGTAGGAGGATGGACGACGGCGGCTTCAGGAAGAAAAACGGCTGCTTTGGTCGTGTGTTGTTGAGTTCCGCGATGTGGTCTCTAATCGTCAAGAAGAGAGAGGATTAGCAAGACAGCGAAAAAATTGCGCTCTTATTTTTTTGGCACCAATTTCGCAGACCGCATACAGCGTAAGGACTCGAGCATCGCAAACAAAGAGCGCGAGGAGTACAGTGCAATGAATGAATGAATTAATGGCATTGGCATAGTCAACTTACGCATAATTTCTTCCAATACAGATCACTTTCCGACAATTGGCCCTTATTGACGCCGCCATTGTTGTCCCCTTTTTTTTTATGCCCCTCCCCTTTTTTTTTCTTTGCCAGAGGTAAAGGGCAAAAAGAGTGAAAAGTCGCTAATAGTTATGGAGGTAAGTGGTACTGTACAGACTTAACGTGCGGAGTACAGGTTCCGCATCGGAGAGATTGCCGGAAATGACTCCGGCTCGAAGGGACGGGACCGTCCGGGGATCTAAAAATATTTAAACCGCCGCAACTCGGTTGGTCCACTTCAATGAAGTTCCCAGGGGAATGGTGTCTCAGACTTTCAGTCTTGCTACTTAATAACTCATGTATAATAAGTGGTTGAATCAATCGTCACTGGTATGGACTATTATGGCACAAATACGTTCTCAAGGCACTGAAATGGAGCCATAAAGATAAAAATCGAGTCCGAGAGAAAAAAAAATCAGATTCATTAAATTTATAGTATCGACTCAAGAAACATACACAAAGGAAAATCTGTATCAAGCGACAGACAGAAATCTTGCATGCAGCGAGATAACGCCTGGAGAGGAGGAAAAGAAAGAAAGAAAGAAAGAAAGAAAGAAAAGCCAGTCGCACTCGAACATGACTCATAAACGTATAGAATCCTCACACTTTTCGTATTCAAGGGCGAAAGCAAAAAAGAAAAAAGAGAGGGAAAAAAAGAAAGAAAATTCAAAATATAGACAAGAAGTAGAAAGGGGGGAAAAAAGACAAAAATTATTACAGCCGGAAACCAACAGGCGCCGCTGCAATGCAACACAAACACAAACAAAAGTATATCCTGAACATGCAACGCTTGAATGCACCCAAGAGACATACATAAGCCAAAGACGTAAGTAAGTAACCCAGTCAAGACCCAAACCAATCCAAGACAATTCCATCAGGTGCCAAAAAAAGATCCGACACAGACAAGGACAAGAAACGCCCCCAAAAAATGATGAACCCAAGCTCCAAGAAAAGAAAAGAAAAAGAAAAAGAAAAACGAAAAGAGAATCGTCAAGAGTGGACACGTTAACGGTTTTGGTCGTCTTCAAGTGCAGCTTTGATCTTCGTGAAAAACCCGGCTGGCCATGCAGCGACTTCTTCGTCCTTGGGGATGCCACGGATCCGACAGTGATTCACTACGTTCGTCAAGATCCGGCTCAACATCTCCTGAGAAACAGGGACGGTTCCTTCCAGCTGCGCCTCAGGATACAGGAATGGATCCCGGTCGCTAAGAAGCTCCTCCACCGTCGGGCGAAGTGTCTGATCCCGTTGCAGACACCGTTTCATGGTGCGCATTAGCCCCGGAGGAACAGTCACCCCTCCAATGGCAAAGGCCGGAAACTCGATCGCAACTTTGGGATTGGGAATCGCCATGATCCGTTCATAGTATTTTGCGATCCGGGCGAATGGCGGCTGCCCATAAACCATCTTGTACAGGATGCATCCAAGACTCCACACGTCACTGGGTTTACCCAATTTCATCATCTTCCCCACGCTTGCCGGCAGACCCAGGGCGGCGTTGGAGTCGATCAGGGCTTCCGGAGACATGTAGTTAGGCGTTCCAACTTGCTGCTCGCGATGCACATTCACAGTGTTGTCTTGGATTGCATTTGCAATGCCAAAGTCAATCAGCTTCAGTCGGCCTTGAACAAGAAGAAAGTTCGCCGGCTTCAAGTCGGAGTGCACGATGTTGAACTTGTGGACGGCCTGGACACACTCCAGCATTTCCTTCCAGTAGTACCGAGTGAAGCTTATGTCGAAGACGGCATCTTCCGCATTGAGGCGATACGTCAGGATCTTTTCCAGATCCGACTCGCCGATTTCCATGAGAACACTGAGAGTGTGCTTCTCGGAGTTGATTTCCCAATCGAAGAGCCTAACTACTCGATCAACGTTTTCGAGCTTCTTAAGCAGATCGATTTCGCCCTTATAACCGGCCAAAGTGAGGGGGTCAACATCCTCCAGATTTACCCGTTTGAGGGCGAAGATCTTATAGTTTTCTGCCATCACCCGGTAGACACGCGAACTCCCACCCCGCCCAATGCAATCCAAGCGGGTAAACACTTTGTGGTTGATTGACACCTGGTTCCGCTTCTTGCGAGACTGCGATGCCGTCGTCGCTGCACCTCCCGTTGCTGTTGCCGTCTCCAGTACCGACATCTTGGGTGGTGGAGGCGGCGCCGCTCGATGCGGAGTGTTGCTACTTCGCGTAGATAGGGGCTTTCGGGGCGAGACGGTGGCCGGAGGTTCATCGGAAGGCTTTTTGTCATCATCATATATGACAGAAAACTTTTCAGGTTTATTCAAGAGGCTGAAACCTGAAGACTTAACTTTCTTGAATGTAGGCGGCGGATCGTTTTCTGGATCTTCTGTGGCGGGCATGGATGGTAGAGGGGGAACTCTATATACGGGCTGCGCGCTTGCTCTTGCTGATTTTGAGGAGCCATCGGAAGCTGTCCCCGGGGTGGATCGAGATTGCGATCCATAGGACTGTCCTGAAAATGGTCCGTCGTTTGACTCTGGAGCAGTTGATCCAGGCTTCTCTTCGGGGTCGATCAATCTTAATCTTGGTGATGTAGAGGTTTTGGCAGGTTGCTCAGAGGAGCCGACTTCATCCTTGTTTGTATTCGGAGAACCGGACTCTCTGTCTGGAGTTTCCTTTTCATCTGGTGCGGGCTCATTGTTTTCCTCACTCTGTCTTCGCAGGACTCCTCTCCTGGCAGGTCCATTGAGGAATGAGCCGGTGAGTCTCCCAACTCTTTTGACACGGAGTGAACTATGCAAGCCAGGCTCTTCCCCAGGGCGTGTCCGGAGTACTGACGCAGTACCCAATCGTGGAGCGTATTCTTCATCCGTACGAGCCCTTTTCTCGTCGCTGGAGAACTCTGAACCGTTCATGTGGCCTAAGCTGTCTTTCTCGGAAGACCGCTTCTGAGTTGGTGATATCGACGACGGCGAACGTGTGCTACTTCTTGACCCAGTAATTCGGACACTGCGTGTTCGTGGCGCCGGGGTAATAAAGTCATTCGAGCGCTCCCTCCAGTCTGATTCTGCGCCTTCTTCTTTCGAAGCCACTCGCACAGATCCAACTCGCACTACTCGCGGGGCAGGACTGCCGGTAGACTGCTCATGAGGAGAAGCAACTCGAACGTGTCTTTCCGGTCTAGCAGCCATTGAGAAAGAACCATGATCCTTTTCAAGAAAGCTGTTTCTTTTGGCGCTGGTCTCCTGGCGTGGAGAAGTATCCAAACTCAGAGCGTCTCCTTCCAACAATGCCTTGACGGAGGCGCTGAACTTGGGTTCAGGCACCTCCTCGTCGGAGCTATCACCTGCGGAATAACGTCGGGAAAAGGACATAGGACCATTGCTGAATGCCGAGTTATTCGATACAGGCGAGGTACGACCGGAGTTATGCCGGGAAAGCGAGGATCGAGACAACTGTCGTGACATTGATTGTCGGTGAAGACTGCTGGTGTTGTAGCTGGACGAAATGGGCGTGGGGGAAGCCTCAGTGGCCATATTATACTGTGTCACCGTGCCCTACAGTACATTGATAAAAGTTTCCAACGGAGGCTTCCAATGTCGGCTTGTTTGGTCGATTCAATCGTCTACGATGCTCTATCTTTGCTTGAGACGAAGTTGAGATAGTGTTGCATACTAGCGCGGACTGTAGTCACGTGAATTCGTGTATCAACAGTGATCTCCCGGGCAACCGTTGCTTAGTCATTGTATTGCTCTGTCACGTGACTTGACGGTTGCCGCGTTATTCGCGTTGCGCGACGCGGCGTGTCAAGAAAGGAAATATCCTCGCCCCGACCAGCATCATCGTTGGGAAGCTGGACTCATTATTATTGTTGTGGCTATGTGTTGCTTTTCACTTCCCTGAAAGTCCACAGTGGATTTGGGTCTGTTCCTGAAAGTCACAGCAACGCAAACTGGACAGTCCAGTCCTACAGTACGGACAAGCATCAACATGCGAGTGTTAACATTTTTGGCTATGAATATAGTTCCATTCTCTCTGGTGACGAAAATATATTTCTGTGATGCCTACCCTGTTCGGAGGACTCTGTAAGTCTGTATGGAGTCATGGATTGACAGTTCAGCTTATGCCATACAAAGACCATTCTGCGAGACGAGAGAGCACTAGTGATGCAGCACCGCGCTACTCCGTACTGAGTCCTACGCCCTACCTAGCTCCAGTCTAATGGCTGAATAGTCTAACGGCGGATGCCAATACCGGCAATGAGTTGGCCTAGGTTGCCTGACAGGTCTCACTCCACTCCTGACAGCGAACGAAGAATACCAATCACCAAAGGCTGGCCTTGAGGACCTTTTTTGTGTGTTCCTCCTGACTAGAGAGGCGGATACTTTCCGCCTGCTCCGGTTGAAGATGAAGTCACTTGGAGACTCCTTTCTATTTCCCTTGGGCCGGTCTCGACTCTCCAGCTACAGTCTTAACGGCGTCCATATTCCTATTTTTATCCTTTTGACTCTCGATAATTAGGTGCCAACACTATTGTTGACCGAGGCTTGCAGACTTGAAGCATCTTCTTTATGAATTATTCCAATTTCGAGCGCCTTTTTCCCCCTTTTAGACAAGTTTGTGACAGCCACAATGGTTCCAGCCCTCAGGTCACATATTTCCGAAGGCACCGACTCCATGAACCTGAATGTGTCCACAAGGCTACAAGCCCAACTGTCAAGGCTTTGGGAAGCCTGGTGACTGGTCAACCACGTTGGACTGGTCGGCGCGAACCGAAAAAGAATAAGGTCTGTCGATCAGAGACCGTTTGTTTCGACTATCTCGCTGACAGCTAATCCGATTGGATGGCTTGGACTTCTGTTTCTTCTGTTTGCACTCCACTGTATGGCGTACCCTCTATAGGGTACGCTCTACACCTGCTCTTGGGGTTGTTCGTTCTGTAAGTCTTCGGATCTGAGTCCTGCCTGTATTTTGTTCCCTGCAAATGTTTCAGAAGTTAGAACATCAGTTCGCTAGTCACCGCTCATTGTTTCCCAACTCGGGTAGTCTTGGGATACCGACTATCTTTGTGCTGAGTGGAGTCTGTATGGAACAGTTGTTGACTAGTTTCTTGGATGTGCCTCGATTGTCCACTAGGGAGGGTAGGCCCACTCCCCTGGGACTTCTTTGGCTGACACAGCGCTCAGCTGCATTTCGAGCCCCAGATGATAGTCGATGTGCTTAAATGAGAGGCCCCTGAGTGTGTATATATATCCATTTCATGCGATCGCTTCCGTCCTTTTTCTTTTACCATCATCCATAACTCAGTCTCTCGTTCCTTGCCATTCTGTGCTTGCAGAAGGCCGTCCACTCTTTTGAAGGCACTATTTGAATTCGTTCATTCGTTACGTTGCTTTTCATTTCTTGTATTTTTACGGAAGCACTGTATTTCTCAAGATGCGTTTCACGCCCTTAGTCCTCGCTGCCTTGGCGACCGCCGCCATCGCGCGTCCAACCTCTTTTGACCGGCGTTTCAATGTGGTCGATGACGTTGCCGCTCCTGTCAATGTCAAAGCACTCAACATCGACACCCGCAGTTTGAATATCTTTGCTGGCCTTAGTGCTAAGGCAGCTGCGGCTCTGACCGGAGCTTCCATTGGGTTGAAGGCAGGCTCTGTCGACGCTGACGCGAGGGAGGAGCTCAAAGCATGGCTTGGTGGTTCACAGGCTGCCTCTCTCAACGCTACCATCAAGGCCTCCGTCAGTGACTGGTGTTCCGGTGCTGCCTCTGCGACCTTGTCGGCAGATGTGGCTGCTGGACTGTCCACCTATGTCCCCGTTGTGTCGCAAATTGCTGCCAACGGTGGCCTGATCGTCTCACTTGATGGTATCGTTGCTGCCGCCACCAAGGCCGTCGGCGAGGTTGTCCTTGATGCTTCCGCCATTGCTTCTCTTAAGGCCTTCCTTTCAGTCCATGCAGACCTTGATGCCAAGGTGAAGGCTGCTCTCAATGTTTGCGCTGCCGGTGGTGTTGCTGCTACCTTGTCTGCGGATGTTAAGGCTGCCCTTCAAGCCTACCTTAACGGCCCCAAGTGTGCTCTCGATGCGACACTGAAGGCATCTATCCTGGCCTGGATCAACGGCACTGTGGAGGCCGGTGTTCAAGCTGTCGGCGACTTGGCCGATACCGCTCTTGCATCTGTCTCCGTCGGTGCCTCTATTTCTGCGGGCGTGGATGCAAGCGGTGCCCTCACCTCTTCCGCCATTGCTTCGTTGTCGGCGTTCTTGGATGCTCAAGCGAACCTTGATGCTGACATCAAGGCCGCTCTGAGTGTCGCTGTCAAAGGCGGATTGGCTTCTTCTCTCAGTGCCGACGCTGTTGCCTCCCTGTCTGCCTGGCTTGCTGGTGCCTCTATCGATGTCGAGCTAAAGGGAGTCCTTCTCTACTGGCTCTACATTGGTGCCTCGGCCCACGCCTCAGCTACTGTTCTCACCCCGGCTGAAATTGCCCAGGTCTCAGCCTTCCTGAACGGAACCGTTGGCAACTCTATCAGTGCTGCTGTCCGTGGTGCGATTGGCGTCTGCGCTGCTGGTCAGAGCGTTGTTGCTCTCTCTGCCAACGCCGCTGCTGAGCTGGCCGCCTTCTTGTCTGGTTCGGTTAACGTGAACATCAGCGCTGACATCCGCGGGTACCTCATCGCTTGGTTGACGGGTGTCTCCAGCAGCCCCAAGATCGCGGCTTCATCTGGTGTTGCTGCTGCTCCATCTGCTACTGGTGTCAGCACGAGTGTCAGCATTCCTGTTGCCACCCCTACGAGCGTTGCTGTGCCTACTGGTACTGCTCTCGGAAGCTCCTCGAGCTCTCTCCCGATCCCTGCCGGTAACATGGGAAGCGGCTCCTCTCCCATCAGCACTATTCCGGTGTCCGTCCCCACTAGCCCTGCGGGATCTACTGGTTCCTTCAGCGGCTCGTCTGGCCAAGTGTCTTCCTCTACCGGCTCAAGCGTCTCCGAGAGCTCGTCTGCGTCTGGCAACTCCGTGAGCGCCGTGTCCGGCAGCACCGGCACTTGCACCTGCTCTTCCAACTAAACTAGTCCGTCATTGTGCTCCCGTTCAATGCATTGATGGACTAGTTTGGATGGCTTCGGGGCCGGGAAAAAAGGGGTTAAGGGCGATTAGACACCACGACCATGGAAATGTACGGCACAGCCGTGGTACGCAGGATACGAAAAGCATCTTTTTGCCTGTATATTTTAGAAAAGTACTTAGTTTAATCGAACTGATAGACCTTGACTTTCTTCCAGCTATATTTTTAAAACTATTTGTAGTTAGAGTAGCAATAAGATTGCTTCTCCTTTTTTGAATTTTCGAACTCTACAAAGAGGAATTGAAAATTCAAACGTGAGTAGACTGAATGTAAAAAAGTTTTTCCTTTTTTATTTTGCTTCCAAAGAAAGAAAAAGAAAAAGCGAGAGAGAAACGATTCGAAATATACTACACGTGGATAAATATATTAGTAGTCCTGTACATACAGGTGCTGTATTCCACGGCTGAAAAGAGAGGATAACCAATAATTGAAACACTAAAAGCATCCCTGAAACAAGAGGCCTCTTATTCCTCAGGAATCTCATCTGGGTCAGATTTCAACTTATCATGAAGAGAGTTGTAGAGGCTTTTAACCCTCACAAATATATATATATTTTTGTGGTCCACAATAGTGATGACGGTGAGGACGAAGATGATGGGTCAAAAAAAAATCCAAAGTCATCTCTATATTCTGTCTCCCTCAGTGCAAAAATGCGGGTTTCATTGTCTTGTAGGGTGGCACTCCAGGGAAGTTCACTGAATAAATGCAACAAACACCTGGGTACCCGATAGTTGCAGACTTCAGGCCGACGGATAGCGGCAATAACCACAGGCTTCTGCGTCTGTCCAGATGTCTATTGCTCGATTGACCTCAGTTGTTTCTTACGAGGTTTACTGCGTGGCGGGTAAGTTGCTGCATATGTGCCGCGTTTGCGTCTTCAAATCGTCGGTAAAGAGGAGGATATCGTCCAAGTGTATTGTAACGTGCTTGCCGAGCAGTTCCCATAGAATATTCTCGATGTAGATTTGGAATTCTGCTGGAGCATTCGTAAGGCCGAATGGCATGACAACGAATTGGAAAGTGCCACGATGACAGCGAAAGGTTGTCTTTGGTCTGTCTTCCTTCCGAATGCGGAGATGGTAGAAAGCCTCCTCGATGTCGTACTTCGAATACCATCGTGCTTGTGCTATCCTATTCCTATAGGCGGCCGTGGGAAGGGGTGCGTGTACTCGCTTCTTAGTAATCGCGTTCAGTTTTCGAAAGTCGACACATACTCGTAGTTCATCCGTGCCCTTTTTCGGTACCAGTAACAAGGGTGAGCTGCACTTTGCTGTCGATTTTTCAATGTATCCTCGAGCTAAGTTCTTGTCCACAAACTCGTCGATAGCCTTCAATTCTCTGGGACTATATTGCCGCAATTGAGCGTTGTACCGGAACTCTTGTGTAGTCTCGATACATGACTTCTGAATGCTGGAGGATCTTTGCCGATGAGGGATCCTGCAGAAGGTTGCAACGTTCTACAGCCCCTTTTGATCAAGGACAGGTTCTTCTTCTCCCTCATCCATGTGATAGCGTGCCGAATCCCTGTCCTTACGGCCTTCCAACCATCTTGCGACTGATGCCAGTTTCAGACAGCAGCAGATTCATACCAGACTCGATTGGTTCCTTTATTTATTGTGTGGGTTTCATCATGGTAGTTAAGAGGAAAGAGTGACATTAAAAAAATACCGTCGGTTCCTTGATTCCGGAGGCTGCTATCGTGCTCGTCTCCGTCGACAGCAAAGAGTTTCGAGGCGCTGTAACGGGTCAGCAATAGCTGCAGAGTTGCGTACAAATTTCCTATAATAGCTGAGAAATTTGGATACAAGCTTCCAACTCCTTAAGCGTAAATAATTTTCTCTGCAGCCGTGCTGACATCAAGACGCCTGACGCGAAGCGCTAACATCTGGACAGAAGAGTATGCCAAGTGGCATTTAACAATCGAAAGTGATATGCGCCTGTTCCAGTCGACAGATGTCTGGTTATGCCAGATATCCTGCGATTCATCCTTGCACCAAGACATGGCACCGACCAGCCGAATTCGTTCCGATGTCAAGGGTTTTAATTGCAGAACAAGAGGACTTCCATTAACTGCCCGGGCCTGGGGCAGAGGACCTGGAATATGGCTGCACATGTATTTCTCGATCTCCAGCATATATTCCAATCACATCGCTGGTCTCAGGTTGGTGAGAACGCCAAGATCCATCGTCGGTTGTGTTTTTCTTTATTACATAGACTCTCAATTCTGAAGTAATAGATGGATGGCGGGTCTCTGTGACGATAGACAACCGATTGATTCTTCTCTGGGACGTGGCGCCATTTTCTGACGTGCCTTTAGCGATCGTCCTCACAACATGGTACCCCCGAACGAGTCGCTCCTTGTGCGTCATTGAAATTCTTCCAGACCCCGAACTGGATTTTTTTGTGTGTCTCGTCGACTTTCATGGGAAACAATAAGTTCTTTAAGTCCCGCAGATAGCCAGACTCCGACACCTGACGCAGAGAGTTCAATGTTTTTAATTCCAAGAGCAATCAACAGTGTAGACGTCGTTTTAGTGTGAGCGATCCGTCATACAGTGCTGTCCACTACTTGACTGTGTGTGTAACTTATATATGTCATAAAGCGCTATAGGACTTGCCTCTGCTGCGTCGTCGGTCCTTTGCATTTTCGCAGGCCATTTTATTCTTCCCATTTCTGTTATAATATTAGTCAACGTTGAGAACTCCTAACAAAATATTTGAATGCGAACATCTCTTCAGAAAGCTTTAGGAGGACATACCTTTAGGAACACACTAAATGTGATACAAGTTTTACCCAGGCCAAGCATCACCAAAAATGCACTCTTTGGGCATATGTTGCAACGTGGTATGGGAATTCTGATGCTCGATCAAGAAGGAGGCTTTCCCTGCAGACAGGCCATATAGGTCCGTGAAGACGTCGTGGGCGTTCCTCCGATTGTTAAGGTATAGCTGTACATCAGCTACTATGTTTGCAGAATGGACTGCCTTGTTGTGACGTCTGATGTTTCCTCCTTGGCCCTGTCCTTGAGAATATCGCGACAGTACACATCCAGGAATCGTTCGCGAATCGCCAGTAACCAGCCAGAGACCCGGCTGATTTCACGGACTATAACAGCAAGGATCGGTTTGTCGACAGGCCTTTCAGGAGGGTAGCGTCGTCAGTTGCTTCTTTCCACCACCAATTTAGAGAGTTTCAAACGATTTTGTGATCTGTATACATACCTCTAACCTGAGGTCTGCGACACGACCTTCACCCTAGGACATTTCGACTAATTGTCGGGCATGGAGGGTGTTGTTCCGAGGTTGCATCAGAACCTTCTGGTGGTACACCCATAGCCGGGCGTAAGAGATTGGTTGTAATAGTGCGCTAGAGACCGCAGACGAGGACGATCCGGGTTGAAGTCGTCATCTTGTTTCGTTTTAGAAGTGTAAGTCTTAGAACGTAGGTTCATAAACTTCTTCGCTTTAAGCGTGGTCTATGAATCAATATTGGATCCACTCCTTTACTGAGAGCAAAGCAAGGAAAGACATCACGAGAGCGATTCCAGTGAGTAGATCAGAGGGATTCATGATGAAAAGGATTTATTCTGACTTGAAGAAAGATGTGTTGATTATCCATAAAGAGAGGAAAATAAAATAGGCATGAAGAAATGTTCAAGAGGAAAAGCACGTTCTCCCCCGGTAACATGATATTCTCCCATTAAAGGTGCAGAGTGCCTTCTTAATTTGACCTGTAGATGCGGGATCCAAAGCTACAGTGTCGAAAACACATGCCAATTATGTAGAGAATATGGTGGTATATAATTATAAGAGGTATGCATGGTTGTGGGGGTAGTTGGGAGAATAAAACGACAGGAGAAAGGGTAGGGGGGCAATATTTATGCCTTGGTGATACTCGTTTAGCGAGAAGAGTGAATCCTGCCAAAACTTAGTGACTATATGGCAATATTACAGCATCATTACTGTCGATATTACTGTGAGTTAATGAAGGATGGTGAATAATCAGGTAACTTTGCATCATCAAAGTGTGCAACTTTTGAATCGGTGAAGATCAGCCGTGGACTTGGTGAATATGCATATGCTATCACTGTAATTGGCAGATACCTTGATAATCTTTGTAAAACTGCTCAGGTGTGATTGGAAACCAGGAAGTAAACGAATTCCTGATGTTAAAATACGAAGTTTGTAGGTGATTACGTTCCAACATGCGCCGGAGCTTACCCTTGGCGGTTTGCAGACTCAACCTATACAGGAGTATGGCCGTTGAAAACAGAGCGAGAAAGAAAAGAAAAAAAAGATAGAATAGAGACGACCAAGGGTGAAGACACCGCATGCACCTTGTAAATGCTAACTATCTTTTTTGTCACACCTCGGCTGTTGGTTATAAAAAGTATATGCCTGTTACCCCATCTCCTATCGGAGCGATAATTGATAGAAAAGAGACATCGTTAAGCTGGTGGGTGGCTACCTGAGAATTCGACTGCTGTTCGAAATGCAATACAATGCCTTTTCGCCTGGTAGGGGTGATTGGCCCTCCTAGATAATGGGCCTCGACATTAGCAACATAACTAACAGTACATGCGTGAAGAAAGGATGTCAGCAGCGAAAAAAAAGAGGGAGAGGGAGAGAGAGATCACATCATTCTCTGAAATTAGGGTAAGAAGCCCGCCTTTTCTTGAAACTGAAAAAGCAAGCAGGTTCACTTTGGTCGACGTACATCATCGCAGCTGATTAATTATCTGATAAGAAAGAGGATCGTTTACAAAATGCATCAAGACCAGAAAAGGACTTGCTTGTTTTAAGAAATGTAAAATGGCGACGTTTTTCCTCGCAAGTTCTGATAGGGCGACTTGGTTTGGATGATACTACCAAAAATGGTTAGTCTGCAGTGAGCTCTGTCGGAGCTCCGATTAAAACCAAAACCTCCAAACAGCCTGAACTCCGCGCTGTTTGTCCACTGCTGAGGTCACGCTGGGCGCTGCAGAGATGGAATGCTCTGCTCGACACCTGTCTTTCGCGTCATGGCGGCTTCAATTGTTTAGCCGAACTTTCCCACCTCCCAATGAACACCAACTCCAGTCGAGAAACTTCTTCCGTCGGAACTTTTGCTGCACCCCCCGACTCCGTGATGCTCATAAACAAGAGCAAGGCAACCATGAAGAAAACGTCCGAGACGAAAATCATGCTGGCTCCGACACAGGCGAGAAAGAGAACGTCGAAACTGTCCGTCCATCCCGGCTGCTTCCTCAGTCTCCCCTCCTTACCAAGGTTAAGACACCCCTAGAGAAAACGAGAAAGAAGCGTCCCAAAAAAGAAGACATTGATCGATTGAGGCGCAACCCTTGGGCCGTAGCTCTCGCATCCCCGCCAAGAATGTGCTCTATCACTGGCTCTCGACTACCGAAAGCGTTGTTAGGTGAATACGGATTGGTTCGCCGTCCCGGTTCGGAGAGTCTGTGGTTCATGCCGGTTGGACTTTTGGAGGATGAGCTGAAAGCAGCTGCACCTGGAACAGGCGCTGGCGTACAAGAGCAAGGTGCGGGAGACAAGGATAATATGAAGTCGAAGAAGTCGACAGCCGGTCCCCTGCATCTTCGCGTTATTCGCATTCTATACCGTCTTCTCCTCCTGAAAGAGATTACAGCGCAATTCATCCAATATTCTGGAAAGAAGTCTCCGCTCCAGAAGTTGATACCATTTCGATGGAAGAATCCTAAGGGTCCACTAACACCTCGGGATATGAATAATCTGGTCTGGCGCGAAGATATGCCCAGTTTCGTGATGAAGAATATGAGGAAAGAGGCCGTCAAGGCACTGGAAAAAGCTTCTTGGGCCTCTGACCTGAGTTTGAATAAGTCCGCCGGTATATGGACTCCTGTCGCGCTAGCTGACAAGTCCTTACCCGCTCTGGTTGAGGGATTGAAACAATGGGGGAGGTTGACAACATGGAATGCGGCGGTATACTGATCATGGGGAGTGATTCTCCTCACGAATCCACAGACAGGTTAGAAAGTGAAAGTCATCCATCTCAGGAGTCAGACGAGTCTTCGCGTGAAATATTGCCGTCTGAATCTCCGTCGACTTCATTCACGTCTGTCTTCCCAGACTATGTCACGCTCCCACAGCGAGGCACTAAAGTCCCCGTCTTCGACTTGTCCGTCCTGCTTTCGGAGACTGATCGCGAACAACTCCGAAAATCTCATCCGCGGTTCCGCAATCAAGCGTTGTTTTTCCGTCCTGGTGGCACCGTCCCTGTCGACGCAATGCTGGCATTGTGGAGACTCAAGGGCTTTACCATGTACGATCGAGAATTTCTGGAAGAGGACCCCAGTATAGATCCGATTGTCAAGTAAACTGTAACATTATATACAGAAGAGAAAAAGAGAGAGAGAGAAAGACAAAGCAACTGCTTTGTAGAGTTCTATATCGAACGATCTCTAGGTCTATTAACATACTATGACTCTTTCCGACAGCCTTCTATGTCGTCGGTTCTACAGGCAGGTATTTTTGGGACTCTGGGTTCTGGCTTTCACGCTCTACAAAATCTTAGCCTGTCGAGCTGAGCTTGGTTATTTCGTACCGAGCAGGTCACCCAGCTTATCGACGTAAGCTGTCGGCCGCACAGAACCATGCAGGATATCGTCTTTTGTGCTGACACCGGTGAGGACCGCCAGGGTGCCTCCCAGCTTGCCTTCTACGCCAAATCGGATATCCGTGTTGACGCGGTCTCCAACCATACATGCGCGACTGCGGTCAAACTGGAATTTCCCCTCTATTGCGTCCATCATCGATTGGCTCGGCTTCCCCAGGGCGACGGGCTCCTTTCCGAGCATCATGATCAAAGGAGCACTAATCGATCCGGCGCCGGGGAAGAACGTTCCCATGTTGGGTAACGTGCTGTCGATGTTCGTTGCCAGAAATATCGCACCACGACGGATGTAGTGGTACGCGAGCGCCAATTTCAAATAGTTGATGTGGAAATCCAGGCCGGCCAGGACAACGCCCACTTCAGGGTCCAAAAGCGAGGGGTCGCCATCGGCGATTAGTTTATAGTCTTCTTGTCTCAGATCACGACGATAAGCAGGGTCTGTGCCGCCAATAAATGGGATATTCTCGGACCGCAGTTCCTGTTCGATCCCAGACTCTCCAAGGACGAACACCTTGCGCTTGTTTTCGGGAAGCTTGAGGATACGCGAAATATAAATGGCAGAGCTGTATGAGGATGAGAAGATTTCTTCCTGTTAAGTATTGTGGGCGTTAGTCTGGATCTCACGATGGAAGTGCAAGTCCACCAAAACGCCTGATCAGGAGAAGCTCGCCGACCAAACATACCACTGTGCTTGGAATCCCCAACCCATCAAGCTTCTTTTTATAGTCTGCGCGTGATTTGGTGCTGTTGTTCGTCACGAAGACAACCTGTTTGCCTATCGCGTGGGTGAGGTCGAGTCAATCACAATCATGTACATACGCGCACCAATATTGCTCGTACCTCTGCTTCTTAATAATTCCAATGTCTCAGCTGTGCCTTCGAACACATGATCTCCAGACCATAGCACACCTATATAGCCACGCGAGTTGTATTCTCAGCAAACGAAACCATGCGACAATTGAATCTTCCTATTGGATTTTTTTGGATCTGCAAGCTCAAAGTGCGGTCGTTTCTGGAAAGACAAGGGCTCACAAACCATCGCAGTCGAATAAAAATACCTGGACACGAAGATCAAATTAGCACGCGAACAAATTGACAGCCTGCAGCCGTTTGCACTGGAGGGAATCAGACGTACATCGAACCTATCGATAAACTCGTTGAGCGCCGTCTTATCACCAGTGAGGTAGCGAGGCGTGATTGTCATGGCTGCTGCTCGAAGTTTGGAGAAGTGATCAATGCGCTACGTAATGACGATTGACTTGAACTCAATAATAACGAAAAGGTTCGCAATGAAGATTAATTCCTTCCACAGTCTTCGCGGTTCTGGTTCCGCGGGGAGAAGAGCGACATAGGCGGGGTGTTTGTAATCAGCACGTGATTGCGGGGCGGGATGTATCTGGCTCTTCCACCGATATCTTGAACTTCTCTCGAGTCTCGAAAGGGAGAAAATGAGTTCTGTGAGGAGATGAAGAGATGGGAAAGACGACGGTCTGCCCTGGACTCTGAGCTGGCCTTTCTAGACAAAGACAGCAAAACAAAGAATGCTCTAACTCATCTTTCTCTGCATGAGTGAATCTAAGAAGGCAGGTGATCTGGTCCGGACTCAGGGCTCAACCTCACCTGGCCTCCATAGACTCACCCGGACTTTTTCCGCCGAATTTCAATACAGGGCCTTCTCAGCTCTCATGCAATGAGAAGTTACCTGCCGAGATTCAATGTGGGTTAGGGTGACCCAGCAGGATGGTAAGTTCTCTCATGGCTTTGGTGACCCCGGGTTTGGATGGCCCGGCCTCTTCTGTAGTCACTCAGCAATCATCTGATGGTTTGACCTCACCTGAGCCAGTCCAATGAGGTCACTTCTGTTTCTGTGAACCAAGTGGACAATGAAATCTAGAACAACAGGGGCATTTCATTCTGCTACAATGTAACATACAGTTGTCGTTTATTTCAGATGTTTCTTCAAAATACCATCCACTGTCTGTCTCATCTCATGAAACGCTTTCACCCTTTCCTTCTCCAATCCGTTGATTGTCGCCTTGGCATGACCAACGCCAAACTGATCCTCGCCACTGATCAACCCTTCATACGCCTCGTCGATGAACTGCTGCAATGGCATGCCGAGGCTGCCGCCATCCTTCAGGTCTGGCTGATGTCGCTCATCATGCAGTTCGGTCTGCACCGCCGGTGGGAATACCTCGACAACTTTGACATTGTTTCCGGGACGCGCCTTCAATTGCTCCCGCAGTACAAGAATCCAGTTGTGCAGCGCGGCCTTGGACGCATTGTAGTTGCCTGTCCTCAACATCCCCGGCACGATGCCCAGTGTGGCGCTGATGTAGACCAGATGGGTAGGTCCCTTCTGCGCCTGCAGGAACGGGAGGAATGCGACAGTGAGATGCACGTAACTGGTGTAGTTGGTCGTCAACTCCTGCCCCAAGACATCCAGGTCGACCGTCTCAGGCCGAGAAAAGTCAAAGGCGCGTTGGATGCCGGAGTTGAGGACGATACAGTCGATATCCGGATGCTCAGCCGTGATCTTTGATGCGAAGCTCGGGATCTCCTTCAACTGCGTGATGTCGAATCTTGCTCCAGTGGCTTTGTCAGGCCCGAGTGTAGCAACGACACGGTCCAGTCGATCCTGGCGTCGACCGACAACCACGACTTTGGTTCCTTGGGAGACAAGTTTGGTAGCAAGAGTCTCGCCAATTCCAGATGTGGCGCCGATGATGAGCGCTTTTCTGTACAGTGGAGTGGACATGATGATGATGATATACTTGTGCGAATATAATGCGGTATCCTAAGAAATTCTGAAGATATTCACTGACTGAGGAAGTGAACTAATCACAACTCAACGAC